GAAGGCTGGCTAATCTGCTGGTCATATAGTAGCCATAGTGATAATGCTGATAGTATTTGATCCCTGTCCACCGACCAATTTTTGGAACGGCGTTCCTCTCGGTTGATTGTAAACGACACGTCGTCCTCGTCATTACCACCAAGGTCGGCTGCTAGGTACCAAGTAAAGTCCTTGTTTTCCGGTCGTAAGTATCTCTGAGCAACGGTCTCTATCGCCTCGCATAATGCTGACGCCATCTCTGTGGCCGGACAATTCCACCCACAGGAACGGTACAGTTCTGTACGTAGATGGAGGAGATTCATAGATTTCTGACCTTTGCGTTGCACTTCAGGCTTTTCAGGGCAGTATCTCCAAGTTCTTCCACCGCTTATAGACCATACCGGTGCTCTCTCTACTTTCTTACGACCCCAGAGCAGCCTATCGTCAAGGACATGTGCTAGGGCGAGCCAATCCATCTCGAAGAGACGGGGACATTTTATGGATACTGAAGGGTGCGGAGCTTGACGAAGAAATGCCCTTGTTAATGACATAACTATTGTGATCCCAAACAAGGCGATTTGTGCGGGATACCGCATCGAGGCTAGCCCAACAACCTGGGCAAGATATCCAAAGGCCACACCGAATAGAATAACATAACTCAAGAGCGATCTTGTGCGGTCATGTACCCCTCGATTGTAATCTGGGCTGAGATGCGATTCAATAATCTCATTTTTTATCTCCTTAGTGATGATATACGAGCCAAGGGAATTGCTACTGTGGTTTTCAGCGGTCCCTCTTTGCATCCATATAAGTAAAGCTTGCTTTGTAGTAGGTCTTGGTACCCAGTACCTTCGTACTGTAGTACGGTCAAGTTGAGATGCGCAAAGAATGAGCGCCAATGTTAAGGTTATAGTTCCAGTTATTGCCGTAATAAAACTGTAGAGCGGGATGCGGACAAACATCGTATTCAGGCCACTGTCGAATTTTAGAAGCACAAGAAGGATTAGAAAACCTGATTGCAAAAGACACGCTTGTATCATTGCTGCCATTACACGGAATCTTCGACCAGGAGAGCCAAGATTCAATAGCAAATTAGGTGGCTTTGGGGTTTGCTTTTCGTCTGCAGTCGCTGAACCTTCGTAGTAGTCTTTGTTGACCACTTCGATTGCTTAGTATAATGTTCATGCCTAGAGAATGGATACATACCCCGGAAAAACTGCTTCCGTCCAATACGCCCTTCACGGAATTTTGTTTCGGATCCGTCTAAAACTCGTAGAAATTCATGAATTTCCCCTTTGGCTGCAAGCCTTGCAACATTGTGACCATTCCACAACTCGCACACGTCAGCCGAAGTTGAGGACATCAAATCTCTTTCGACCAGGCTACGATCCTGAGATCCCTTTCCAATGGCATCTTGTAGGAAGGGAGGCCCCAGGGCCCGTATAGTGGCTGACAAAATCCAGACCACACCCAAGGGCCCAACGGCAAACACAATCCAATCCGACCAGTCAATCGAACGACTCAGAAAATAATTCGTGTAATCTTGACCAAAAGCGCCGAATAGCCTAGAAAGGCAACAGCCGTTAGTAGCCTTAGTATATATGATGCCGAGTATGGTGCGTACGGTAAAATATTTGCAATCACTAGAAGTGACACGGTATCGGGTGACAATGAAACGTCTCTGGGCTCCATAGTAGCATAGGAATCAGGTAAAAAATATGGGTATTTTTAGTTGCTTCTTGCCTATGTCTGTCAAGATATATGAAGAAATTCTTCATCGAATCTCACTAAAAGTAATTAATCTACTGGGTTTGACAAGAGAATAGGAATAAAGCGCTGTAATATAGTTTCTTTCACATATTGTGCCCAAAGTCTCTTCCTTTCTTATTAGACTAAAACCCTAACACTTTGCATCATTCAGTTTGGGGCAAGGTTGATGTCATGTAGATGTACGATTTATCTTTATAGACTAGGTTTATGTACCATCCGAATCCGAACTTAGTGTGGATAATAAACACTTTTTTTGGTGTAGGTTTGGACCAGAAAGAACTCTTTTTTGCAGAGAGATATATTGGATGGATCTCAAGGAATACAAGCGTCTATAACAGCCAAATGATGTGGGCAGCTTGACCATGCTCCCAGCAGAATAGATCACACCACCATGTGAAGATGAACGGCTTGTTTGGTGTTACCTTTGTAGATTTTAAACAGGATTGTGCGGCTTGATGGCGCCTGGAGGACTTGGGGGCCTCCTACCTATTCGATATTACGACAATAGGGTTCTATTAATCATTCAATTATGATGGTATGCCGGCGAACCACATATCTTATCAAAAAAAACTCTCCAAGTGCTAGTGTTGAAACTGTGACAAATCGATGAATCGTTGAGAATGATGAGCACTATTAGCCTGATGAATGAAAGATATTGGTAAAGTGCGAATACCTCTAGCATCAACATAATCGCAATTTTGGAAGAGAAAATTATATGATTAAGTGACAACCCAGAGCCCCCAGTTCTGCGGGTTACAGGTAAGCACTGATTTATGGTGAGGCCTAGATAACTCTCTCACGTATCTACGAAATACGACGTCTGGAAAACCATTGATGCTTATTCCTCCGTTTGCGGATAAATGAGATATCCAAATTGCAAAACCATGGGTTAAGAGCCGCTATCACCATGGCCTGCCAACTAGATCGTCGCCTGATAGAGCCTGCGATACCTAATGAGGGTATTTATTGGTTGACAATCCGCACAGCGTCCCAAATATTAGCCCCCGTGGTTCGTATATCCCTCTGTCACGATACTTTCCATCTCTAACTGTCTCTTGGATGGCGGGTAGGTCCGCTGACCTAAGAGACGGTTATACCCCATACTCAGTGGGATGGGTGGACATACCCGACACTCGCTATCTGGGGCCCCTGATTGGTCTGTTGTTCTGTTCCCGCGTGCACTCGACATGCAAAGTGTGTGGCAATAATGCAATCTGCGTCCTATTCTGTAGACCCACCCTGAATTGTTGAAACGGTAAGAGCTAGTTTCGTCACTTCTCCAACTAATAGAGGCCAACTCTTCAACACACAACGTTCGCCAATATTGAATGCGACCTCCATATGACTACACAATTCATTTACTGTGCGTGAGGGCTACATTCTGATGTTCGGTGGTAGTAGTATGTCGAACTGTGATAAAGTTTCTAGTAGTCTCGCGCGTGGAGAACAAGGATATAATTTCTCATTCCAACGTTCTAACTGTCTAAAAAGAACCAGGTTTTTCTTGCGTCTTGTTTCGGTGGACGGGTAGCCATTTGCGGTAAAATAGAACAGTAACAGCGAAGGTCAGCGAGTACCACATAGCGGGAAGTACGGAATCCAAAAAATTAGTTCAGGGGATGTTGGGACTTTGTGGATGCTTCTTAGCTCCATATCTTATGATACACAACCACTATATTCTATAAATGGTATTGGCTAGTATATCTGAGGCAATGAATCTGGATCAAGTCCATTGGATTTATGTTATCTCAAGAAGGTAAAAGTATTGCACCTTTATATCATCTGATTAACACGATGATAAAAGATCCATCATTACTAGGTTTACGTTAGAAATTTGGGAGATCTAGCCTTAGGAATATGGAAATCACGCAACTATCTCTACTCTCCAATGATTACACAGCTGCTGCATATAAAGACCTCCAGCAGGTTGACAAAGATACTCATACCGGACTAGATGCTATGCACTAAGAGCTACTATTAAACTTACTCTTACTTTTACAATAAGGGTTCGACATGGGTTTTACAAGCGACAATGATCTGGTAGAGACTGTCCCTGATAGTTATATTGTGGTTCTGGAACCAGATCAGGATGCCACATCTCATACTGAATCTATCAATTCCCTGTTGAAGCAGGATGTCTTTGTAACATCTGAGAAACTTGGCTTAAAAATGGACCATGTACCTTCTTTGAAGGAAAACCGTCAAAAACCGTAGATACTGTTTGCAACTAAAAGTTAATTTTTTTTTTTTTTTTTTGGATATACAAGACCTTTGGCTAGGATAAGTGTAGATAATCCCCGAAAAGGACAGTAAGCTATATTTCCCAAATAGAAAATACTAAAGTTCAAATTCCCGTATCGCGATCAAGGCCACAGGTCATGATTTGCAAGCGTGCCCGTTCCTCAACGATTTCCAATACGTAGCGTTGTGAACGCTTCTACGATCCACTCATCCTGGGAGATTGTCTCGAAGTCACGGTTAGCAGGATTTTCCTCTTCCATAGTTTCTTTCGCTGGGGCCGTATCCAAGCGCTCCAAGCTCAGAGGGTCCCGTCGCAATTGGTCTATGGAATTTGCCATCCAATTAGTACCGTAAGAGGAGCCTCTGCAACTGCAGAGGCGCTGATCAGTACTAGTAGGTTCGAGGAATTATTAGATTTTCTAACTTTAATACCAGGGTTAAAAAATCTACAATCTAGTTCAGGTCTAACCTTCTAACCTATGTTAATTTACTAGTGAGATTTAAAATGTTTTATCCGACTGACTTGCATCGGCCTGTGGAATTGACGTCCTACATATACTACGAGGTGAGCAAAAAAAAGCCCAGTCCACAATGATGAATGCCTAGCACTTAGCCCCCTTGACGAGAAATCCGAGAAGAAATTCTTCCACAACTCATAAGCGCCATTTGGCAGGACAAATTTCTCCGGGGTTTAGAGCATGGGCTGTGGAGGTCTTGGCAGGACTCCCCCCGCATTGGCCGATGATTTTCTTCATAGCGTTTGCTCCACATCTCCGGAATATACGATACCCCCGTCGGTATCAAACAGGGATCTTTCCGGTGGGGGGAGGGAAGCCTCGGTATGCGAGATGGAACCAGCGGTCTTGCTATAGACCATGATTAGTGACCGTTTGGCACGGTCATTATATGCTCAACGATACATAAATACCCGCGTCCGGCGAGGGAGTGGACGATCACTGTGACTGAACAAGTTCGCGTGGAAGTGACACATACTCCCTTTGCAAGTCACAATGTTGTTCAGAATGCTGCAGGCCCTTTTGGGGCTATGGGCGATATTCCCCATAGCCTCCGCATACACGAACCCAATCCGCAATCCCGGGGGCAGCGACCCCTTCATGGTCTATACCGGAGGCTACTACTACCTTCTCACGACGACATGGAACGACGTGCAAGTCAGTCGGGCAACTACCGTTGACGGCCTCAAGACCCCCGAGACGAAGGTCGCTTACACGACCACCGAGGAGACTCACTGCTGCAATGTGTGGGCACCCGAAGTTCACTACCTGGGCGGCAAGTGGTACATTTACTACACGGCCGGCAACAGTGCCGATCTGGATGGCCAGCGCATGCATGTATTGGAAGGTAAGCTAGTGCACTGTTAACCTCGGAACACCTTGGGCTTTTTTTCTTTTTTTTTCCCTGAACTAACGGTCTTTAGGTGGTGCAACTCCCTGGGATGATTACACTTATGCGGGCCAGCTGACCACGGAATGGGGAATTGACGGGTCTATCATCCGGTTCAACGACTTTGGCAACTATATGGCGTTCTCATGCTTCCACGGCGTTACATACCAATCCCTCTGTATCCAGCAGCTGGGATCGGACTATACCTCGTTGACGGGCGACATCTATGTTATCTCCGAGCCCGTTGAAGACTTTGAAACGCACGGCACACCGGTCAATGAGGGTCCCGCGGCCCTCTATCTCGATGGCAAGACGCACATCGCGTACTCGGCTTCTTACTGCTGGACGGCGTACTATTGCGTGGGACTTCTTACATGGGACGGCGTCACCAACCCGACCGACAAGAACGCCTGGAGCAAGCACGATGGCTGTCTTTTGTCATCGGCTAATGGAAACTATGGAACGGGCCATAACTCCTTCTTCCAAAGCCCAGACGCTTCGCAGACGTGGATCGCCTATCATGCTACTACCAATGAAAGTGGCGCATGTGATGATAGCCGTTATACCATGGTGCAAGAGATCAGCTCGGGCAGCAATGGCATCCCGAATCTTGGAGAAGCATTGGCGTGGACTGTGGAAATCGGCGAGCCGAGCTCCTAAGAGACCGCAAGATATAGCGTTAAACTCATCACGGGGGGGGGACATTGTACCATAGCGCTAATTTTGCTGAATCTCAGATAGACGAAAAGTCACAATGATTTGGAACAAAACTGTTCATACATTCACACATCGACATCTTGTAGGCACGGATCATGTAAAGGAAAGAAATCGAAACCTAGTGAGAATTATACAATTCAGGTACATAGGCTTTTTTGCCGTCGGTCTTGAGTTACATATGAGTAGATGAAACGACAATACTGGCTTCAACGGATATAGTACAGAGTCAAACGTAACGAGTAATGAGTAAATAAAGTATGGACTTGGGCGCGGTGAAGATGATGATCGTCGAGTACTGACCGCCTTAGAGTAGCTGTGAAAGAACAGAAAAATAAAACAAAAAAGAATGACCGACGCAGGGATCGAACCTGCAATCTCTTGATTCGTAGTCAAGCGCCTTGCCATTGGGCCAGCCGGCCAATTGTTGAAATTAAATTTAAGTATATATCAATATATGCCAAAGATTTGGTTCTAAGCCCTTGACCAGTATCTCCCACCCGATGTTTCGTATATTCTTTATATCAAATACTCCAAATCCTTAAATGGAAGCTGATATTTGCTGTAGGCATATCAAGACTATTTAGAGACTGATTTAGTGAGTGTTAATTGCTTTTACGCCGTTGAATTTTTTTTTTTTCTCTTCTTTTTTTGGTTCTTTCTTTTCTTTTGCAGTGTCCACACACAAGAAATATATCTTTGAGTTCCATATGCTTCAGCTTTATCATTCATGTTCATTCTACATAACTATAGTTTACTCCGCGGTGTAATTCATCTACGCTACTTTGTTTATTGTTCTTTCAGCAATAGATCAACAATTTTGTTATGTATCGTCACCAGTCCTCCCAAATAATACCTCGATATCGAATTCAGCCGATAATTGATACACGCTAATACTCCACCTCCCCCGTACACCAGAATGGAACCCAGCAAACTTCGATAGATCTGAGTACCAGTCGTGCATTGTCCTGAAAGGCGATACTCGATCTGGACTCAAGTTTGTAATCCAAATAGGACATACATGCTAGCCAGAACCTCTACCATGTCCCTTTGTCATGAGGATAATCATATCGAGGCGCATGTTTTTTAGTATTCCAGTCCGAATACTCGACCCATTTATTGTCCACAAGCTGGCGCAGATCAAGATTTGCTCCATGAGCCTGGTCTTGATCGATGGTAAGGGCATTGATTGATAGATACCCAGTCACATCCTCCTTGAAGGTATCAGGATCCATTCGCCAAACGGTGATCGTCTTTGACGATTCCTCTATACCCGGGAGATCGGGCTTGTCGTCATGACTGGGAACCGCCGCCGAAATCTTTTCGATATCGATCTGGTCTTGTTTCCAGTGAGGTACGGTCGCGAAACATCGTACGCCGCACGTCGGACAAAAGAACCAGTTGATGTGACCATTCTGGCATTTATAATTAGCCAGAGTATCGTGATCCAGCGGGGAGAGTAGAAAGAATTGGTTCGGCGCGTCTGGAAGTCGCATGTGGAATAATCCCATTTTTTGACAGGTTGTGCAATTGCACTTGTAGAATCGGAGACGAGGACCCTCGACCGCGTCTGATCCGAGGGCTACTGCTGGTGGCATCGGAATGACGGCGATGTACCGGATAAACCCGCAGTGGCAGGAGCCATGGTAGGGGAGATTGGATTGTTGTTCGTTGGAGGTCATCATATTGGGGCAGCGTGTGGTAGCAATAGTCGTTGGAGTCAAGACTGCGGATTATGGTATTCCGTTCGGGACTGGGACAATAAATAGAATTAAATCCACCATCAATCAGCACTAGTTCTATTCGTGAGTCATTTGTGGTATCTTTATTGAGTGATCCCCCCGCCAGGACTGACGCGGATCCATAATTATCCCGGCAGATGCAGGGATCGTCAGCTTTAGGCATTCAGATTAGCGTCTGGACTTTTGACGTTTTCTTCCTAGAAAACGAATTGGCTCCACTCTTACGGTTACATCGGCCATGGGGGCTGAAACTCAGCTCGTTGTTCTATCCAAAGGACACTCCACGTAAATATGTCAAGTATTGTCAAGCATCTACTGTGTATACGGAGTATATGACGCTTCTACTCGAACAACCGATCTAGCAACGCCACTGGCTTCCCTCTTTTACAAGCATAGTCCACCTCCTCATACTCATCAATCTCTCGCTTGATACCCCCTAACTGGAGATCCGCCTTGCCGATCCCCACGTATCGCGTGCGCCGGAATATCTTCCAGAACACAAAAGCAAGTGCATAAAACCCAATAATAACGTAGTTGAGAAAGAATGATTTCAAATCCCAACCACCGGAAAGAAAGACATTATACCCCAAGACCAAGACCATCACTGCCGTTCCGCAAAGGGCGTACCACGCCGTGTAGGGCTGGAAGCGACTGCGATAGGGGAGGTTTTCGCGTGAGATGCCCTGACGACGCAGTGAAGCATGGAAATGTAGGTAGGTGATGCATGTGCCAAAGTAGTTGAGGAGGTAGGAGCCTGCGATGCAGCTAACCAGCCAATTGAGTACAGTGGCCGAGCTGTTACTGACTTGTAGGAAACCTAGGAGACTAAAAGCCATGGCTATGGCTACGGCGTTGTATGGCAATCCGGCTCGGTTCGTTTTGGAGACCCATTTTGGGGCCTTTTTCTCTAGTGACATGCCGTACAAGGTCCGCGAGGCAGAGAACACGACATTGTTTCCCGCGGACAGGACAGAGGTCATGATCAGCACATTAACAATGTCCGGTAGGACCGGAATCCCGAAGTGGTTCATGGAGATAACATAGGGAGACCTGAATCGTGGTCAGCCAACCTGTATGCTTGGGTTCTATCCCCTGAATACTACTTACGCGGCACCGGTCCCACTGCCCTGCTTTGTACCATCCAGCATGGCAGCTAACGTAGGGTCGTTGTACGGAATTACGATTCCTACACAGAGTGCTCCCAGACAGAAGAAAAACATAAGGCGCCAACCAAATGATGCGAATGCTTTCCGCATGACTCTCCGGGGTCGCTCGGCTTCACCAGCCGCCATGGATATGAATTCCGGCCCTACCATTCTATCCGTCCGCATTAGCTATCAGCATGTCCCTTGTGGTCCTGTAGATGCTTCCGACAAAAGATAAATTGGCCAATGGATTCACTTACGTGAATGCGCCCTGGATCATGCAGCTTAACACTCCAAGAAAGCGACCAGTGTCCCCGGGCACTAGATGTGAGACAAATGCTCCCTGCAAGTCGGTGACGAAAGGGGAATGATTAGCTTAGCGTTTGCTGCAAGTGACATCGGGACGTGTGTACGAACTGGGTCGTTCCAGTATCGGAATCCAATGACATCACGATGGGGATTGCCGCCCACCATGGTGACAAACGTGTAGAGAATCAAGCCCAGCATCAGGAAGATCTTGAAGAACGATAAGTAGAACTCAGCAACGCCGAAATAGCGAACGGTGAGGACGTTCAATATACTAGACGGGGTCATAAGGATTTTCCTAGGCCCAAGCAACTTGTGGGGTCCTTACCCATAGATGACCATGACTACGACAACAACCGCTGCAGTGGGCACTTTGTCGGTCCAGTAGGTAAGCAGAACATTGATTGCGACAATCTCATAAGGAATGTTTAGCGCTGTATATGTTGAATGGTCACATCCAAGGTGAGCATACTCTGTGACAAGCCAGGCGCGAAAGGAACTAACCCATGGCTAAGAAGAAATTCCAGCCCATCGCGAAGCTCAAAGCATCATCTACCCAATGCCCAGCCAACCGCACGAAGGGCGATGGAATAGGCATGTAGCAAACCATCTCCGCTGGATGTGCCTTTTAGTATTAGCCCGGTACCACGCTATAGAGCCAACACGGATACGCTAGTAGCCTCGGTTGAACTGAATCTCGAGACTGAGACTTACCAAAACATTCATTAACGGCCAGAACGATTGTACTGTACGCTATGAATCCGATAAAGAGGCCCGCCGGACCACCCTTGGGCAAGGCTGAGCCCATTTGTACAAAGAGCGCTGATGCAAATGAGTAAATTGAGGCGATTGTTAACAGGTCCAAGACCAACATACATGTACCGATAGCCCCCCCTACTGCAAAGAGCTGAACCTCTCGCCCACGGAGCTTCCTGTGAAGCTTCTGAGACCCCGGGGAGAGCACCTCAGTCTCGTCAACTCCATTGGGATCGTCACCTGGGATGGGATCGGATTGTACTCCCTTAGGTATGTCGGCAGGTGCAGTCGATGCCATGGTCATATCTCATATGTGAGTGAAGTTGCTCGGAGAAGATGTCTTCCGATTCATTTTGGTCGCAACGCAAGTGTTGACCTTACCATGCGTTTCTCTTCAAATCTTCATCGTACGATGGCGCCTAAGTGATCAGCGCCCCAGGAGGGGTAATATGCACCTCATCACGTCACACCGCAGATTATCTGCAGTAATACGATTCTTGTACGCACTACACGAGCCTCCCACGGCGTGAGGATGATAAGAAGTACCCACTTAGTACCGCGCGCAGACAGGGGACTCGGCTTTTCACACCCAGTCACGAATGGCGGAGATAGTTTGAGATACAGTTATCGGGCTGTGTGATATCGACTCGAGCGAGAGTAGGACAACCTTTGTTAGTCAGTAGATCAATTGAATGGAATGCGTTGGTCTAAAAAGGTTGCGGGTTTCATACGACTTGGAGATTCATCGATGAGGATTGATATATTTTGTGTTGAATGTTTGCCTACAAGAGCCACCCTGTCACTTAGATCAATACTAAAGGCGAACCGACCCAGAAGCACTACACGCACCGAAGTCTGCTAGGGTTCACCTTCACTCACGTAATCATTAAGTTAATTCTCATAGATCATTATTGCGCTTTTATACAAAGAAAGTAGGTAATGCCAGACATGTCCCGCTCTTCTCTATCTCAATATATTTCTAGAATCCCTGGGTTTTGATTCACCGGAGGCAAAATTCATCTGGTTTTCTTCTCTTCCACTCCATCTCCGCTGTCACTGCCTGCAGATCCATCAACCAACACAGCATCCGCATCCGAATCGTACTGTGCTCGGACGCGCTCGCGGCCTCGTTCTTTCATGGAGTCGCGAATTCGTCGGTTGACCTCTCCGAGATCATCCTTCGATCCAATCGTCAGTGGTTTGAGCAGGGTGTCTTGGAAGAAACCGCCACTTCGGGATCGGCTGCGGCTGCCTCGGGTTTTACTGGTGTTTCGGCTTTCGGGCTCACTAGGTGGCATACTCTTCAACCGAGACTGGTACGTGTCATCATGAGGATAGCCATGGGGAACGAGCTTCTCATGTTCAAAGTCTGGGAAGATCTCCGGTGCAAAGGCATCGATCGTGTCGACTACCTTTGTCGACAAGGCTTGGCGCTCCTCCCGCAGCTTGGCCAACGAGTTTGCGGAGATGGGGTTTAAGGCAACGAGAAGAGGCGGGAGAGACTTGAGTACGTCCATGCCGATCTCGCCGATTCGCAAACCAGCGAAGGATACGGAAATCATCAAGCCGAAGAAAAACACAGAAAAGAGCCACAGGGGAATGCTATCAGGGACGTAGGTTCTGGGGTTTGTCCACCAAGGTGAAACGGCACAGTAATGTCCATCGTTGCGACAGTAGTGTAGCCATGTCGTCACAACCACGGTATACCAGGTATACAAGGCAGGCGCCAGTCCCATAGCGACAAGAATCTTCCAGGTCCCGACGACGTCACGGCCTTCAAGCTTGACTACGGAACCGGCAAGAGCTTTGCGCTGCTTTTTTACCGAGATAACCTTGGCGGTAACAAAGACCGGCCAAAAGAGCGCGACAGATGGCAGTGTTCCTACGGCTAGGGTGAGAAGCTCACCGATGCGATACAGCAGCGTGCCCAAGACCATCCACCACGGTCGGTGCTTCACGTCGCCCCACTCAACCTGGTGGTCCCGGATGCCTAAGGCTCGAAGGCGTCGGTTGTAGTCGGATATAGCCTTTTTTAACTGGAGGACTTTAGGCTCGTCCTTGAACTGAGTGTAACCCTTGAGCAGTCGTCGATTGACTTCAATAACAATTGGCAAGGGTAGCTTCATCCGGAGAGGTCGGTACAGTCTCCTCGTGGCTTGGACGAGCATGAGTGTCTCGTGGTCGGGCGCTTGTTGAGTAACCGCAGTTAGTGCTTCATTAATCGTCTCCAGCAATGATCCCACGGCGTTGCGCTTCGAGTTCCCACCGGCCTTGAACGCTTCGACTTGGTCCGGATGTACGTGAACGGGGTTACCGAACTCGACGACAGCGCGAGAACGGAACTTATTCGGGTGAAAGTAATTCATGCCGCAGGGAATGATAGACAGGCCGCAGTTGGGATCCTGAGCCAGAGCACCCAATGCGATGATGGCGACACCAGCCTTCAAGGGGAGCAGGCTGGGTCGGTCATGGCTGCCACCTTCCGGAAAGATTCCGATACAGCCCCCTGCAATGAGTTCGCTATAAACGGCGTCGAACATTTGACGCTGGTCGATATGCGGGGCCACTTTGAATTTCGTCCCCGTGCGCAACGCGTCGTACAGAGGGTGATCTTCGTCGAACTGCTTGAACGGCTTTCGCAGTCTCAATTCTTCCGGCCCGAGAATCTGCGCAATCGCTTGCTGTTCCGGACTGGTCTTTCCCACCCGCGGGAGAATAATTGTGCCGCCTTCCATGAAGAGTTTACTCGTAAAATCCGTTCCTTTACCACGAACAAGGGTCGGATCATTGTCGGGATCCGGCAAATAGATCATACCCTGAGCTGGCTTGACATTATCCTGGGCTCTCACGACCGGAAGGGCTCCCATGCATCCGGCCATTGTGCCGATATATGGCTCCCGCATGGACTTCTCGGCAATAAGGAAAGAGCTCCGACGATTGGCTGCGTGCTTCAGGATGCGCATTAACAGGATAGAGTCGACAAATTGATTGGCATGTGGAGCGGCCACGATGATCACCGGCCCGCGTCTGGGGATTCGCCAAGCTCCTCGGGAGTAAACCTCCCGGAAGAAAATGTCTAGACATAGGGTGAAGATCCAGATGCCCAAGTCATAGAGCCATGGGATCATGTATCTTCGCGCCATGATCGCGTCTACGTTAGGCCGGCCCGCTGGAATGGCAGGCGATCGGTGGCCTAAACAGCTGTGAAAGACAACCTAACTCTTGACGGGTACCATAAACCGCGGAGTTAGAGTAGCCAATAGTCTCAGAGATGTTGTGTATGCGAGAGTATGCAAGTATGTATGTGCGACGCGGCGGGTGTTTGGTGGGAATGGATAATAATCCTCATCTGGGAGTCGCGGAACCGAAATTCTCCGCAAAGCTTAGCGCCTTTTTTTCCCATGGCTGACTCAGCAATATGATGTCATGGTGCAAACTAGGCAAACATCCTGGGAGTGGAATTGACTTCCATTGACTTTTAGCCCTGGAGAAACCACTTTGAGAGACTATTGGCAAGTCTTAATCAATATTGGTAACTTCAAGAAATTATCTCATTGTAAGAATTGCGAGAGATACGGCTAGATCCTTGATCCTCGATGGCCGCGTAGTGTTTCGTCATCAACATCAACAAAAAAAAAAAAAGATTCAGAGTCGACACTGATCAGGAAAAGGACCTAATCCTTACCTTGAACCAGTGCATTTTGAAGGCTAGTGTAGCGTGGGTACTCTGTGTCTCGCAAGGCTGCGTAGCGCTGAGCATAGTCCTACACTTTTCTATTAATAACCTGGGGATCCCAGCGTGGAAGGGCCAGTTTGCAATGACGCGAGACCGAACAAATACTCCTTAGATAAAGAGATATGTCAGTCTTAGTTATGAGGCCTCATAAGAGTATTGATATTAAAGTAGAGATATCCTTAACTACACCGTCCTTTGGCGTCAAAAATGACACGTATGTCAGGCCCCCCAGGAACACGAGCTGTCGGCATATCGCTAAATCTTGGTCCTCTAACGGATGTGGATCTCCTGTGCGTACTAAATGCAGAAGTCGATCTGATCTGCCAATGACGTAGGAAAAAAAACCACTGTAATTCCACTGTCTCACTGTAACATATGCTACCCCGGTCGAAGTATAAAATGATACGATATCAGGCAGTACAACCTTGCGACTAATGTAACCTTTGTGCTACGGCTCGAGATAAAAGGAAAAGCATTCTACCGTATTAGTGGCTTGTAGATATTGTGCTAGGCGCAGATCCCAAACGAGGGGGATCTATCATAAAGCATTCAACATGGGGGACAGTCATGCATTTCAATTCCATTAGCACGATTCAATAGTGTACGGTCAAAGTACATGTGCGTCGGGTGTCCTTTATAGCGGGTCACTACTCTACCCCTTACATGATTTCTATATCCAAGCGTTACTTAGCATTATTCAATCCGCGTATACCCCAATCTCGAGGTAGTATACGAAGCATGCACTCGGCCGTGCAGCTCTACTTGGAAAACCTCTGGCTTGTGCCTTCATGATGCCTAAATTAGATGTCATGATCATCCAGGTCAGAAATAGGCTACCAGATATTTGAACGACGACTCTTGAAATAAAATCTTTCGCGCGGTCTAATAACGAACGTTGAAATCGAGGTATGGCTATATGCAGTGTGACCAACTATACAGCCTCCGTACACGTAACATGGCGTTCGACAAATATGGGATAGAAACTCCATGCAAGACGCCACTGTTTCTGTGACTTGTCTAAATTAGAATGTGGGGCCAAAGCTGAAGAGATACTGACCGTTCTAAGCATCAAGCGTTTCTCGTATCTGCAGATAGGATTCAATTTCAGGTCAGCATTTAGTATGCCGTTGAGTCTCCGCAGTTACATCCATTTCGTCGTTTGCAAGACAATACTAGGAGCTGAGAGATCTCGCCCACGCTGAGTGGCAGAATGCCAGTGACGTATCTGAGACATGTCCCACCCCGAGTCCACTGAACAAGTAAAGATATGTGATGATTGGATGTCGCTGATGCGGACCGGGATAAACGACGAAAGAGACCATGAGTCAGCCCTGAACAGCTTTATTGGGGAACGTACGATGTAAGCATTACCTCCGGCAGTATTTTAAGTGAGGGTAGAGTAGAGCGCATTCATGGCTATAAATACATGGTTTGGGCCCGCCCATCGAACAATACTAACTTGGCTCTCTATCAATAATCTTCACTAAATTCAGTCCAATTGAAACTGATCATCCCGCACGATGCAACTTCTCCCAGGCTTTATCACTGCTCTCACCTTGAGCACCGGAGTCTTTGCCCAAGGCTGGCATGGATGTGCCGCAGGCTTCAGTGTGAGAATCCCTCCGGCATGCCTTTGCTTGATACAAGGCAATTATTGATCTTGTGGTTTAGTGTCAAAATGACGAGCAATGCCGTAATCAACTAGACTGCCAGCAGGAAGCCCACAATGTAAGCAGAAATCAGCGCTGTGTATTCTTTTCAGACATATAAGGCATCTACTGACCAGCTTTATTCATAAGAATCTTGACAAGATTCATTGCGGTCAAGCGAATCATCCTGTCGCTTGTTGGGCGGTAAGAATCTGCTTCTAATATGGATGCGTGACTTATGAAGCTGATATACCAATGTTTCTACAGTACACGAACTGATGAGGAGGGTTACTTTTCTGACAAATTCATGTTTCATGATTAAGACATAACAGACCACACAGGTGGAAGTCGCTAAGAGAGGTGACGTCAAGGTTGATGTATCTCATTCCTGTATTTATCTGGTCTCTTCGTCTGTGTCCTTTGACCTCAATGACGAATTTGAGTTTTTATGGATTCTTGCAATATATCCGCAATATGCGGGGAGGATATACGGATATATAAAAACATTAAAGATATTATCGCAGCTTACTAGAGTATGACATACTCTGTGATTGATTACTATTGATTGGATCAGAATTCTGAGCAACGAAACGCAGTTACTTGATCAATTTGCCCCGGACCTAATAGGGATGCATGTCATAGAGAGCCTCAGAGGACCTTCTAAGCTTCTGCGTCAGTTGCCTTCTGAAAATATTCATTAACGCACGTGAGCTAGGAAATGCGAAAAGGGAGATTGGGATGAGGCTTATGGCCAGTCCTTGGTAATAGTTTGAACTTTGAGGAGACGATGGGCCCTTTTCGGATCATGTCGATCATTCAATGAGCCGCAGGGTGTGGGTCATCCCTTGCTGATGATCCCTCTCACAGTGGATTTCGATGTGCATATAATTGGATTTCTTTGGCCTGATAGAGCTATAAGAAATTTAGCGCACATTCTTTGATCTACATTACAGCCATTTCCGGTCAAGATTCTTGTTTGTTTATTCTGTGAGATACAGGGGAGCCCGCTTATTATTGCTCCATGATTGCCGATTATACTTCCTATTAAGGGTACCCTGCAATCCAAATGCAGAGGTAGATCCTGTGAGTGCATATGCAAGGCTCAGAATACCACAATATATATGCGCTACTGTCACGGCGTGATGAGCAGGCAAAGGATGGCCTCTTTGTGTTCACTATCTCACTTCCGACTCGATGTCGTGTTATACACACCCCGATGGGAATCCTTTAAGATAGTTGTTTGTGTTCCCTTTAACCTAACTCCCATTGGATAGAACAAAATGGGCGCACATACCCTAGAAGAGGGCAAGGCGATACCAATAAGCCATGACTCTGACCCTCTTGACGATGGTTTATCTCAACATGGCCTTCAATTGACTCCGGATGGTCGGTTCGTTCGATGGCTACCCACAGATATGAATCACCCCAGAAATTGGTCATTCAGAAGGAAGACATATGATCTGACCATTATCAATCTTGTGGACCTTTTTACGTGGGTGATTCCTTTTCACTTGTGTTGCTTCTGGAGCTGATGTCTTATCGAAATGGCCAGCACAGCCTCCAGCACAGCTGGCGTGAGTGCCACCGATGGCTTAAGCACCTGAAAGCAATAGACTAATCGCCGTTGATCAGACAATCACTGCAAAAGCTGCGCATGCAGAGTATAATATAGACCAAACGCTGGCCATATTCCTATTTGTGTCGGTGTATGCGGAACCAGTTTGCTCCCTCCGATGTCCATAGCTCTAACTGCGACTAGGTCACTCCTGGGACAATTGACTGGGTCAGTACTGTTTGCACCATACTCGGAGACATTTGGGCGTCGAAAGCTTTACATAATTAGCGGCATCTTGTTCAGCATTGGTTGTGTTATTATTGCGTCAGTTCAATCGCTTGCAGCCGTCGTCGTTGGACGATGCGCAACAGGATTTCTCTCAATACCGGCAAACGTGCTAGCAGGTAGCATTGAAGACATGTATCGAAGTCGACAGCGAACGTGGTGGCTGTGTATATGGTCGGTTGCATCGAATTTAGGTCTTGTACTTGGGCCGATCATGGGTGCTTATATTACTAGTAACTTGGGCTGGTAAGATGCTATAAACATGGATGATGACATGGATGAACGCTCATGTTTATATCTTTAGGAGATGGGTCTTTTATGTCGCTGCGTGTATAATCGGCTTTCTTACCATCCTGCTTCTTTTCATCCGGGAGTCACGTCCATCTCTACTCCTCGTGCGCCAGGTTGCCAATTTCCGACAGACAACAGGAATGAAAACGCCTCCTCCGCTGAATCCAGACCATACGCCAGACCTTCACACATTCATACGCACCACCTTGGTCCGGCCAGTGGAGTTATTCACTGAGCCTATTGTGATATGTGTCGCCGTGATGACATCAACTGCTTTTGGCTTGGTATATCTGTTTACCGAAGCGCTCCAGCCGATCTATCAAGATCTAGGATTCACCGCGGAGTCTTCATCATTTGCATTCGTCGGGTTGGGAATTGGCACAGTGCTTAGTCTTCTCACTCGTTTTGCAGGTGACCGAATTATTGAGAACTATCTGCGCGATGGTCGTCAGCTATTGCCCGAACATAAGCTCCTGGGGATATACATTGGTACACCACTGATGGCTATCGGTCTATGGTGGTTTGCATGGACTATTCCTCCTTACGCTGAAAACATGCATTGGATAGTTCCTACCATACCTCTCGTGCTTATTGGCTATGCGATAAACGAATTTCCGACCGTGCTCTTGGGGTACCTGGCCGACAGTTATTTGAGCTACGCGGCTAGTGGACTCGCAGCAGTCGCATCACTACGTGCAATCCTTTCAGCCACTTTCCCTTTATTTGCGCGACAGATGTTCTCAGCACTGGGAAACAATGTTGCTGTTTCAATACTGGCCGCAGTGGGGACGGTATTCTGTGTGATTCCGCCTCTGTTTGGACGCTATGGCACGAGAATCCGCGCAAACAGTAAATTCGCTCGCTACAGCCTGCGGACTCATGAAGAAAACTGCGTTGACAAAGATGAGTTCCTACCAAATGCTCCAGAGATGTCGAGCTGAATGTGATCTGTCCGTAAGAGCTCATCCGGTAATGAACGTTGGGATAATATTACGCAGCACTCCTCGAAGAACTTTACTCGGTAACACAATTGCCATTTCCATGATATTCCTTGGAGTCAGGAAGTCACTGTATTATAAGTGCTGTAGCAATATGCTTGTCATGAGTCAGAAGCGATAGAATACGACTAATTCATGCCCCAGAGAGTGGAAAACGTAGGCACCTTGCTTCACATTTGTACAAAAGCATTTATCATATACCTCCCATATCTATGGATTGCCCTTTCAGTCTAGTCTACTCTAGTTTCTCTCTGAATCTTTTTATCCCCCAGTGTCACCCCGACGTTTTTGACAACCAGCCACGCGGGTAGCAGCGAAATAGCCCACAGCCCGAAGTTGAGATAAACACTTCCTACCGAAGCCATTATCGTGACAGCGTTCAGACCATACTATGATTCATTATTAGTATACCTGAGAAAAAGGAACGAGGGCAGGATAACTTACCGAAACAGCCTGAGCTGCTGACTCCGTACCCCGAAGTAAGCCAGAGATACGAATAACCTCCTCTTCGTCTTCGGCAAGATTGCCAATAAGGAAATATCTGCCAGTGGTTAGTCATCAGCATCATCAAGTCATACACTCTCTGGCAGTAACATACAAGAACATATAGTTTAACTGGAATCCCGCAACCCAGAACAAGTACAGTGCGAACCCGCGGCCAAAACCCGCATCTGCCCAATCGTACGACGGCTGGGTTTTCTTAAATTCTGTCACGATGATAGTACCCCAAACCCACCATGCCCCTTGCAATGTGAGAATAGTTGCAAAGGCACTCCGGGTTCGAGTTTTGAGTGAAATGCGCTTGGTGTCCAAAAATGCGCCCAGCAGGTTGCCGAGAATCAGGGCTATAATACCTCCCAGGAAAGACCCTAACGCACGCGCCCGCACCGAGAACCACAGCGACAGATAGGTGAACATTACAGCCTCCGTAAAGACTGCTTGACTAATGAGTGGGACGATAAGGAGGAAGTTCCGAGTGAAGAAGAGCTTTGCCGTCTCTTTGATCTCGTGAAGTGGACTATGTGCTATGCGAAGTTTCACAGGAACTCCATCTGTGCGCTGCACTTGAGAGGGTGTGTTCAGCAGCAGTCCTGCAAACGGACCAAGCGCCTGTAGGACGATGAACACGATGAGCACAGCGTATGAGACACTACCTGCCGTGTCACGCTTGGAGTTGATGCCCAAATTAATCGCACCACCCAAAATCTGACCACCAACGCGAAAACTCAACCAGAAGCCGAGGAAGCGTCCTTGATTGTGTGGTTCAGGATAGGAGATCGCAATGGCAGCCTCAGCCATCCAGAAAATACCGGCAGAGAGGCCACAAAGCGCGGCACCAAAGAGAACGAACCATTCAGTGCCGAATCGATTGTTGGTGTAGAGACCCGCAGCATAGGGGGCGTAGCCCATCGTGCCGACAATGAGTGTCCATTTGATCCCGATGTAGCGGACAACTACACTGCCAAAGAAACATGAAAGCACCATGAGGCAGAATGTCAGTGCATTCGCTGCGTTGACGAGATACTATGTACTTGGTGTCAATATTTCCTGTCACAGTAGAAGGCCCGTTGGAGATTACCGACCGGCTTTTCCAACCCTCCTCCGCCGACCGAGTTCATGGCTCCCCAGATTCCAGGAGCGAGGAAATTACACAATCCCAAGATAAGAGCATTGTAGAACGTCGAGCGATACCATTTCACTGCTGCCGTTAGCATAGTCATTGGGGTTTGAAGCAGTCAGCTGACCTGGATGGTTTTGTGTTGAAGGGAGAGAATTGCTCCCAATCTCTTCATCTGTCGATCGGACATCCTCTTTCTCGTGAGTCATTCTGGAAGCAGTAACGTAGCCACCGTTCGATGTATGCTTTTGGATATTCGACATCTGAGAATGAAAGACATTCTGAAGCCATGGTGGGATTTATGTACAGCTACAGCTGCCGAGCTCTCGTCTATATGACAATCTAAGCTTATCGCGCAGGTAAATTGCCAATCGTGGACCCCTGTCTAGTCCAATAACAAAGTCAGATTCTAGCAGTAAATTGATTTAATTACGCTAAAGGTATAGGTTTTGCACGATCAATGCCGTAGCGGCTTTGGCGATGTTGCCGTTGGAGGGCTCGATTACGTGCTCGCACGGCATTTTAGCACAAATTGTGTATAATACTTTAGAAACAGGGATGCCAATTTTGTCCCAGCTCTGCTTTTTAAATTGAAAATTACCAAAACGGTTTTTACTCAAGACATATTATATTATGCTCCACAATTTTAGTTTGAGTTTTTAGTCTCCTTGTCCTTCTCCTTGAACCGAGGATACGATTATTTGAAAATGCAACGTTTGACCGTTACAAATCTGAAACAATAATATGTCCGAAGCGGAATGAAGTTAAGAAATACTTATATGTCAAATTCAATATAAGCACATTGTCATTGCTCTAGCGCCCCTTCTCAAGTATTCAGTCTCAATGATAAACACACATAATCATGCAAATGCAAAACGGACATCAAATCGATTAATCGTAGTGATGAAAATCTACTCCTGATCATCCGGATGGAAGACCAATGCCCTCACTTCAATACTTTCCCGTGACTCCTCATTCACAGTCTCTGGGTTAACAAACGCAGAGTGAGGAACTCTGCGGGCCCGACCATCCGTCTTGGAGTCAAAGCACTTGATCAAGGTGACCAAATCAGGCGTCTGCCCGTAGCGATAGTACCATTTGACATCAGGGTTGGGCTTAACCGCGTACGTCTCGCCCTCACGATTAGGGTAGATAAGCTTGATGCCCACGAGGTCACTATCCGGAAGCGTATGAGCATCTCCGACGGCCAATGGGTCTTTCAGAATCGGCTTGATAGGCCGCCAAACATTGATGATCTGATAACGTCCCTTGAGGAGCTCGGGACCGTCCTCAGGAAGATGGTAAGTGACACGGTTCTTCGCGGCTTCATAGGACTGGTCGATGTGCACACGCTGGACAGGACCCCGTTGTGGCGTGGACGTGGCCCGCACATCTTTGGGTGCACGGCGAATAGTATGGTCGAAGATGAAGACACGAGAAGCGCCAGTTCTATTGGAATTTAGTTAGTGTTTGGACATTGGAGAAGTCTGGGTGGCGCATACGCGTCTTTTAACAGCTGCTCGGTTTCTGGATAGTATTCCCTTGCAATTTTCTCATCGTCAAGGAAGTCCTTCTCACGGCTCTCATGGTAGTAGTACTGGAAACCATTTTTATCCAGTGTGTAGTCCAGCTCATGACCGCTTACGTCGTGAACGGTGACGTCGAGTGCGACGGAGGGCCGTTCGTAGGTCTCGGGCCGTGTGACATAGTTTGGGGTGAGATGAGAACCGTCCTCAAGCTCTTTTAGAAAGTACAGTTTGGTTTGAACGTGGTGGGGCTTTTCGGAGGAGGTAGGGACAGAGGCCCTCTGGGTAAGTGGTGATGGTTCGTGGCTGAGTGGGACTTGAACTGCAGCAGAGGCCATGATGGTTCGTGTCGTATGTAGCTAAGCTTGCACTAAGGGAATGGGCGATGTTTGAAACTTGTTCTAGCCTTTATGCTTTGATCTACACTGGAGCTTTTAGGTGAATAGCTACTTTTATATACACATCCGTTGGTGAAACGTGGAGACGAATTGGCATTTGTCAGATTCGCACGCCATCAGCCAGGGCTCAGATGCATGTGTCACTCGATTCGGGTGATAAATGTAAAACAGGCCTATTGGAGCTTTGGGGAGGGAGGGAATCCATGCAAGTATGACCGTTGAAATACTACAAAAGACGCAATAGGGAGACCCTCCACAGTGGCTGGCGAATAGGAGGACCGATATGCATTAATAATGAGATTCATTTAGGTCACCAGAGCACAGCTATAAGTTTACGCATTTCTAATCCATATAACGTCTTGACGTCAGCGCTTACATATCCAAGCTTAGGTGATTCTATACGAGCGAACAAGCTTTGTAATGCCCGTCCCATCCTCGAGCACGCCCTTCTCCTCTTCCAGTTGATAATTCCCCCAGCGTGGAAGTAGAACTGTCCATGTGTACCAATACAAGATACCAAATAAAACCCTGATTCGGTTAGCTATGCGAAATTATAACCAGTATTAGGAAACTTACACCCCAGCGCCAACAATAGCATACGTGGCATAGAAGAAATGCACATCTCCCTTCCGGTCTGGTGGAGGGAAGAAAGGAGCTGCCAGCAAAGCAATACAGACCACGATACGTAACCATATTGCCCAGTTCCAAGCCTTGAATGGACGGTGAAGGGATGGTTCCCGCCGTCGGACAATGAGAAGGCCGACCGTTATTGCTAAGGCAAAGATCTGTCCGGGATAGCCCTCGACGTCCAAGATGAAGTTGTAAACATCTCCTTGCGGTGGGAGGGAAATAACAAGAATAGATGGTACATAGTGTACAAGGAGTCCTCCAAGTGGAGAGTTGAAAGGTCGCGACGAGGACAGAAGATGCGACCACGGTAGAAAGCCCTGACGAGCAATTTCTTGGTTCACACGAGCCTGGTATATACAGTCAGCCTGGGGCGATTCAGTTCGCGACACGCAGTGTTCATACCAGAGCAAAGGTCACCACCATCACATTTCCGGCCGCAGAAATGGCAATGGCCAGCGGGAAAAGTACTCGGCCCACATGTGCCCCGAACAATCGCTCAAAAAGAAGGCCTGCAACAAGTTCACCACTGTTTTTGATCTCGTCAAGAGGAACTACAAGGAAGTAGGATATGTTTGCCAGGAAGTAAAGACCGCCCGCAGTCAGAAGCCCTGTTGGGCAAACCGTCTTGACAGTCTTGATCGGGTCTTTAACTTCATTTAGGACATTGTTCACATTGTTCAGTCCCGCATATGAATAGAAAATCTTGAAAATTGATGTTGAGATCAAGCTCCAGCTCCAATTGGAGCCTTCCCACAATGTATCCCATGCGAAAGGGTTGTTAGTGACCGCACGATTGGATTCACCGAGCGATTCATCGTAGGGGCGCAGAAGAATAACCCAAATTCCGGTTAATGACATGGCCATTATGAGGAAGATTTTGACCCATCCGAGGATATTCTGGATCCATATTCCGGTTTTGAGGAAGCAGCCATGCACAACGGTGATGAGGGTTAGAAGGCCAACAGCAAGTGCCTTGTGTTGATACTCGGTCGGTTCGATGTTAAATGCGAACAGTGTGTATTTCGCAAAAATAATGCTGTTGCTAGCTGTGAAGCCTAATAGTACTGCTTGTACAGCGATGAGGGTAGACGCGAGAAATTTAGGCCTGGGATAAGCGTACTCCAAGTATACCTATAGGGGGTTAACAAAGATTTAGATACGAAACAAGTGTGAGGTTAACAAGAAGCCATAAAATATGAATACTGATTTACCTTGTCTCCACCAGAACGAGGCAGCATACATCCAAATTCCATTGATACGGCCATTCCACAGGCCGCTAAGATTGTTCCGACCAGCCATAATAATAACGTCAATCCGATACTTCCGGCCGACTTGACGATTGACCCCGGGGTTGCAAACACACCGCTCCCGATAACACGCGAAATGACTAATATATATGCGCTAGACCAGTTGAGCGCTTTGCGATGGGATGGCACCCCTGGCAATTTGCTTTGGAATTCTGAGTGCAGTGCATCAAGCGGGGAGTCGAGTCTCGGGTCATCTACCGCGTCGTAACCAGGAGAAGTCGAGTCCAACAAGGGCTCTGTTTCCGTTTCCGTATTGCTCATCATGGGAGCAGAGTTCGTACCGCGTGCGGCGTTGTTCAATACAAGTCTCAAGCTCTTGGTTCAGAAGCAGGTAAGTCTCGCACCGTTGATATAACCTCCCCAACAGTTCAGGGGATTCTAGTCACCGGCCTTAAGTATAGACTGATCGGAAAGCAAGGGCCAAGTATCCAGCATATCATAGAAGGTCGGCAGGGCCGGTATTGATAGGGAGTTCACCCTCCATGATCCCCAGGCACGTCATTCTGGTCAGGAGTTATGTGTACGATTCCTGGAATGCTGAGTGGTCGATAGTATCAAAGATCGGACACATCACAGCTCTCGGAGGCCGGCGGCATTGGTCAGCATGCGGGATTCAGCAAGGGAGCTGATTGTTATATGTTTGAGAGCCAACATTGCAATCCGACTTGAAGCCTAACGGGGCAGCACTGATGATAAACCTACGATATCCTCAGACATCATTTTACTCCACAGACGGACCTTAAGGACCCTCTACTTTATTCTACGTAGTACGAAATTTAGCCTGATATTTTGAATGCACTATGACTTAATGATTAAAGATCAATCGGGGTGATAATACCTGGTGAAATTTTGTAATTTTGTCAAAGATTGTATTATTTACGAGGATTATTCCTCAATCTATGCCCTAAATCACATCATCGAGTTCTTTTATTGGCTCAGTATGATCGCCAGATTAATACTTTTGGTCACAATATCGGACGGTGTACGAAGCGTGGTAGTTTTATGACATCTGCCCGGAGGTGATTCGGACTCGAATACATTTATATAGTCTGAGTAGAGTACTTATATATTAAAGAAAGGTCAATCTGCAACGATGATCTACGGCTACTTTATGAACAATATCCATCGACCGAACTGCAAGGGATGGCAGCCAAGATTCTCTCCAACATTCCTCTTGATAACCATCCATCACGTCATATCAACCCCGCGATTCGCAATGCCCAATTATTAGAAATCACCCAAGAGACGAACAAAGACCAAGGCAAGTTTCAAAAAATATGTAGGGCGTGGTTATACTGTAGCTTCGAAGGATGGATCCATTATACCTCGCGTGGCGACTCCGGAGCTGGGATCGGCTCCTCTATCTCTTACTAGACGCTGGTCCAGTGCGGTGCCGATAACCGGTCTACCTCTATATATGTGACTGGAGGAGACGAATTACACACTCAGTACTTGATACTTACCACAGCGAGCCTTTTAATCCCATGAATATGACTGCCGTATCGACATATGTGCCCCTCGTTACGCTGAACGAGAAACAGCAAACTATATCATATCAAGAGATTTATCCGGAACAACGCTCGGAACCTATCTTCGTCAATCCTAATGTGCAGGAGGCAATCGTACCACAGCTCGGACGGGCCACTCAGCGTGCGCTGTTACTGAAAGCTGCGCGTGAACAGTACACGCTGGTCACCGATCATGCGATTCCATCAATATCGAACAAGGACGAGATCCTAGTCAAGGTACTCCAATTAGCTTCCACAGCTGGACATGTAGGTACTGATCAACCTTAGATTGTGGCGATTGGTTTGAACCCGATTGACTGGAAGGGCCCGTAAGCATTCCTACCAAATTGATCTCAGGGCCACGACTGATCATCACATTATCAGGGCTTTCAATTTTGGCATCCCGAGCCTACCATGGGTTAATGGTCGTGATTTAGCCGGTGTTGTCGTTAAGGCAAATAAGTCTTCACGAGTACAAGAGGGCGACATCGTTCTTGTGCCTTCCACCGATTATCGCGATATTAGAAAGGCCGCTTTCCAAGAATATGCCATCGCGACTCATTTCAATGCTGCACGCATCCCACCCACCCGAAGTATCCACGCTTCCGCCTCCTTAGGTGTTGCGTTTGTGGCATCTGCCCTCGCCTTGGGCGTCTCACTGGGATTAGACTTCTCCTACGCGTCGGCATGTCCGGGGCCGGACCTCACAGAAGTGGTTCGCTGGTTAGATACTGAAACTATCCCAACTGATATCAGAGAGGAGTGTTACTCAGGTCTCTCTAAGATCGAAAAAGTCAAGTCCGGCGACTGGATTGCCATTTGGGGAGGTGAGTTTCCCATCCCTCTTAGGGAGGACCAGTTTAGACTGATCCATCTAGCCTCTACCACCACTGGATACATCACGTTACAACTTGCCAAGCTTGCTGGACTGAAAGTAATCTGCGTGGCAGATATTGCCCGTCACGGTGGGAGACTAGTTGATCTAGGGGCTGATGCTCTGGTGGACCGACACGATACCCAGCGCGCAGTCGACATCATCAAAGGATTAACAAAGGGAAAGCTTCGATACGCCATTGACATTGTCGGAAAAGACACTGCAACTCTACTTCAACAAACACTTGACGATACTGTTCGCGGAGACGGGTCACACGCTCATCTTCTGGGCCTGACAGGCCTCCCCAAGGACAGAAGCTCCAATATCATTTACCATACAGTTCCGATTAAATTGTTCCATACGTCACCACAGGTAGGAGAGCGCATGGTCTCCTGGCTCGAGGATCTATTACTTTCAGGTGCTCTTGAACTACCAGAGATTATTCGCACGGAAGGAGGCTTGAGTAATGTTAATGCGTCGTTAGAACTTCTTCGACAAGGTACAGCGTCAGGGAAGCGTATTGTCGTTGACCTTGCAGGATAGTATATATGGTTATGTTGGAATACTACGTTAGATACCGGAAATGTGTTCATTAGATGCCTTAGGATAGAATGAAATCAAAGAGATCATAGCACTTGTCAGTATCGTCATGTCTAATCTCGTCTAATTTCTAGTACGCTCTCACATTACGAGAATTAAAAATACAAAACGCAATTGACCTGCTTACTTAGAGTATATCCCGAGGCAAGTCGAATTTTATCTCAGAATTGTCAAAACCCCTACATAACCAGATTCAGAGGATATTGAGGGGGGGAGATCCATTTTCAAACAGCAAATCCACAGGCACCCCGCTTGCAATGATTATATTTACCCCTCACTGAGCAAGTCTCTCGTGAAGTCCAATTGTTTGCGACAAGGATTCCTTTGCTCCTTGCGTGATGGGTGACGAATAAGCGGGAGCGAAGACGTGCCTCGGATCGCCGATTGCGACACTCTCGGCGTGGATGATGGAAGAAGGAGACCCCGTTGGAGTACCAGCTTCTAGTGTGAATATTACTCCAACTTGGAGACTCTCACTCAGCTTTGTAGAGGATTTGAACCGCATGAGAATTTGTCTACGGGGCATTATCGTTGCAGTCGGCAATCGTACTGGGTCATGCCGGAGCCCTAACCCAATTAACTTGCGTCGTCCTGTGGGATACGAGAGAATCTCAAGTTGAGCTGTTTGGACAGTGGGCTTTTTTGCAATTGAATTTACACATTAATACAATCACGGGCGAGGTCGCTGACCAGGATCGCCCTCAATGGCTCCTATATATTCTCTGATTCCTGGATATGAGCAATGTACCGCACGCAGCCAGGCAACTCAACCCTCTCCTATATCGCACCCTACCCATAACCCAGCAACGCGACACAGATTACAGCGACCATGGGCTCAATCGACACGCCCAAGAAGCAACTCATCTTAAATGCATTTGCCATGCAATCACCCTCCCACCTGAACCCAGGTCTCCATCGCTACCCGCAGGACCAAGGCGGCGCCTACAAGTCGCTCCAGCACTGGGTATCCCTGGCGCAAAAGCTCGAAGCCGCCAAATTCCACGCGATCTTTTTCGCCGACGTGTTGGGAGGTTATGATGTCTACAAGGGCCCAGCCAACCTCGATCCGACCATTCCTGCGGGCGCGCAATTCCCCATCAACGACCCACTGTACAGTGTACCTGCGATGGCGGCTGCGACCGAGTCGATCGGGTTCGGCGTAACGGCCTCGACGACCTACGATGCTCCCTATGCGCTCGCTCGACGATTTTCAACCGTTGATCATTTGACCAACGGTCGCGTGGGATGGAATATCGTGACCTCGTACTTGGATTCCGCCGCGCGTAATTTTGGGTTGAACACACAGGTCGAGCACGACGAGCGATATCGCATTGCCGATGAATACCTCGATGTCACATACAAACTCTGGGAGGGATCCTGGCGCGACGATGCTGTCAATGTCAAGGATGGAGTAGCTGGGTACGCCGATCCCAAAGCCGTTAGGCAGATTAACCATGAAGGAAAATACTTCAACGTCCCAGGACCACATCTGTGTGAGCCGAGCCCGCAGCGTACGCCTTTCCTGCTACAGGCTGGTACTTCCACCGCAGGCAAGGCATTCGCGGCGAAGCACGCAGAGGCTATTTTCTTACACGGTCAAAAACCGGAGCTAGTGCGACCGTCCGTCGATAATGTGCGACAGCAAGCGCAGGCGCAGGGTCGCGATCCTGGTTCTATCAAGGTTGTGGCGGGTATTCTGGCTATTGTGGCCGAGACTGATGAGGCGGCTCATGCGAAGTTCGCTGAGTTGGCTCGCTATGGAGATCCAGAGGGAGCGCTTGCTCTTTTCGGTGGATGGTCAGGGTACGACTTGTCAAAATATGAGGACGACCAGGACTTTCGCTTCGTGGAACAGCCGGCGATCCGTAGTATGGTGAATCATTGGGCAAGTACAGTGCCAGGGACTGAGGGCAAGAAATGGGACAAGAAGACGATCTCAGAGTATCTGATTATGGGAGGAAATGGCGCGAAAATTGTTGGAAGCGCGAAGACAGTCGCGGATGAGTTGGAGCGGTGGGTTGAAGTTGGCGATGTGGATGGGTTCAATCTGAGCTATGCCTCAATCCCTGAGACCTTCGACGATATTATAAAGTATTTGATTCCGGAGTTGCAGAGGCGAGGGATCTTCCATTCGGAGTATGCCGTCAAGGGAGGCACATTCCGCGAGAACATGTATGGGAGAAAGGGGCAAACACGACTGCCTGAGTCTCACCCAGGGGCGAAGTACGTGTGGCATGCAGGAGAGGAGACGCCAAAGTACGCGTTAGAAAAGAACACATGAATCGATGAAAATAGATTAGAAAGGCTAGGTACACAGACATGATATGACTGCTCGACATTTCCAGTTACCGGACAGCTGTTAGTGCTGCAAGGGAGTTCGAAGAAGAGTTAAAAAAAGGCAAATATACTCTATTCAAGCTCATGGGTCACCCCATTTTGGTAACATAAATGATGAAATGACATACGATAAGCTCTCGCAGATAGCTGTTGTAGCAAGACAATTAGCATGTTCCAGATTTTATCAACCTCTCAATTATCCCCACCAGAAACAGCGTAAAGCTTTGTGGTAGAACTATTACTCGTCACAGTATACCTCGACCTATTCCCTCCGTTCATATCTGTGTTCACCGGAGGATGCTAAGATTTAGATGGAATGAGAACATATGACATGGTGGAAGGTAATTGTATATAACATGCTGGTATAACCTGGTTCCTAAGGCTGCATTCAAACATCTAGGGCTAACTCATAGTGACGGTCAAACGTCCCACCAACCCTCCATATACGTGCGAAAATCTATTGTGTCAGGCCGCTTCACATGCGGCACCAAATCTGCGTCCAGAGACCGTTCTCTTGTGGTCCAGCCATTACCAAAATACGCGAATCGATTGCCGCTAGGGTTGACATAGGCATAATCCCAATCCTCCCATCGTGGTTCCCGTCGGATATAGTTTAATGTGGCAGCGCTTCCAGGGAACAGGCCATGGATCCGTCCCCCAGGACGGCCACCATTATACCAGGATCGACAGTTCTTCTGTCCAGGGGTCGAGTCATCATTACCCGTCCATACGGTGCGAGGGTAGAATGTATCAGAGTATTCGACAAAGTCGTCAGTGGCTTGTTTAGACGGAGCCATTGACTTGATCCCCTGGCTGCGGATCTTTCGCAAGACCTTAGCAATATAAGTAACCAGGTTCTCCATGCTATTCGGGACGCTTCCGCTATGGCCTGTGGCATGAGGACCGCCGATCCAAAGAAGATTTGGAAAGCCTGGTGTTGCGATACCAAGGTAATTATAGGGGAATCCCCACAAACCATCGTGTTTCCAGGCTTTCTTTAGATCTATTCCATTCGCAATAATCGAAAACGGAGGCGCATGGTCAACATTGGCACCAGTCGCGCAAATCACGACATCAACGGGCCTCTCAATGCCATCTGCCGTCACAATGCCCGTTGCTGTGAATCGTTCGATAGGCGTCTGTATGTAGTTCACATTATCCTTTGCCAGGGCTTCTAGATAACCAGGCCCTGGTGTAGCTCGCCGGCAGTTTGGCGGAAACTCAGGTAGAATTTTGTCTGCTAGTTCCGGCTTCTCAGTGATGCGCTGAAGCATTAATTGTGTCCACGTGTCTCGTTGTGCGCGATTCTCCGGCGAGTCTTTAAAGATTGCACCAAAGCGTGAGAAGTATCCTTCTTCCACACTCTTGCGATATTTGATATATGTGTCAGGGTCTTTAAATGATTCGAGCTGTTCGGGAGAGAACAAATTCGGCTCGAGTCGGCGCACACCCGTAGTGCCAAATGAGTCTGCAACCCAGGTGCGGTTACGCGCATAGTGATCGACGTGCTGTGCAATCGGTTGAATTGAAGGCAGAACCTGGAGGCCGGATGCCCCATTGCCAATAAGAGCAATTCGCTTTCCTTTCAAGTCGGCGTCATGTTTCCAGTGGGAGGAATGGAAAATGGTACCCGTGTATTGATCGATGCCAGGATAGTTGGGTAGTTTCCAATCATTGAAGTGACCGATCGCATTAATCAGGACGTCAAGATGTTCGATATATACCTAGTTCCAGTCAGTGCTATTCCTTCCGTGAGGGCTCTGTAGAAGCGTTCGCACCCTTCCTATGCCGACGTCCTGGACGGTGACACGCCATTTTCCTGTTTCAGGGACCCATACGGCTTCTTCTACCTTGTGTTGCAGCCGTATATATTTGTAAACTTGGTACTTGCGGGCAAGCCCTTGCCAGTATTCCCGAATTTCGTGTCCCTGTGCGAACTCCTCCGTCCATTGCGTGTTCGGTGCAAATCCAGATTGGTATACATGTGCTGGAACATCGCATCGCACACCAGGATATGTGTTTTCGTACCATGTGCCTCCCTGATGCTAGTCAATACTTCTCACATCTTGCTACGCGAGGGTATATTTTTTTTAGAGACACCTACCACGTCCGCATTCTTATCGAAGATCCGGAGGTCAAGGCCTGGTAATTTAGCCGGCAAAAGTATCCCAGCAGTAACACCAGCTATGCCGGCACCGATGACACCAACTTTGATATTTCGAACTTCATCAACCGGGTGTTCCTCTATCTCAAAAACAGGTCTTCCTTGCGGGGCAACCTCCTCTGTTTTCTCTATGATAGTGGTCGCAGCCGGGCCTTTGATATCTGTCGACACACCGACCGGTGCATGACTTTGTGCATGACCATTTAGCAAAGGGATAGTCCTATCCGGTACGATAGGTACTTCAACAGCAGCCATTGTGGTATGTGATCCTCTACAATGAGCTGATTAACAAGGAACGAGTCCAACTGCGCTTTTAAATACCGTAGCCGAGGTAATGTTGCGCGACTTGGAGCTTTATTGCGCTCATCATCGCGGGGCCCAAATTCTGGGATACCCCTCAATAAGAGCACTAATTATGGACCACATGCACGCCATCGACAGCCACTCTGCGATATGATTGTTGGTGTTGCATTTTGGCAGGCATCCCGGATAGCGGCGTCACATCATCGCGGGAGTCAATGGTGTCAGAAACCTTCCAAGGAATAGCCCGCAGATCTCCGTAATTTTCAAAAGGCCCCTGTATTTTTATTCGTGTCATGATTAAGCATCACTAATAGAAGTACCCATATTTGTAATTTTATATCTGCGGGAATTGCGGGGACTTGGAGTTGACCCCAACGGTCCAGCCTCGGTATCAATTCAATTCCAGGTTACTCTGACGAGATAAAATGACCACACTTCATTCATTATAGCTACCTCGTATAAATATCGCTGTTAAACTAAGAGCAGCAAAGACTTCCTGGCCAGGATATTGACAAGTTATTCTATCCATGCTGCCTGAATCTCAGGCTAAGCTAATGGGTCTCTTCATCAAACTCTTTCCATATCCCATCGATCGCCTCATGCCTCTTCAACGCCCAATCAAAGGTGGGATACCACTCATTCTTGCGATAGGCCTCGTAGAGACGGGCAATATTCTGCGCCGGGACAGGTAGCTCATCCCACTCATCTGTCTCCGGTAGTATCTCCTCTACCGTATTTGTCTCGTTTCTCGCGATTTCCAATTTGATCCCCGGGCCGCCGACATTCAAAGATACAAGCGGGGAAGCCACCCGTAGCCAGCCCTTTTCACCTTGGATACGCCAGTCCAGTCGGGGTTGGCCTGGAAACTCCTTTCCGGCGTGGAATTTGATAGTCACCGCAGCATTAGAAGGCTCAACGGTCCCATAGGCGAGAATCTGATCCGGGACAGTATTGCGAGCCCCCGTTTCGACGACCTTGCCGGCATCTCCAACGCTGTAGTCTTTAATGTTTATCGTTGGTCGGCTGATTGTCGAAAAACTCCTCAGAGTCTTGAATTCTCCGAGGACTGTAAACCGTATTAGTGTCAAGCAGAAGCACGTCTTGTGACTACTCACCGGCAGCAATGGATTCCAGGCTGTGACCAACATGGATAGTGATTGGATTTCCTCCGACTTCACGGTTGAGGAAGTACCGTACGTTCTTGCTCTCTGCATCGACGTTGTTGCCAAATGATCCGGTGATGGTACTAGTGAGGACACGCCCGATCTGCCCACTTTCGATTACAGATCGCATTTTACGAATGATTGGTGAAAAGGCACCCTGTATGCCTACGATAGTGCGCGCATTATGCTTGGCCGCTAGAGTAGCCATCTCTTGGGCCACCTCGAGGTTACGGTCTAGTGGCCATTCGACATAAACTGTTTTGCCGGCGATGAGGCTAGAACGTACAGTCAGGAAGTGCCGGTCAACACGGACACTGCAGACCACGAGGTCGACGTTGGGGTCGTTGGCGAGATCTATTGTGACCATGAGTACTCTTTCACTTCACAAGTATTTAAGGCTTACCTTGCGGGTCCCCGTAGGCCTTGGTTTCGTTCGGCAGGCCATATTTCTGGATTGCTCTTTGTGCAGACTCCACGGAGCTATTCAACAACGCAACAATCTCAAAATTGGGGGACTTGGTGAGGAAGGGCAAGTGAGCGTTGGCAGTCCACGAAGTGCCCTCATAGGTCTCTGCTGAAGCACTAGCCAATCCGATTAAACCGACTCGAATAGGAGACATGCTTGGTGGATGTCCAGTTATTTTCACTAACACTGTAAGATGGGCTCTGGTTGTTCTGACTTAATCCTATATGTAAACTATAAGGAACTTCTCAGCACTATATACACGCCGAAGATATCGGGGCTGAGATACAATAGCTGTATTATAAATCAAACGGGAGGCTTAATCTATCCGGGAAATCTTGAAAGCTCCTTCTGCTTATAAATCAAGGATAGTGAGCTGTGTTTCAACCCTAAGCATATGCATTCGATTATCGTCACCGGGCCTTTTTGAGCGATCGTAGCTTTTCTCTGCCGGATGGAAATGCTTTGGTGAGTCTAAAAGGTGTAGCCACGGATTAAGCAACAAGATTCCGGAGGTTATTCATCAACCACCTAATCAGCTACTTTTAATGCTATAGAGATTCTCATCAGGTTACATTACATGATACCTAGCAAATGTCCACGCAGTACCTCATCGATCGCCGGCAGCTACATAGAAGTCCTGCCAGCGATATTTCTGCTCGAAGAGCAGCATTCGCTTCATATTTTTATTAGTGACCTTTATAGGATTTTCCATATAAATGTGTCGAAGGGCGGAGCTTTACAAAATATGATACCACTGTATCTGGGTATTACCTATATGTGCCATATCTGACAGAGCGGGGGAGGTCGACGGTACAAGATTTGTTTCTCTCGCAGATACCCTTTGCATTCGGACAATTAGAGTAGAGCAATAGTAAGTTATAAAATATCCACCGCAGCTACGGCCTTGTCTTGCAGTTCCGTAGAAACCTTTCCGGGTATATGTGTGTTCTGTTTGGAGACATTAGCACTCTCTACGCGATATAGGCTCTTCCATGAGACCATATTTTTGCCCTCCTATTTGTCGATAGATAATCTTGCAAGTGAGAATGCTCGGCCTCGCATTATCTATTACTCCCCCCTCCGGCTCCTCCCGTGTATAAGCGTCGGTGCTGCGAATAGCGCTATGTCCTTAATGGAATCGCCAGCTAGGCAAATACTGGTTCCGCTTTGGCCGGGGTGCAACTTATTTTCCTCCTGAAAATAATAATAATAATAATAATAATAATAATAATAATAGGCAACTCCAAAGGTAGTAAGGGCAAACCATAAGATCGACCGCCACTCCAGCCATCTGTGCCGTGGTTTCCGGGATTGCTTGCTTATCTACCCAAACATTACAAGACTGTGATATGAAACAGCGACTTGGGGTTTCCGGCCACGGGTTATGTTCCCTTTGATCGGGAATGCACGGGACTTTTCTTTGCTATATCCCGACCTCAACTTCTAGTCAGGCGGCGGATGGTGTTAATACCTTTTGAGTCTTACCTGAGTTAGGTTCATACCAGTCCGTCAGCTGTCGATTCAATATGACTTCTATATCGCCGACGTCATCACGAGCATATATTATGTATTATGTTCCAAGCATTAGGGAAGGGGGGGGGGGGGACGGCATATGGTAACACTGTTCACTAAATTTACTTCAGGGAACTATTCACACCATGGTTCATCTCCCTCCAGTCGAAGGCCTGCGCGGCTACCCATTCTTTAATCTCCCCATTATCCATCTGTCGTATAAATTATGGTTGCAGTGAAAGCCGGTTAAGGCGGAACAGGGCACTTCAGCTGTCAGGATAAAATATGAGGTCAAGCATTTCCTGAGACATTGGGGGAGCCTTACCGACATACGAGTGCTCTGTTATTTGACAATACATTAAAGATTGCTACATAATGTTGAGAAAAGAAATGTCTTGTATACTGTTAAGAAGCGAACAACAATCAAAGGATACCCAATTGGTTGTGATTCTTGCTGTTCCTATCACATCATTTGCGTTCATGGTTATTTTGTTCTTGTATGTATCATCCACACTCAGGCTTACTCTACGTCATCACATCAGTATACTAAGGAAGTACCACAGCCTCGCTTTAAAGCTATGGAGCATGAGGCATCCCTGCCAGGTCAGGGCGCAAGATGGTGGGACACAAACTAAGACTGTGAAGCCTGAACATGTTATACTTCAAAACATTCCGTCCAGGACATTAGCGTCACTGGAGCAGTCCCATGAGGTGGCGAACAGACCTCAAGTAACAAATGCAGAGAATTGGTAAGGACATCTACGGTCATTGCTATATTGTGATTTGTATTAATAAACTCTCCCAGCTCCATTTGCCTTGAACAACTATTCTCAAGTGATACGGTCTTTGACCTTCAATGCTGTCATATTTTCCACCAGCGTTGTCTAGAACGATGGTATTGGAGCTTCCACCACACTTGTCCTCTTTGTCAGTCCCCATTGACTAGGCGGATTGCCGCAGATGATAATGTGTAGTACACAGTTTTTTTTTTGGAGTTCTTTCCTCCGTGGGAAGCCTTTGGTACAAGTATGCGACAGCATTTTATTCCAAGCATAAAAATATAACAACCAGTTATACTACTTGTCACAGCATAGTGTATGACACAGGCAAGGTTTCATTTTTCAAATCTTCAGCAGTGAAAGTTTGTATGTCTGCACATTGATACCCCATAGATTTCTTCTTAACTTACTTGATATATGATGCAGAATAGAGGCGCTGTTTTTCACAAATAACCCGCCCCTGCCGTTCAGTACATAATTGAATGCGAAAGAATCTTGACCGCATTGTACGAATCCAAGTCCACGGAGCTCAGCTATGGAAAAGGTGAATTCGATACTACTACTGCCATATTAAACGTCATTCTGAGTCTGTTGGTGCGAGAGGAGCACGGGAACCTAGAGTGCACTTGGAATGAAAGATGTAGTACGTCGACGGATGGCACTGTTCTTTTTAGACTCTCGTTAATTATGATAAGCTGTGACCATAGAAGCCTTGCAGCTATCGTGGGAGTGGAAGCCAGCATCATTCTATAAAGAGTCGGGATCTGCCTGACTCTAATATGCGCCAAGGTCTCTAGATGCAAGGGAGACTTTCGAAAGCTTCAATTTGGCCTGTGCCTTAACAACTAGAAACCCATATAAGTGAAGGCTGGTTCGCCAGAATACCTTGATCTGCTGTACAAACTCATACTGGTGAAAGACTTTGTCTTTGCCATAATCTAGACCGGAGTGTTTGAGGGGCCCGGCTTACCCATATGAATTTTCCACACGACATATTCCACCTAGCCTCGGCTGAACTCCTGAAGTAATCATAAGACTTATTTGAATGACAGAAAGTCAAGTTCACCTTTCACTTTCAAGGAAACCAGTTACCTATGCCTGTGACTTTCGAGTTGGGATTCCACTGGATTCTCTCCCATTCATAGTAAATGACTTCCTTGATGGATGCATGTCATTAAGAACCTCGTGAAAGTATTCCTAGATAGGGCAGTAACGTCGAAGTCTGGAGAATTAAAGTAGAGAATGTAAGAGAATGAAATACTGCTTCTGGACTCTCGCTCACACAGTGAATTATCGAAGGTTATGCAGATAGAGGACATCGGGTTGTAAACTCAATCTCGGCAGCTGTTGTATGATCTTGACGCTCATCCATTGGATTCAACAATGGCTGTCGTCGTTCATGATGTACCTCCACCATTTCCGAACTTTGCTTGATCTCTTCGTCGAAAACTGTCGATGCATGCTTGAGTCTCACTCCAACAGCGGGTTCATATAGACTGCCATCGCTATCACAGAACGTTTATGCCTGTGTGGATTGCGTAAAGCTTCCTGCATGGATCAGAATACGCCGGGGATGTAGTAACATTGGGACACCTTGAGGGTTCCACCACAATTGAACAATATTGGTAATGGACCAATGCACTCGGTACCTGTAAATTCCGGCGCATTTGCTGATAGTGGAACTCGGTAATTGGCTCCTATTTGTTCATAGGTAATAGGTAACTCATTACCTGCCAAATAATAGCAAATGTCAAGTTAGGTATGCAGAGCCGCTTATATGTTTAGAATTATTAAAAAACAATCTAGCGGTGAAATAGACGGTAAATTTAGAAGATAGACCGATCAAAAGAAAAAGACTTTGTGTTTTCTCATAGATGAGACATTGCCAAAGAGCCCAGATACCGCAAGATTAATCCAATTCAAGTTATTACCACCGTCCATTCAAACTCTCGCTGTCATAGATTTCGGCCCAATTTTTAGGTTCATAATTTTCCTTGTGAAATGTAAATGAGAAGTGACTTCCCATGAGGGTATGCCAGCGATGCTCTAGATATTTGAACTTATCCAGTGTGTCGTCTATCGACTGATGCTATGATGCATTTAGTGAAGGCTAACTTTGTAAGTCTTCCGGAAGGGTCAAATGCTAACCAAAGCCACAATTTCAGCGTCCTGTGATGAGAACTTGATATGACGACGCACTGCCTCAGGTCCCTCCAGGAGGCCATCAAGCCAATGGTCAACAGCATCAACATCCCACTGCAACTGAGAGGGTCGAAGAGAAGGTGCATTGTCAATGATTCTTTGAACTTTTTTCTCGATGGCCGAGGGTGTACGTCTATATCCCCGACGATGCATCATATAAGAAACAGAGATGGAGCAAATATATCTAGAGGAAAAGTACACGGCGGTAGCAATCTCCTCACTCGACCAGAGCCGAGTGCACTTTTTTGCCCTTCCGCTCCTGCCTGGCAATCGAGAACGATGTGTGCACATATCTATTACTTCACATAAGTACGAGACGAAATAGTATCTGAAAAATCAGATTAAAGCGGACAGTGGTACAAGAGAATAGATGAGTTGAACAAGGAGCAATGAACGTAATGTCTACGATGTGATGCTGTTGTCATATGACAGTCTTTCTCAACCCATACAGCCGGGTTTGCCGAGCCAGTGGCGTGAAATAAGTACATTGATCGCTGAAGCTCATGTTTGCTTAACTGTCGAGCTTTGTAACGGGCAGGGTAGTTATTTTACCTCACATCTCAATAGAAATGTTGCCTTTACGGAAAATAGAACCTGATAGAACAAAGCCATGTGTGTATATCAGCTACAGTGTCCGTAGCCCTGACCTGGGACAAGACGTTAATTCGACCATTATGACTTTCCTTGCCGGATAAGACATCATGTGTATATGAAAAAGACAGCGAGGGCTATAGATAATGACCATGAAGTTATTGGACTGCACCGCAGTTCACCTAGGGCGTTAGCAGTGCAGACTTCTATACAATATTGCTAAAGGTGATGAGAATGCCGTCCTTGTCAACGTAGCCGTTGATGCTCGTAGGAGCCTTTTCTGCTCCCACCCACCCAGAACAGCCTATTTCATGCAATATACTAGATGGAACGAACGGCACATTCTCGATCAGTTTAGGAACCGAGTCAATTGCTGCGTTTTTTGTTGGGTAATATTTGCATTGGGAAGATGGTTCTAAAACTCAAACTCATTGCGGTCAACGGAATAACCAGGACAAAATTTCCTGGACAGAAAAATTATCCTGAGTGGCTCAACTCATTGCTGATGTATCAAAGCCTTCTTTATACCAACCTTCCAAGCTCTGTAACTAAACATGTATTCAATTGCGTTTTGTTTCAAACTTTTCTCACTCCCGTGGAAATAGTGTTGCTATGACCAAACCTGCTTCTGGTGCGAAAACACAGCTCGTATAGACATTTTAGGAGAATGTTCAAGAATAGCATGCGCCTCACTCCCAGTATGCCTTATATTTCCGCTTGATTCTGTCACGTGGCCATTAAAAACAACTATCTACAGAACCAGGCTTTACAATCTTGACAATGTGAGTTAATACAAGTACCACATAGTAGACACATGGTCCAGCAACCGAACTACTGACCGCCTTGTAACATTTTCCTTACGCCCACGGTATAGAATACTTGAATAATACATCGTCCCATGCTCAGACAAGTCATGGCTATGCGCCTACGCAGTTTTCAATCATCGGGTCAAAGTAGGAGTGCGAAGAGTGTAGTCAGTCCTCCTAGTCGAGTGAGGAAATTGTAGTGGCTGTAAACGTCACCTCTTACGATAAGGTATTCTCTGTTTAAGACTACCTGGGAAAGGTCGAAGAGGAACGACCTAGAAGGATTAATAGGCATCAACACAGGCGGTTGTTCCATGGGTCATGCTTCCATCCTTGGAGGATGTTATTGCTGGCGTTTGTTCCGGTTTTCCCGTTCATTTTTGAGTGGCTCTCAGGACCGTCTGAAATCCAACAGTCTCAACTGAGATATTTCTGATTCTTGGTGAATGTATCTCCAGGATTGGGAACTAATACCGCATAATCGAGATATTAATACTCGAGGGCTTTCCGCGGTGAATAGCAAACGGTGGTAACCTACATCGCTGCTTTCCAGAAGTATATATAGTGCCCCCGCACGAGGAGATTCACCCGGACCGACTAGACGAATATGCATAGACTAACCGTTGGTTCAGTGAGGTTAACGTAGGTAAGCTTTCCGTGTATTAGGTCTATCGATACTTTTCTGATCTCTGCTGGCCGATTCATTTTATTCTTCTTGTCCATTTTTCTTTTCTTTCTTTCCCCCCCGCCTTGTGTATCCATTTCCTTTTAACCGCAAAGGGTTCGCTACGCAAAGACCAGATCTTTAAACCAAAAGATCCCTCTCGATAATACGGTAGGCTCAATGGCAAACATTGCCCTATATGGAAATTCGCGAGCTGCTTCCTGCAATACCCGATATAATAGTCTTCTATAACTTCCCCTGGATGACCACAGCTCGTTCTCCGGCACACAGCTTGATTTGGGCTCTATAACGAGAAAGCTCGAGTTCTCAGGATGCAGTCGTAATTCTAAGGACCTAAAACTAAACGAGCGAACAATTGGCAGTAATTTTCACCGAATATCCTAGTTGAAGTTCACAAGCCAGCTGACTCGTGACCTTCAATAGCCAGGAATGTCACCAGGGTCGAAAAAAAGGTCCACTTTGTGGAGCCTCTAGAGGAAACGCGTCTCTTCCACCCGGTTGACGCACCGCAGGCTTTTGATCCTAATCCAGTACGAGGGGGACAAATCCAGCCAGACTACTTTGAAGTGAGCCTAAATAGAGGAAAGTACCTACTAGATTTCCCACTTATTAGACAGCTCTCTCAAGACCAACCTATTCGATTAGAGAGCTTAGAGGTCACTTCACAAAGTCAGAGGGTTATAGGGACTGCGAAAGTATTCAATCTTGCATTCCAAAAAGATTTCATTGCTCGGTATAACTTTAACAACTGGGAGACAGTTGAAGAAGCTCGTGCTATTCATCATCGGTCAAACCACATATTTGGATCCGTTTTCTCCGACCAATTTCGCTTCACAGTTGATTTGAAGAATACAGAACCTTCATATCGGCTGATATTACGCTTTTGCCTTCGCTATCGTGTAGATGGGGCTGAATATTAGGATAATAATGGCTTTCGAGACTACAGTGTTATCTTTACGGCGTGAAACAAACAGTAATGTCGAACACATGCCAATGTTAGCAGCCAAACTGTTCTGGAAATCAAACTATGTAGTAAGAACGATAGATTATTCAGCGTTGTAGTTTAACATGAACAGTGGAAGGAGTAATTCTATAATGTGCTCTCCATCTTGCGTGAGCACTCAGCATAGACTATGCATCTAGATCACGGCTGATCAAGTGGGGAGATTACCACTACATATTCCTCCCTTCCACAATCGAATAGAGGTAGGGCTTTCCATCTCACCATGCCATAGTTTTTTCATTTAAGAAAATGATCTTCTGTCACGATACTCATTTTACATGGTAATGACTGCTTATTATAGTCGAGAACACGGTATTCCCCCTGATATAGAAAGAGCGGGGAGAGTGAGATTAGCAGAAATGAAGTATGCTAGGGCATACATTTGGCTTTTTATCGTTAGCATGACACTCGTAATGGAAATGTACCCACCTCAGGAAATTACCAGAGATGGCACGATATTAGCGACGCAGTTATATCTTTTGTATTGTGGGCAGCTAAGCCATCCCAGAATATCAATGCCCAGTCATTGTCTCATACCATTACCACTACCAGTGAGCCTAAAGTCAACCCTCGATGCAAAAGCCTTCTATACACTAATGTGGCTATTGATGCTAACGGCGATAGGTTTCCTTGTTTCCTTGCCTGTTTCTGTTTTCTATTGCGTTTGTCTCCCCGTTGGGGTATTCGGTGATCAGCCCGTCGAGGACCGGGAATTTTAAAAGACATTGGTTCAATAGTTAAAGGTTTCATACAAAGTCTGGGTCAAAGCGACATAAAGCAAAGAGAAGCTGGATCAAACCACATGTGCGTCCACCTGGCTATCTTGGAAAGGGCAGCTTCCCTAGTAATTTATTAAGAGAAGTGCCTCCAAGCAGTGCCAACGACCCATCCACTGAAATGTAAGAAATGTTATCTGGTACCGTATAAACTAGCGTGTGTTCTGATCATTGTACTAATTCTTCTATGGATGCAAGTGGATGTTGTGAGCCAATACTAGTAGTTCATTATATCCTCAATTCAGCGTAGATATAGTTGGCTTTTCTAGACGAGTTCAGAGAAACGAAGGTTTAAGCCCTTAAAAGACACTAATAAATTCGCTTATAGTGCCTGGCGAGACAAAAAAAGAATCCTATGCTGAATGATGATCTCATACCAATACTGTGTGTCGTTGTGGGCAAATCAAACACCACCAACATGATAGTTATAAATATATGGTTATTCAGCTTCGTGGTCTTGTTGAATGCGATGAAAACACGTCCGGCTCCAGGCTCACTCCTCTTCCCGGTGAATTGTGATCTGGGAGAGATAACTGAAGACATTTCTTACCTGTCTCTTCGCTGCTCTTTTTCTGACTTAGATCGTGGAGCCATCCGATCCTATTAAGAGCAAAATAGAACAGTGCAATCACAACAGCCACAACATCAGTCCACCCATGGTGTGTCACCTTTATAATGTCGAAAAATTGGTTTTATAGATCAGTAACCAGGTTTCATGAATGACCTGAAGGGGCAGGAATTGTATCTACAGCATCCGCACCAAGAGATAGCGCCAAGAGGCTCAAGAGATGACCATATACCGCCACCTCTTGTAACAAAAATCAACCAGTTCTCTATGAATGTTACATCAAGGCATATAATCTCCTGGGTTAAGTCCTAGTCCTGAATAGCACCACCGTTGTGAGGGAACATGGTTTCACAAATAGAATTAATGAGGCCTCTCCGGATGTCGGTCAGCAGCCATTCTTCAGGGAAATTACGCGTCTCTCTTACCTTTATGTTGAACAATGATATATTCCCCGGTTAAAGCATATTGTATATAATGGTGGTGGGCCCAGCCATAACTGGCTAATACAGAGGGACATTCTACTCTAGCCTTGATCACGAGAGATACAATGACATAGCCAACTGCCGTTGCTTCTCAGGCTACTGAATCAACCGAAGACGTCATATTAAAGTGTATAATTCAGCGCAATAGTAGAACTGGTGCATCATTCGCTTGCCACGGCGGACCGTCCGTGCCGCCTATACGTGCGGGAAGGCTGCCAAATAGATATAAATTGAGTGTACAAGCTTTTCGTGGCAGCTGACATACATACCTACAATTTTCTTAAGATTTGCTACATTTCTAATAAGTACATTATTGACTATAATGGGGAATAAGGAGAAGGCAAGCTTGCACAGCATCAGGCAAAGCCCTGCAAAGTACTGGCATTCACTCGCCCAACTCAAATTCCGCCGTGACTATCGTAGCGATCTACCACCCAGCCTCCTCCGGTTCACGGGTTATCGTCCCCCAGATGAAGGACCACCTTATGATCCGCTACCAATCCCTCCATTCATATGGCTCCACAAAATCCCCTTGAAGTATGAGACTTGGCTGTTTGCTTGGATCGGGGCTTTTGGGGGTATTCTCTTAATTGAGGCAATTATGTCTACAGATACCGCATTCCGCGATGTATACCGTACCCCTACTATTATCACATCATTCGGTGCCTCAGCTGTGCTGCTCTTTGGGGTAGTCGAGTCTCCTGTTGCACAGCCTCGAAACTTTGTCGGCGGCCATTTTCTTTCTGCATTGGTAGGAACATGTATAACTCGGCTTTTTGTACTCAATGGCCAGTACCAGGGATATTTAGACAACACTCACTTTCACCCTTCGACCTTTATAAATGGAGGCATCTCTATGGCAACATCATTACTCGTGATGTTAATTACAGGAACTGTTCACCCACCGTGCGTCCCCCCTCGCACCCATCCTTCCAGATATTCCACGGTCTAATCTAATCGAGTCCCTTTAATTGCCTTATTTCCCTTACCGCACTGGCAGTGAGGCCCTCATAGACTCCATAGTCCCATTCTCACAGCAGGTCGGTAATGGTTACATCCGGATCAGCGGGCGACGGCTCATCTTCAGCATTGAGGCCTAGATTCAGAAGCGCTAGTGTCTGTCGGGCCTAAACACAGGAGGAACAATAAATAGAAATCGTCATCAGTAACTGTCCCGGAAATTGGTGACAGGAGGTACATAGGTATATACGCACACCCGTCCGATCCGACGGCGCTGGATCAACTTGTCGCTGTCCGCCCCGTCGCCGACGAACTGTGCCATAGTGTATTGAACTTGTTTCTCGCCATTTGGCGTCAGGGGGAATCTCCGTGGACCCGGTGTGTTGCTAGTTTAGGGTCCATTCGGTCTCGCCGTGACGGATGAGGAAGATCCGCGATGGCATGCTTTTATGCTCTTGTTATCCGCTCAACACCGGGCATATTTATGGTATATGTAGCTAACTACCTCATGCGGGTTTAAGTAAATTTAGATGAGACAAGCGGTATATGTTATAGCCAGGTCCGGTACTAGCGGGCAACTTGGAATCATACCACAACGGTGAGGATCTTTGGCTACGGTTATGTAGGAGTGACGTTAGGATGTCCGTTCATTTTAGCTTCTACATCACTAAGCACTTTTTTGCTGGCTACCGGAAACATCATGCTCCCGATAGAATGTTGAACAGGGGCCAGGCTAGCTACAAGTCAGGACCCGGATGGGACGGATGAAGCGGATCGCGGAAATTGATGATTGTAATTAGTATACAACCAGCTGCATCAAAGGACATGTGCAACAACAACAACCACCCTTACGCTGTCTGGAGTTAATCACATCCTGTAAAAAGGCAAACTGCGTCGGTTCCACATCTTGGAAGGGACTCAATAGAGAGTGAGGTCATTGACTGGTTCGCCAGACATCGTGATGACCCTGTTCCAGAAACAGTGGTCCTGCTGGCGATTTCCATGGAGCGCGATCTTTACATCATACAATTCCGATAGCACGAGGCTTTCTTAGAGGCCTTTACTGTCCACTGGTGCTCCCCACCTATATTGCCTTGTTTGCTGTACACTCGATATTCCGGTTGGCCTTTATCACCTTGATCCTTAGTCCGTATGTTTTTTGCTAACTGCAATAGAAAGTCACTGTACACTGCAAGGACACATCAAGCTACGAGGAAACCGTTGGCTCAGCCACAACGTGAGGTGAAACACTGACGAATTTGCCGGAAGTAGAGGCTGTACCTCATCATGATTAATCTATGAATATAAAATAGAGCCAAGAAGCTTCTTTAATGCTTTGACTTAATAATTACACCTTGCAGAAGAGCATGCACCACGAATAGTCTATACATCTATATCAGGCATTTCCGCCTGATGCGGTCTCCATGCTATTCTAACAGTCTCACGTATGACGCAACGTTATAGTCATGGCTAGGCAACGCAGTAACAGAATACACTAATAAAGATGGTTCGGAAGGCGTCCACAATACCCAAAGCCTATATCGCTCGAATCAGCACATCAGTGTCCTGTGTACACCTCCGAGAATAAAGTCATGGTCCCGATTAATATTGATATAACCAACTCTATAAAGCTGTGATGGTTCTTTAAAGCCGAATCTCTAAGCTTGAAAGACATTTTGCGCCAGGAAATAACACCTATCAGAGCAAGCCATTAGAAATGAACAACGCATCTCTCTTTCGAGCCCTCCCTGCTCATGTAGCCCGCTGCCATGTGCCAAAAGGAGTGATAGCGAGGATGATCAGCGATGAACTAGACACCAATGCTGGGTGTAGGAATGGGCATGTGCCACAATACTCTCTCATGTCAAAGGAGTAGATAGGTAACCAGTAAGCACATCCGCACTAGGTGGTTTCCCATCCACCCTGGGAGAAGTCAAACGTCTGGGGGAGATGTTACGAAGACGTAAACAGCCGCTCAAACACGTTTTTGAAATAGATACTGACGATAAACTTCCAGAATCACGAAATGCAGGGTGTTTAGTTCATCTTTCTTCTGGAAGGACGTATGGCAATGTGCATTGTCCAAAAGGGATTCAATAAAAGATGGTGTTACTGAAAATTGCTAGTTAGATGCTCCGATGATAGACCTGAGTCTGCGAGGCCACGGCTTGCTGACTGACTTGCTCATATGTGCCTGTCGCTGAACACTTCAAGTGAATTGATATTTGGACAGGTTGACGGTCAGAGGAAATCGGACAGGGGTCTGGCAAGATATTCTAGGGGTCTTGAACCTCGTGGAACATGTAGCTAATAATATACTACGGCATGGATACATAGGACACAGCAAAAAGTGGTGGGTAGAGGGTAAAGTTTGTAACGGGCTCACTGGTATTGTTATGCTATGAGGACGACGCTCCAAGATCGCTCGATAGCGAGCGATATTATGAACTAGTTATACCCGTTGACACTCCTGTTCTTGAAATCTGATATTGGAACTTCCTGCAGTCCGAACCTGTTAAATCTTAATTCTCAGCAAACTAGGCTGCGACATAAATATTATGCGTATACGCTATAGATCATCCTTGATCTCTTCAACGGTCCACTCAGCCCTTTCGGCCCTGCGAGCCTCCCACTCCTTGTGGACTACTATTCCAAGAATACCAAAACCAATAATAAAAACAATAACAAATACAAGAATAACCCCGGGCTGGCTTTGCGCCCAGTCACTTCGCCTCACATGTCGATGGACTTCGAAGAGCGGAGGCTGGGCAGGATGGGCGGCGATGACAGGCATATTTGAGGACCGGACTCTTTAAGATATTTCTCAATTACTATTTGACAGGAGGTAGCAGTATATAACCAAGAAGATATACTCACTGCGCCACGACTTGTGCGGCCAGGGCTTGCGGATAACCTGCAGTAGACAGCGAGGTGCGTAGGATGGAGGTTCTGAGATACAGACACCAGCAGCAACATTGAGATGATGAGCTAAATTCACAGGATAGTAGGCCTGCTACATCCTAGATGGTTCTGCTTTCTTGATCTATGTGATGTTTCTGAGCATGAGGTCACCGATCGCCTAGGGCTGATGATTTATGCTTCACCGGGGCGTCCGGCCCGTCCGGTCACGAACCTTCTCCTCCTAGTTTTAACCGCATATAGAATCGCAGAACAATATTACAAGCAGTTTTTCGTCTGTGATGACGTTAGATGGCATCACTACATCACTACAAAGACATATCGTTTGCTGTCATCGGACTCAAATACGAGACTTTCACCGAATATACAGATTTAGCCGAGAACTTAAATCTACTGGATATTAGCATCTCTTTCGCAATCAAATTGCACTTAAACGTAGTGATTTCGTAATTGCTCCCTCAAGAGTCAGTTACCTATTCGGCCTCATTATTGATTGCCAGGTGAAATGGCCCGTATCATGCCCCAAGTCAATCTAGACAACACGGATCACGCTGCTCAGCACTTGCAGTCCCCAACGAATCTCGACGACCCCAGTGATGTCGATGAATTCACTCGCCTCGTCAAATTCGTCTCTGCTTACCGAGAATCCGACTTCGTCAGCCCCGACGAAGGTGAAGTGCGCGTCCACCGAGTGTGGTACGCCCCTTGGCGCAAGAAGAAATTCCGCTGGAGACACACCGGTGGATCCTCACGCAAATTCCCTGAAAATTGGCTCCTTACTGATATCCGAGATGGCCTGGCTGATGCGGACGTCGCTCATCGGCGTAATATTGTTGGGTTCAATGAATTGGCTTCGGCGAAGGTGAATCCGTTTGCGAAGGTTATATCATATTTCCAGGGACCGATCCTTTATGGTGAGCGCTGTCTGCTACCTTCATTAGCATTTACTAGCTTGCATCATTGTGCTAATAGTGGGTAACATAGTGATGGAGCTCGCCGTTCTGCTTGCCGCTGGACTAGAGGACTGGATCGATTTCGGCGTCATAATTGGGATTCTTTGTCTGAATGCCGCAGTCGGCTGGTACCAGGAGAAACAAGCCGCAGATGTTGTTGCAAGTCTGAAAGCCGATATTGCCATGCGGGCTACGATCGTGCGCAATGCGCAGGAGATGGATTCTCTTGCTCGAGAATTGGTTCCAGGGGATGTGGTAAGTATGCCTACAGTGAAATCGCGGTCTGCAACAGAATCTGACTAAAGCCATGTCCTTAGATCGTGATCGATGAGGGGCAGACCGTTCCTGCGGATGCTAAGGTCATTTGTGCGTACAATAATCGTGAAAACGGATGGAGGGAGTATAAGGAACTTTTGCAGGACGGGATGTTAGACGACTCAAGCCCTCAGTCAGAGGAAGATGATCATGGTAATGATACGGGGAACAGACGTGGTCATTCAATTGTAGCTTGCGATCATTCAGCGATTACAGGGGAATCGCTCGCGGTCGACCGATACGTAGGGGACACCGTTTTCTACACTACCGGGTGTAAGAGGGGAAAGGCCTATGCGGTGGTCCAAACAACCGGCCAGAGAACATTCGTTGGGAGGACCGCAGCCATGGTGCAGAATTCCAAAGACACTGGCCATTTTAAGATGATTATGGACAGTATCGGGACATCGCTTCTGGTATTGGTCATGGCCTGGATTCTTGCGATGTGGATTGGCGGGTTCTATCGAAATATCCCCATTGCATCTCCAGGAGAACAGACGCTTCTGTTTTATACCCTGGCTCTGATGATTATTGGGGTCCCCGTTGGTCTCCCTGTTGTCACCACAACGACCTTAGCTGTTGGCGCTGCGTATCTCGCGAAGAAAAAGGCTATTGTGCAGAAGTTGACTGCAATCGAATCTCTTTCTGTAGGGCCTTTCTATTAAACTCAAAACCCCATTTGAAGTGTGAGGCTGATCTTAGAAGGGAGTCGATATCTTATGCTCTGATAAAACCGGGACTTTAACCGCCAATCGCCTCAGCATCAGAGAGCCGTTCGTAGCCGAAGGTGTCGACGTGAACTGGATGTTCGCAGTGGCGGCCCTGGCCTCATCTCATAACGTGAACGCGCTTGACCCGATAGACAAGGTGACACTGCTCTCACTAAAGCAGTATCCCAAAGCCAAGGAAATTCTGCAGCAAGGATGGAAGGTAGAGGAATTTCACCCCTTCGACCCTGTCTCCAAACGAATTGTCACAGTTGCAACGTTTCAAGGTGTCAAGTATACATGCACGAAAGGGGCGCCTAAGGCCGTTTTACAGCTAACCAATACCCCTGAGGCAAAAATGTATAAGGAGAAGGCGACAGAGTTTGCTAGTCGTGGATTCCGTTCCCTAGGTATTGCCGTGCGCAAAGAAGGCGAGCACTGGACGCTGCTTGGGATGATGCCCATGTTTGATCCTCCAAGGGAGGACACCGCACAGACAATCGCCGAGGCCCAGAAACTGGGTATAGAGGTCAAGATGCTAACTGGCGATGCAATAGCCATTGCAAAGGAAACTTGTAAACTATTGTCGCTTGGCACTAAAGTCTACAATTCCGAACGGCTCATCGGCGGGGGCCTTGGTGCCATGGCTGGGGACCTTGTTGAACGAGCAGATGGGTTCGCGGAGGTCTTTCCAGAACATAAATATCAGGTGGTTCAGATGTTACAGGAACGTGGGCATCTCACAGCAATGACGGGAGACGGAGTAAATGACGCGCCCTCGTTGAAGAAAGCAGACTGTGGGATCGCAGTCCAAGGCGCATCTGAAGCAGCCCAGTCCGCTGCTGATATTGTCTTCTTGGAACCTGGACTCTCAACTATTATCGATTCTATCAAAGTCGCGCGGCAGATCTTCCACCGCATGAAGGCCTATATTCAATACCGAATTGCACTCTGTTTGCACCTTGAAATTTATCTAGTAACCGCTATGATAGTTCTCAACGAGAGTATCCGCAGTGACCTAGTCGTGTTTCTAGCGCTGTTTGCAGATCTCGCAACGGTTGCCGTGGCCTATGATAACGCATCATACGAGCTGCGTCCTGTCGAGTGGCAGCTGCCAAAAATCTGGATCATCTCCGTTATTCTCGGTATCTTGCTCGCCGCAGCAACATGGGTGATCCGGGGGACTATGTTCCTCCCCAACGGTGGCATAATCCAGAATTGGGGCTCAATCCAGGAGATTATATTCCTCGAGGTGGCCCTTACTGAGAACTGGCTGATCTTCGTAACTAGAGGCGGCGACACATGGCCATCCGTTCAACTAGTTGGTGCGATCTTAGGCGTTGATGCCCTGGCCACGATCTTCTGCTTGTTTGGCTGGTTCTCAAATAGAGATATGGCTACTAACCCGTTCGACCAGCTACTTGACACCCCAAAAGAAACTCATAACGGATGGACCGATATTGTGACTATTGTCCGTGTCTGGGGGTACTCATTGGGCGTGACAATTGTGATTGCGTTGTTGTATTATGCCCTAAATAAGATTCGATGGTTGGATGATCTAGGCCGGAAGAAGCGCAGCAGAGGCGAGATCCAGGTCGAAAATATCTTGAGTCACCTTGCCCAGGTCACTGTTCAGTATGTACATGAGGCTGAGACGGGAAGTGGACGATTTTACCTGGCGTCCAGTAAAGAGGAGGAAGATGTTGACTAGAAGCAGCTGAAGTTGTCGCGATAGGAATGAAAGGAATAATATTCTTTCTCTTTGAACCGCCAGGTACCTCAGATCCTGATGTGTTGGAACTTTGAAAATGTCGCGGTGGATATGGCAGGGGTGCTATGATAGTCAGGGAAAGATATTTCATATACAATAGCTGAGTTGTTTCTCAACAATAGAAACTTTTGATGAAGTTGTATTAGACATTAATTCCGAGTACTCAGAGAACAGAACAGAATCAAATCACTGACGTTTCATAATCAGTTTCAATAACAAAAATGAAATGAGCAAACTCAGTGAAATTTTTAGACACTTAAAAACGACCTCATACCCGCCGTCCCCTCCCTCGCTCCCGTCGTCTTTGAAGAATCTCTACCTAGGCCATCTCCTGCCCTTCCGCAGTCGGCATTCCCTCGGCTAGCCGATCAGGCTCAGAAGCAGTGGGCTGACCAGTACCCTCATTTACTTGGCCAGGAGCCCCAATTTCCTGGGACTTTTCGACCCCTCCAGTAACAAGTGCCGGATCCCTCCATCCAGCAATAGGATCTTTATATGTACGAATATACAGTCCCAAATACCTCGGATCAATTCTTTCATGCAACCAGAGAAAGATTCCACAAGTGATGGGAATAAGGCAACAGTCAAGGATTCCATAGAAGATGAACTCTGAGTCAGGCGGGATGACATTTCCTCCCTCGCTAACCCCCCAGCATACAGGGTAGAGCATCCAGAGCAGACAAATCCAACTGGCTGGTATGATGTGCGCAAGCTGGATATCTCGACCTAGGGCCTTTGCGTATCCTCGAGGTGCTATGAGCAGAGAATGGACAAGCAATAACCAGGACCAGATCCAGAAGCCGTAGTATCCTAAACTCGTATGTAAGTGAAGTCTTGTTTGAAAGGATTGTGTTTATGCTGACCCCATTTGTAGTCGCTGCGGACCACAGCACCGACTACTGCCATGATCGCCATCACTGCGCTCAAAAAGCACGCCCAGAGTATATGAACAGTAGGAGCGGCGCAGGTGAAAAGCACTGATAGAGAGAGAAGCGGCCAGATGAGGAACCTGCAATGCGGAAAAAGGTTGTCAACATGCGTTGCATAACACAGGGTTGATGGGATGGGGATCAATATTACCAGCCACAATACCGAACCCACCAGATCTGGCGATTCATTCCAGAATCCAGGTGGCCACTTCGATGCCATTCTACGTCAATCGGGACCCATCCGAGATTAGACGCCATGCTGTAATGTTCCACCATTGCTACGAAAGCTGCTGCTGCGAGAATATAATGGAATATTCGCTGCGTTGGATGGCGGCGAAACGACAGCCCCATTATCGCCAGCATGGTGAAGCCCATAATCGACATCACAGCCCAGTACCAGTCTGAGCCGCGGACAGTAATATGGATATCCACTGTCCTGCCGTTCACTATGAAAGGATTAACGTAGGTTGCCCTGTTGCCACCCATTCTGTCTTCAGAGGTAGGAATATTGAAGAATACAGAGAATAAAAACAAATCAGGTAGATTCTCAGTGACATAGCCCACCAGCGGACTTAATATGCCATACTTGAAAGCTAGCAGAAGCAAACCTGCTTACATTACCAGAGCCACATGGGGGTATATCCTGCACCAATACATCGAGTCATTGATGTAACCAATTCCTTTCTCTCATGCTACTTACACGTACATGTATCTTGGTTCCGATTTGTTTATGTTGAAAGACCTGAGTCATATGATGTGGTATGAATGAAGCTACCCCCGTCCGTGTGGGCCGGCTGTCGCGGAGATGTTCAATGCATCAAAGGCAAACGGACAGGAATGAAGAACCAGAAATAGGCTGTGCTGCTGGATCAAATCAAGCATTGGCGGGCCACGTCTCGCCAGTCTGCTTCTAACCGGTGGCCTCATAAGCTTGATACTGGTTTTGAACGTCATAACTATTCAACTCGGAAAAGGTAGGAACTCTTAAGCTCTCATTCAAGAAGGCCGGTCCGCGCGGCCCGGTACGGATTTCAGCCTGCGTTGATCGTCCTGTGCTAAATGTAGATCTGACATGCGTACCAACTTGACTAAGCTAATCATAGTAGTAAATGAAGTGCAAGATTATGTCACCGGGTAAAGGATCGACTTATTGTGCTATTACTGGTTTAGATATATGGTACCCCACTGGGGGTGATTTTCCATTGTACCGAGATTGATATCGAGGTATAGTTGAAAGCGCCTATCTTGGCTCAGATGTACGGAGGTTACATCCAGGCAAGTAGAGTGAATATCCGGGCCATCTGTACTTGCTTCTGGTCATAGCTGTGGACTCATAACCCATTCAATGTGGCCCGTACTATATACAAAACAAAGGACCAAACAAAGCTACAAACATACAGGCTTGAGCGAGCGAAATACCACAAACTCTGAGACAAAGACATAACATCATGGCTGCCACTTCCCCATCGCTTACTTATCGGAAGCAGCAGGATGGCTATTCATCGTCGTTATCTTCTCCTCCTAAGCATAGCAACTCCAACTACCATTGGTACTCAGCCTGCTCTTACACCAATACTTAAGCGAATGAAACGTCCCATGAGTATGAACGTTCCCTGAAGCCCATGGCGAGTTTCGCCCACTCTCCTGGACAACAGCTCGAGGCGGAGGCTTGGGCTTTCGTGGAGATCGCAAATAATAGAACGTCTTGCGACATATAGGACATTGTGCGTTAAAATTGCAGACCCAGTCGTCGGCGCAGACTTGGTGGAAGAGATGCCCACATGGAAGCTCCCGCAGGACTGACGTGGAGATAATTAGCTCAAGGCAGATAATGCAGCATTCTAGGTCTTGGTCTGTGTTTCGGTTTTCATTCGCTTAGAGCATTAATAGGTGCAAGGTATGCTGGGGTTGCGGTGATGACCTTACGAGGTAGAATGTCTGGAAGGCCTTGGAATGTTCGTAGTTCCGATAAGTTGAACTCGTATTTGGAGGCACGTGGTGGATCCATGGTTATTAGAAGGAGAATGAAAGGAAAGTATTTGGGGGTAGACTGGGAAAGTATACTAGGGTTGGCGACGATAATCGCAATTTATATATAACACGACTAGACACGAATACACGTTACAGCTCATAAGAGGTATCAGGGACCAAATTAACTGATAGCCGTGAAGATCCGCGTGGTCTGAACAGGATTCTGCGTATAATAAACTGGGCTGTTCCGGATCACATGCGGGTGCACCGGCGAGACTGGAAGACACGGAAATCACGACAACATCCGTTGACTTGAAAGGTTTAGACCACTTTTGTAAAGGCTAATCCATAACAATTTACTTTGGCATGGCAGGCTATTATATACACGTTCCAAGGCGCGAAGAAAGAGGCTTTCTGACGATCAACGAACTATTTGCGTCAGGGATGCCCAGTTATATTTGGCCCACGAGATTGTACAACAAGTTGGATGTTGGACATAGCTTCAAGCGGAAACCGTGCTAAATGTTTTTCAGATCCGGGAGACCTGTCTGATACCTGCATATTTTGTTGTCAGAAGCTGGGCCACGAGGCTCCATACCGCTGACTGCCGTGCAGCCATATCTTCCACCTTTCTTGTAATTGACTTCTGGTTGTGCTAGGATGTGCAGTGTCCACTTTGTCAGAGAACATTTTACTATTCGAGGCCAGCACAGTAGCTGTGCCGCATTTGAAGTTCCATGTACGCTTTATCTAGGTGGCGCAAAGGCCTGGTTTGTTTATAGCCTGGGTATGTCTGATACTCTCCAGGGTCATAATGAAAAAGCTCTCACAACACCAACGGACATGTTGCCGATTAGTTGACATGACATAGTTTTTGACCTTCTTTGGCCTAGTACGTTTTATATTTATAGTCGTGAAGTATGCTGTTAACCAAATCAAGAATTGAAATAATGTCCTGTCGGCCACGTTCCCCAAATTTCCAATAAGCCCCAAAATCAAATTCTTACGCTATACTAGCTATTTATGAGCTAGATATAGACGCATCATTCCCTGCAACATAAGAACCCCTAGGCAGGAGAGTAAGGGTAAACTCGAGACTAGAATTGAAAATGTCGCTTTCCCCCGCCAGATCTTTCTCTTCACGCTCCTCACTCTCTTCTTCATCAACTTGGGCTTCGTATCCTGCCCTATCGACTCCTAATGCTCGTTCTCTGGGTTTCGGACAAATGTCATCCCAGCGGTCCACCAGTCTAGCGGATAATGCCTCCGTCTAAGGTCGTTACTGGTCTGCGCCCACTCAAGCATGATGAGAGATGAAGCGAGAGCTGTGGGGAGGAGCTACCTTCAGGAAAAAGAAACTACATCTGACTGCAGGAAGTCGTTGAGGCCTGTGGGTCCGCCTTGCTCTGGGTCAATATCAGGTGAAGGAGAGACGATAGCAAAAGTGGAGGAAGGACTTACGTAGGATGAGCAGTCCCGGTAACTAGCATAACGAGCAACGAAGCTGCCATCGATAACCCTCCGTTGACAAAGGTCGACGGGTGGAAGTGCGTTTACCAGGCATCCCTTGCACTAGCAGTATAGCATAACTATGTGAGTGATATATACTCCAACAAGCGCAGAAAGAAATGTCCAAAAGAAAAGCCCTTAGGCTGCGTACTTGGCGATTCAATTACACTGAGGAGAAGAGCCGCAGGTGCACTGAAAGATGTCATGATCGTTGGGGCATTGTAGACGTCACGAAGTACTGTGCTAATGGACATGGATGGCCTCTATTAAAGGATATTCCCAAATGCGCCAACCCATGCGAACAGCGATACTTCGTACTTCAGCGGAATCTTTGTGAGCTAGCTAAACGGTGGGAATGAAGAGGGGCATAGGGTGGACTTTCGTTTGAGGAGCGGTATCATATGAAGCGTCAGATGCTTCCAGGTAGTGCTATTGTCCTCGGAACTTTAAATGGTCCAGCCGTTTGAGGAGCCCTCACTCTCCGCTAGAACGATGGAAGAGATCCATCTTTCCCGCATTTGACATTATGACTATGACATCTTACGCTTATTCTAGATTCAGTAGCCCAGCTTTGGGTTCCATTTATATTCATGGCTTTGGTATCATTGACATCATAGTGATAGGGCTTATTTTACTGGAACGCTCGATGTGCAGGGGGCAACGTCCGTGGGTATCTATTTCAATTCGTTTCTCTCTTGCTCTCCCCCATTTACGGGCGACGATATGATGGATCACAAGTGCCAAAGCAACATCATCTCTATAATGACAATGGTGAGAGTACAAAATAATCAGCCTTGAGTAGTTCGGTACGTACGATCCCCATATAATAGGGAACAGGCGCAAACCAGGACCGTTCCATAGTCCCCAGCGAGCAATCAGGAAACTACATGATTGGGTTCTCTATTTTAGCCAGGATGCCCCGTCCTAGTCTTCTTCCATTCAACATAGCAACGTTCTATCAGACAAAGAGCAAATCCATGCCCGCGTTAAATACGCAAATAAATAGAGTAACCTGCGAAAAGAACAAATGACATACCGACGATCTTCCAACCTGCCTCCGAGAGCAATAGTATTCTCTGGCTTCCCATCCGGAACCTTATACAGCTTATACCATGCCTTGAGGAAATCAAGATATCCAGGACGTACAGCATCCACGTCCTGAATGTCTGACAAATTCGATGCCAGCGGGTCATTGAGATCGATCGCTACAACTTTCCAGTCCGTTTCTCCTTCATCCAAAACAGCAAAGCCACCGAGCGGCTTCACTCGTTTTACCTCCCACAGGAGGCCACTTGGTTTCCAATCTCACAGACATCCAGCGGATCATTATCTCCCGGGATCCCCGTCTTAGTGTCTACTATATTCGGGCTTTCCCAGGTCTATTCGTTTGGTTTGCTTCTTTAAGCAGTCATAAATGTTTTGTTTATAGGTCAGGTTTACTTACCTGCGGTAATGCGCCGTAGTTGCAAGGGCCGTAGTTGCAAGGGTAGCCTTGAAAAGGTAGTACATCAGCAATGGCCCTTGGCTCTCCTTTAGAAACGTCTTGCTTGATGGGGTTGTACTGGTCGTCTTTGGAGATCTAAGATTTTTAAGTTAGTGAGCCACCTGGTATACCGTATAGGACGAAATAGGAGTAACTAAGGCCTGACTGACCTCCATTTTTGAGTGGCTCTTCCGGGGAATTTCGACAACCATATTTAGGGTCTCCATCTGGCGGGCTGCGAACAATGGCATATCGTGCCAGGGAGATATTGTCTGACCATTCTGTTGGAAAAACAAGCGGTCTCCACTCTTTCGCAGCTCAGAGAGTGCTTTTTCGTGTGTAGTCGCAGTCATTTTGATTTGTTTATGGACAGTGTATTCGTTGGTAAATTGGGTGTGTTGGAAGAGGGAGAACTCTGCAAATTGCACCGAGGTTGGGTGTTGTTGCATCATAGAATTGATGATCAACTTGACAACCGGATCGCACGGACCAGACGGAGGTGTGGCAGAATTCCAGAAGCAGAGGAAGCACAAGAACACATACGACAGCGCGTCTGGTCCCACACTTGACCACAGCAATCCATCAAGCCATGATGGCGATGATGACGAAGGTCTATGCTGTTCTCTGAGCGAAGTGGCGGCTCCGGAACCCGTGCAAAGAATCTCGCCAGAAGAGCAGACACGTCGGCCCTCTCTTGAGCAACGACTTTCGGATACGTCGAAATCAGGACATGGGACGGAAGACGATATCTATGAGGGTTTGAGCGAGCTTACAGCACCAGAACCAACAGAGGTGTTGTTGGAAAGCGAGATGGCAAGGTGTCTCTCGCGTGAGCGTAACCTCTCGCGCTATCATTATGAGAACCAATGATTTGGCGTGTTGGTCACATTACTGTTTTTGTGCATTCTTTGGGTAGTTATACGTGATACCACCATGTTTCTGATTGCTGTAAAAGTCCCTACCGGACAATGTGCGACTGGTTAGAGTTGGTGGTCGGTGTTTAGTTGGATACAAGTGACTCAATCAGAGAGATAGAACCAAATCCTATACTCAAACTATCTAAGTACCTCATTTCATTTCATTCCGGCTCATCCGCGTTCCGGCATACTCATGCGGCGAACCAAAAACATTCAACCGGTCCTCAATATCCATAAGGCGGTTATACTTGACCAGCCGCTCTCCTCGACAAGGGCTTCCAGATTTCAAATGCCCAGTAGAAAGCGCAACACTCAAGTCGGCAATAAAGTCGTCAGTCGTCTCACCCGAGCGATGCGAGACAAAAACTCTCCAGCCGTAGCTAAATGCCCTGTGGGCCCTAGAATGACATTAACATCGGTAATGCAGTGTAGGTTGCTATGGCTTCCTATAAACGTACGCTTCCAGTGACTCAGTAATAGTACCGATCTGATTAATCTTGAGCAGCAAGGAATTGCATGCATCCCTTTCCTTTGCGGTCTCAATTCGCTCGAGGTTCGTTGCCAGCAGGTCATCCCCGACAAGTTCAATGGGGCAATCTCGCTTAAATGCGGTCCAGGCCGCCCAATCGTCTTCTGCAAATGGGTCTTCAAGAAGGATTATCGGATACATGTTCATCAACGACCGGTATAGATCGCTGAGATCTGTCGCAGCCAACTGGCACTGCTTCTGACTCTTAAACCCCAGGTCATATTTCCCTTCGCTGTAAAATTCAGAAGAAGCTGGGTCAATTGCGAACTTGATCTTTCCCTCATGGCCTGCCTTTTTCACTGCGGCCATCAGAAGATCCAAGGCGTCAGAGGGCTCACTAATCGGTGGCGCAAATCCGCCCTCATCGCCGACACCGACAGCTAAGGAACTTTATTAGCAGCCTCAACCCAACATAGATTCTCTTAGTGATTTAAATAGCCTTACCCGACGCACCATGCTTCCCCATGATCACAGATTTCAGAGCCTGGTAAACTTCACTCCCGAGCTGAACAGCATGAGTCACCGAATTGGCCCCGACAGGCGCAATCATAAACTCCTGGAACGCCATCGTATTGCCAGAATGTTTCCCGCCATTGAGTACATTGAAGAACGGCACAGGGAGTAAATACGGTCCTGTAATTCCGGCCTGTTCGCGGAGAAATTCATATAACGGAACTCCCTACCGAACAAATCAGTCTCGTGTCCTCTCATCTCCTCCTTGTCTAGAGGAAGCTATATGAGAAAGACCAACCTTAACTGCAGCGCCAGCCCTGGCACAAGCCATACTAACACCGAGAATTGCATTAGCGCCAAGTCGGCTCTTATTCTTACTTCCGTCCAGCTGGATCATAAAGCGATCGATCTTCGCTAAGTCATCGCCGACGTTGAACCGTTGTCTGATCAGCTCAGGGCCAATGACCTTCTCTACGTTCGTCACAGCCTGGTGCACGCTATTTCCGCCGTATTCGGTTGCGCTACCGTCGCGCAGCTCATGCGCTTCGTAATTGCCGACTGAGGCACCTGATGGTACTATTGCGCTGGATGTTCCTAGTTGGTAGTTTGAGTGTTATCAATCAGCCTATATCGTATAGCCCGAAGGCCGGTTAGAGGGGCAAGCTTCTATACCGGCTTCCGTCAACACAGTGACCTTGACGGTGGGTTTTCCCCTTGAGTCGAGTCTCTGGGAGGCGGTTATGGCTAAGATATGTGCGCGGTTATGGTCGACCATTTTCGCGGCTATTGTTGCACTGGATATAAATAGATAGATAATTAGAATTACTCGAACGTAAGCGTTTTTGAATGGTAAGATACCCTCCTGGTTCAATATACTTCGTCAGAATGATTTATTGAGTTCACTCATGTCGCAGGCTAGAAATTCGGTTGGCCCGGATAGCACGGTAAAAAGTGTCAGAACTCAAGACAGGCAGGCCTAACACGTTTCCCGGGTCATCCAGCCACCCAACGCGTTGTTGAACGCGCCTCCATCATAGAAGCTACTCAATTACCATCTATACCACCAAAAATGTCTGAATCAATCGAAATCTTTTGTGGGACAGGAAGCTAGGATCCTCCAAGCTATATCGACTATTAAAAATATGCAATTTGGCGGCATTCAAAAGCCTGCTGAAGCTTATATTGCCCCCCTTCTGCATTGACAGATCGCTTAAAAGAAAACGTTTCAGCCTCAAGTACACTCAGAAAACCACAAATTGACTGTCTGAAGAGATATCGCTTGTACAGTGAATATTATCTCTAGATAAATGTGGAGCAAGTCCCCAGCCTGCCTATTTACAAGAAATAGGCAATATTCTACTTGCTAAGAATGATTCTACTACTACGCCTACTACTCTTGGCTCTGGAGCTGAATGTAAGCAGACTGTTCGCAGATAGAGTGAAAGGCCAGCCATTCCTGAATCCCAATCCTTTGAAAGCTAGATATGTTCTGGAGAAGCCGTTAGTGTTTTCTGTGCCGAAACTAGTTATGAGTATACAGAAGATTATTTTTGGTATCCCCAAGTAACTACTCTTATCTACAACTGGAAGAAACCGGTTAATACTAATATCTTGTAAAGGTAGTGCCACTTCAGTAGAGTAGTACTATAGGAGCTCTGGACCAATAACTCAAGAAACTAATTAAGAAATAGAAAAGTTAATAAAATTCTATACTTTATCCTCTATAGGCTTGTGCTAGCTTTGTAGTACTAAGTAATTATAATTTATAGTCAACACACTAACAGTCGGTAGGGCTTAGTAACCACAATAACTGTATAATATACTAGTTAAAAAGCAGTTAGCTATATCATAGGCTATTCAATAATATCTATAACTGTTCTTAGATCTCTTCTCGATTTCTATATAGATCTAGATTATAAGGTTTTAGAGATTCTCATCAGGTTACATCACATGATATCTAGCAAATGTCCACGCAGTACATCATCGATCGCCGGCAGCCACATAGAAGTCCTGCCAGCGATATTTCTGCTCGAAACCCAACATTCGCTTCATCTTTCTATTGGTGACCGGAGCCTCCCTGGCTTCCATCTGCCTCGTAATCGGTGTATTCGGACACAACTTCACCAAGAACGCCATAGTCGACTCGGCGAAGTTAGTAAGCTCATCATTGACTGCATTGAAAATCTCAAACCCTAGCCCATCCGTCACCAGACATTTTTCAAACATAAGTCCAATATCCCTTGCATCTGTATATGCCCACCCATGTACCTTGTATTCCTCCGGTCTCTCTACATATCCTTCGAACTTCTCTTGGAATTCCTCCGGCGCAACCACCGCTCCTAATCGCATCACGTAGATGTCATTCCCAAACCGTCGCGCAAAGCTCCGTGCCGTGCGCTCCCCACAGACCTTAGACAAGGCATATACATCCATTGGGTTCGCATCGACATCCTCATCCACAGGAAAGGCCGGATAATCAACATCACCCTCAGCAAATGAAACACCATACACGGTTATGGAACTCGCCAGAACGATCTTCTTCACGCCAACCCGACAGGCCGCTTCAATCACGTTGTAGAATGATAGTATATTGCCTCGATAGGTCTCTGTATCTGGGACGATCATGTTGCGCGCGTATCCCGCGAGATGAATGACGGCGTCGGGGACTTGTTGGTGGGGTTCGCGGAAGGGTTCGGTGAGGCGGAAATGCGAAAGAAGAGCACCGTGGACTTGGCCATTGTCGGTGAGGTCTACTTTCAAGGTGTGGACCTTTTCATTGAGGGGTGATGGGAGGGGGTTGAGGTCGAGGTTCAGGATCGAGTATCCCTGGGCAAGAAGATGGCCGATGATATATTGGCCTGCTTTGCCGGAGCCGCCAGTTACGATTATTCGCTTTGACATGGTATGATATGAGCCGATGGACGGTAGAGTCGAGAGTATCGAGTTGCCCAAAAGGTTGGTGGAAGGATTGTGGGGGTGTGTCAATGTCATCAGAGAGGTCTTTCTGTTCGCTCAGATGGTGGATATTCGCTTTTCCATCCATTGCGGGGCAGTGCGGGGAAAAGAGCTGGTGTGGATATAAGCCCTACGTTTCCATTCAACTGGCGTACATAAATGCAGTATTTTCCTGTAATTTGCGGATAACCACCGTGTATATGAGTCTTACGATAGACATTAGGCAAACAAAACACTTTCCTTTTATGACAGCCTCTGTTCACTGTTCATGTACATGCAATATGGATTCTTCGTATTACCTACTATAAAAGGCCCACAAGACAAATCTATAATGACAAAGATGAATATAAACAAAGGCTAAAGGAGAGGGAACAAATGAAAATGAATCACATCCACTGGCAGACCCTTCTCGACGCAGACTCGCAGAGTGCATCTGCTTAACGCAGCAATGAAAAGTTCAATATTTAAGACATAATGATTACAATCCACGCCAGGACTTGGGCATACTCATTGCCTAACAGCACGTTATACATTGCAATTAGCATACGAAAGGTATCCAAGTACAATTTACAAGATATAATGAACCTCGTTCTTTTTGTCTTGCCTATACTATATTCACCAACCTCTACTCCAAGTATTAGCGAGGGATCATATTTTTAAATTTTCTTTCGCATCGCTTACAAGTTACAAGATCTCGCACTATATATACAGTTTCTGCCATTTAGCTAATAATAAGGGGATAAATTGCCTACAAATACCAAAACCACTAGAACGAAATATATATCAGTTTCGGGGAATCCTTCATGATCTATTGAACTTAGGGTGAGGGCCCGCGGGCTATAAAACCACCAGAGGACCATTAATATTAGATGCAATTGTTCAAACGTCGTAGGCCTTTCTGGTAGCTGATACTATTATCAAGTTCTGTTGTTGTGCTGTGATGAGTCCGTGAAATGATGGGCGGGTTACTCTATTTGGCAGCCAACCAAAGGAGGCAGTTCCGGTTGCCCCGTGACCTGGGCGGTGGCAGTATCTCACGGTAGCTACATACGGACTAGTGTGATATGTATGAAGATAGAAATGGCATAGAATGAAAGAAAGAAAGCATCACTTGTACACTTGCTTACTGATCACCCCCTTACTTGGAGATTGACTGATATAAGCATTCTCGTAGAACCCCAACAAGGGATATGCTCGTGGTGCAACGCGATCTGAGAATATTGCCTCAGCCTTTCCCTCCCCCAGTCGACTATGCTGTCCTTACGCGTGCGTGGCACGCGTTTAGTTGGTCGCGTGACTAGGACTTCCCTCTCACAGACGAAGGCCCGAAACTTTTACTCAGGGAAGGACACATCTCCAGCTGCCAACAAGACATGGAAGTCCTTTGCAATTGCTGGCGCAGTTAGTGCACCAGGCTTTTGGTTGTTGACATCCACTCGCGACGACGATGTGCCTCGTCTCGAGGCTCCACCAACCGGACACTTAGTGGCCGAGGCGGGTCCTTCCAAAGACGAAGTGACGCGTATCATATCTCAAGATGCATATTCATTTGCAGTCAGGAGTGTTGCTGGGGTGAACAGATACGATGGCACACAGCTAGAGTCCAATAGCCTGTGCGAGGACCGGTTCACCCATGGTATGTTCCCGTCACCGTTGAATGATGGCACTCAATGGATGGCCTGGGCGGTCTTCGACGGACATGCTGGCTGGCAAACTGCAGAGCTCTTGAAGGATCAACTCTTGCCGTTTGTGCGACACAGCTTGAGCCAAGTTAAGTCAGCATCCTCTGGTGAAGAATCCATACCCGACGAGGTGTTTCACCACGCAATCATGAAGGCGTTTGTGGACCTGGATGATTCGATTATAAAGACAGCCATGCAAACTGTCCAGAGTAGTGAATCGCTGCAGGACAAGCTGAAGAAGCTGGCTCCAGCTTACGCTGGTTCATGCGCTCTACTCTCCATGTATGACTCGGCCACAAGCTCATTGCACGTGGCGTGTACTGGAGATTCCAGAGCGGTTTTGGGACAACAAATGCCAGATGGCAATTGGGAGGTAATCCCATTGTCAGTCGACCAGACTGGCAGCAATGAGGATGAGGTTGAGCGAATTAACCAGGAGCACCCGGGCGAAGAGAACATAGCGAAAAATGGACGGATTCTAGGGATGATGGTCTCGCGAGCTTTTGGCGATAGTCGGTGGAAGTGGGCTTTGGACCTACAGCAGGACCTCAAGGAAAGGTTTGGGGGGCCATCACCCCTGACGCCCAGGTACGACGTTCGCACACCACCATATCTAACTGCCGAGCCTGTTGTGACAACTACGAAGATTGATCCGAGTAAACCTTCGTTTGTCATACTTGCCACGGACGGCATGTGGGATACACTCTCCAATCAGCAGGCTGTAAATCTAGTGGGTAAATGGCTGGATGCACAAATCCATGGGCATCCATACAGCGAACCGAAAGCAGAGTATAAACGTGTCGACTTCGGTGACCTTGGAAATGGGGTGGGCTGGGAATTTGAGGAGGGGAGAACGACAATCCAAGATGATAATGTTGCCGTGCACCTGGTGCGCAATTCCCTCGGGGGAAACCACCACGAGCTCATAGCAGGCCGTCTCGCTCTGGGTTCTCCTTTCTCCCGCAATATACGGGATGATATGACCGTGCAAGTGGTTTTCTTCAACTGCCCACATCTACCATCAAAGTAGGCCACAAGTGACATAGTAAAAGAATCCACGATGACTTATCTTCATAAATGTTTGTTTAATCCCAAGTATAATTAAGCGGCCCACTTGGGGTGGCTACTACAACCGGTCATGAAGTTATCTCGGCAGCAACCTCAAAGGAGGTGAAAGCAAATGCCATGCCTGATGTGACGTTGGATTCGCCGGCTGATCGCTATCGTAAACTCATCCGGTCACTGATGATGCCGCTATATAGGTGGGAAGATATCTCACATGGCTTTGAAGTTAATCTCGAGCCTCGGAAACTATGGCCCACATCCGGTATTGAACACTGAATGGCGAAGAAGAAAATGCTCGTTGAGCCCCAGCCTAACATCGAAGTTGGCACGCCGAGTCACGGCTTCTTCCCCAGCTACTTTGCTTAACCGCGGTGCAAGAGCCATACAAATTGACCAGACTGTGGGTATGCGTACGCGGGGGAGCCTGCCGATGGTTCTTAGAGCTATCACAGAAGAAAGCAATAATAACAGTCAAACAGTGGGCTAACCTGCTATGGTTGAAGTCTAGAAGCTCTAGCCTCTGTATACCTTCTTAACTTGCTAAGGACAGGCGGCATAATAGAGGACAGCCTACCACAAATACGTTGAAATTTGTATAGAAGGGATCTTCCCTGTACGATATCATCGGCAACGAGCTCGTCTTTACACACTATACAATAGACTTACAAACATTAGCAGCTGTGATAGGGTAGAATAACCTTTAATGTATATGAGGGGGGGTTAGCTCATGCTCTCCACACAGAACATACATAAATAACAAGGCTCGAAAAGAAATAAAGCGACAGAAATCAACAAATAGTTAAATAGACGTCATGCGGTTCGGGTTGGATTTGATGGTCTTTTCAACGACACAAAAGCACCTTCACCCTTCGCGAGATTCCCCTTGATCAGGTGAGAACTATAATTGTGAATGAACGACCCATGCTTGACAACACCATATTTCACGATATAGAGTTTGGGATCACCAGCGACTTCCACGATACAATTATGCCACGGTGTAGGTATATGAAGAAGATGCGATGCAGTCGCAGTGCCTTCTTCATCACCGTTACCATCATCATCACCATCATCACTACCCACCGAATCCAGTTGGCGAATGGTGCGTACTGTCGCAGAGTCAAACAGTCTTATACCGAACTTGGGGCCGGAGTTATTGTGGGCATGGATTGATAGGCGCAAGCGGTCCGGGAACATTAGCTCAATTAAGTTGGAATACGCTTGGTTTCGCAAGATCATCTCGAACGAGACTCTAGTGGCAAGCTTCTTTCGCTGAGAGCGCGACAGTGACTGTGTGAGTGGATGTCGATCTAAATCCTGGAGCATGAATCGTGAAAACCCACGATACAGGGCTAAAGTGGACTCGTCCCCAGATTCAATTTGCGTACGAAGACTATCTTCAGATGGCTGACAGCCAGCTACCAGGATTCGACGACATAACTCAGCCAAGTCGCCTAGACTTGTGGTAAGGTAATGTGGCAGTTCGGGGAGATTCAGCATTCCGACAGCATTCGGGGAAGTCAAAGGTGAGAGCGATGTCAGATTGAACAGGTCCACCAGAGATTGGAACTGAACTCGCTCGGTCTTCTCACCCATGGATAGAGAAATAGCTCGGTTAAGCACTTTGAGATGTTCACCATATTCATCCACCGTCTCATCGTCAACGCCGACTGCCATGGTTGTTAGTTGTAGGATATCACGGGACATGAACGATTGACTACTTACTGCAGTCGCTAAAAACATGACCATCACTGATGATCAAGATCCTAGCTCCAGGTGGGTATAATTGTTCAATTTTATGCGCAAAAGTATGCAGTCGGCGCAGGGCAATTTCCTCGCCCCTATCTGGGAGGACACCCACCACCTTCTCCTGATTCGATGACTTGCATGGGAACGCTGGAAGGCATAATTGCAATGTGGAATTATGATTTACAAAAAATCGCACTTTTGCTGCAAAGTACTTTCGACCCTCAGCTGCCCATTGATCGTTTTGCACACGATAACGGAGTTCTTTGTCGAACAAATCGACGATCCGTTCGACTGTCAAGTTTACTGGAAGCTCAGCTACTTCTTGAGGGGCGATAGCAGCGGCATCGATATTTTCCAATATAAGTTTCGCAAAGAGTTGGTCCATCGACACTGTGCCAATCATCCAACCTGGTGGAGCAGGTTTGAGAATGAAACCGACGATAGCCTTGGTATTCGCTCTTTGTCTTTCGTAGATGTCGACTTGTTGCAACCCAAAGTCGGCATCACTGCCAGGTAGGCAAACCTTAAAGCAATGAGCCAGACTTGGGCTTGTAGCCGTGACTGTCGATCGGATCGCTGACCAGGTACATTGGATCCATTGCGAATGCGGTCCCACGCAGCGGATGAGATCACCGCCAGGAGTTCGTACATATGCCCCCAGCGCCCTTTCATGGATTGATGGTAATGTGGTTGCGCTCTGTGTCAATCCCGTTCTCACCATGGTGACAGCAAAACATGCAGAAGTCTTTTTTTTTTTCATTAGAATGGGAAGTGGATGGGGAATAAACCTGGGTGGAGTAGGTACAATAGCAAGTAATGAAGTCTCAGGGCATCTTTGGCATCTGCTGCCAAAAGGGGATGCTTGATCATGCCAGAGTCCGATCCACCAACTATCGTTCAGCTGATGCTCGTATTATTACGCAACTTGAACAGCTACTAGCGAACAGCAGAGTCTGTTATTCCCGAGGCAGGATTTCGAACCAACGTGGATCTGACACCGGACCCTTAGAAGGCCCAGCCAGTGGAGATAATGGGTCCATAATATTTACCTAGCTTCCCCATGCATGATACGAACTGAACTTACACGGGGCTCAGACGGAGCCCACAGTGATTACACTGGAACGAAATTTGGCGGCTTGGTCGTTTGATAGCCACTTACCATGATGCTATTATTCATGGCTCTCGCAAAGGCAAGAGTATACGAGGTCTAGTAGGACTAATGCGGTCATCCGTCAATCCTGGTTCAATATTTTGGCACCCCAGAGGACATCGGGACTCCGTGTTCTTCCCAGTATCTGAACAACCAACGTCTCGCAGAATGGCCATGCACGCTATTTGCATCATTATCGGGAAAGCCCTCGGGGTATGGATTTTGTTTTTAGTAATTTGTATCCTCTGGAGGATTGTACCTCCTCGTTACCCTCGGAATATCCCCGCCGTTCCCTTTTGGGTGACTCTGGCTTCCTTGTTTCGCGACATTGACCAAGAGGATATCTACAGAAGGCATATCCAGAAGCCTCTCCAAACCCATGGAGCGGTTAAGATATTTTTCGCAGGGCAATGGAATTTGCTTGTACAGCGTTCAAGGTATCTGAACGAAATCTTCAGAAACGAGGAAGTGTATCAGAAAAGCGGGAACCAAAAAAAGATTCCACACAGCGTTCTTGCTGAGTTTTTAGGTCGACTCTCCGTCTCTCCCCGATTGCTCTATTGCTGACACTTGTGCTAAAAGGTGATAACGTCATATCTTCTCGAGGCACAACTTGGCGACTCTATCGAGACATTATCACGCCGGGTCTTCAAGGGCACTTTGACACAGGTCTTATAGCCGCAAATGCAGAAGAGCTGTGTTCTTCGCTTTTGGCATTCCAGGATACAGTCGGGAACTGCGGTGTGCCTGTTCAGGATCTTCTGCAACAGTTCACCATCGCCAATGTTTCCCAAGTACTCCTGCAGGCAAACCACGTCTGTCACCTTGTCTACTTGCAGCCTATTCACTACTGACTCGAAAGGTACAGACAACCACCAAAGGAAGCGAGCCATCACTTCATCAGCTACAACTAGCTGTAAAGAGAGAGATCTTCAAACCCATCTTCATGAACTTTCCAGTCCTGGACAGATTCGGTAAGCTGATTCCGTGCCGCGTGAGAGCCCGAAACGTGGTGGAACAGTTCTCAGCCGCATTGGAGCATGGCGTACGGCATGGACAGGGAACGCCCAAACCTAGTAACTTAGGGGCACGTCTAATCGCTGCGAGAGATGGTGGGGTACTTACAGCAAAGCAATTCCGGGACAACCTGAACGTGCTTTTTGTCGCCGGACAAGAGAACCCGCAACTGCTCCTGATTTCGATGCTGTACTTGCTTGCGAAGCATCCGGTAAGCGTGGCATGTTCTCTGAGGCTGATGTAGCTAATTTCATAGGATGCGCAATCCCGTCTGAGGCAAGATGTCGACGCATGGAGTACGCCCAATCCATCAAACGTTGCTTTCAGCGAGCTTCCCTATTTGACATGCGTTATCTATGAGAGCCTCCGCCTCCTGCCGCCAATATCGCAACTGATCAATCGCAGGACGTCACAAGACATCGTCTTAGGAAATCGGATCTACATCCCCAAGGGCACATACGTCGGATACAACTGCTACTCTACCAACCGTGACCCGTCAATCTGGGGACCGACAGCGGACGAGTTCCGGCCGGAGCGGTGGGGTCAGAGTAGCACGGAGATATCGCAGTGTTACCGTCAGAGGAGAGCCCGTGCGGAATTCGTTTCTTTCCACGGTGGCAGCCGAGCCTGCTTAGGGGAGAAATTCGCGCTCCTTGAGGCCCGAGTGGCGCTCTTTGTCCTGGTCAGCAGACTCTCATGGTCGCTGGATCCAGAATGGCCAGATCGGAAGACTCCGGTAAGTCGTGTTGCTAATTCCTGAGGCTAAAAACCATCCTCGAGGGAAGAAAGAGAGGAACAGAAGCTGACTCGTAGTGTTTCAGGCCGGTCCGCTGTACCCACGAGCTCTTCGTCTAATTGTCACCGAACGGAAATAAGGTGAATTGATATGTAGGAGACAACGTCAGAGCGCTTTTTCTTTCTCTTTTTTATTTTCCGTTCTTTCTTCCTTTAATTTTTTGTTTCTCCTTTTTAGGAGCAACGAAGTCAGTGCCTTCTGCAGGACGATTCGTAGAACAATAGCTCTTATCTTACGTACGAGAATCACCGGAAATTCTCCGATGTTCAAAAATAGGGCAGAGAAAAAGTTCTCTTTTCTTCTCTTTTCTCGTATCTTCCCACTTCTGATTGTAGAAAAACATGAATGACAGCAGAAAGAGGGAAATAAACAATGGCCTGTGCTACTCCTTGTCAAAGGAAATGTGCGCAAAAGTTCTCTGGTGCTTACATTTTAATATCGAAAGGTGGTGCTTGTGTTCCTTCGCCCCAGACTTGGACAATGCTTTTTGCCTGCCAAGAGACACTAAAACACAAGATACGCAACGCTATTATGTCAAGTTCTCCCTGGATGCGCTTCTTGGCATGCGATTCATGCCCTGCCGAGCCGTCCGATGTGAGGCAATTTACTCCACTGATTCGAGTCAGTCTACGAAGGCTTTGAAGGCTGAAAGAGTGGTGGAACAGAATCAACAGGGAGATTCCTTTCATTATCGCTTATAGTCTGCCGCGGGTCCACGCAGAAAAGAGTCATACAAGGGCGGAACAGAAGATCCTTTCATTCCAATCATCGAGCAATACTAAGGAAACAATAGACTTTCTGTCTCTCAAAACGCTCGTAGGACAAAGCTCCCTGGGCATCCTATTCGTTGCCTCCTCTAGCCTCGCTCAACGGCACCTTGGCATCTTCGATACCTTTCGGAATGTCCACCCAGATGTACAGTAAGCCCGCCACAAAAATAAGCAACACGTTAGGAATCATGGGGAACCGTAGATTATGCGTATGATCTTGAATTACGCCCTGCACAAGGGGATTAATCCATCCGGTGGCAAGATCCAGCGTAATTTCTAGACCAAAGAACTGCGCTTCAGATCCGCATGGGATGAGCGACGCAAAGACCGTCCTGTTATAGGATCGCAGGGCGCTACTGGTACTCATGAAAAGGACCTGTTCCACCCAGAATTCAGCGGCATGCTTGTACCCGATCGTGATGTGGTTGCTGATCCCAATACATCCCCACAGGACGCACAGGAAGTTGACACTCAAGAAGAAGTATGCCCAGCTTTTGATGGGGACACGGACATGAGGATAGAGAAACAGAAAGCTTAAGCTACCCATGCAGGCAAAGATCACGTTGGTAAAGGACCAAACTTGATACACGCCCGAGCCTCTCGCAATGCCAGTGACCTCCAGGAAAAGCGACTGAGTCAGTCCGAGGAAGTTGCTGTAGCCGGTGTTCCACAAGATCCAGCCAATGCAGAACTTGAACGCTTCAGGATAGTGACGCGCTGACCTGATCATGCGGATCCACCCTTTCACGGCCAGGAGCAACAGATTCTGGCCCTCAGGCCGCTCTTGACCCGGAACAGAGGGGAGGAGACATTGGCCAATGGTCGCGAAGACAACTGCACGGAACAGTTCAGATACGAGTCCAGGTGTGGAGTGGAAGTAGACTTACTCGTAATGCAGCCGGCAATTGTGATGGCGAGGAGGTAACTGAAGTAACCCACTTGCACATACGACCCGATACCGTAAGAAAGGATAACACCGATGAGCAAGGCAACAATTCCTCCGACGTTGCTTGCAACCAATGCCAGAACACTAACGGTGAAGCCCTTTTTCCATGTACGCTTCGTGTCCGGGTCTGCTATTGGAGATGCAGAGTGCAACCCACCCACCGAGCGCATGAAGATCGGGATATACGATGCCTCAATAACGGTATAGACACCTTGCACCGTAGTGAGCAAGCAGTATAACGTCGCGAGTGCATTGAGGTGGCTATATTCGGGCTTGGTTAGACCAGCAAACGGCAGCGCCAGCGCGCCGAAGAGGAAAATCGAGCACAACATCATAGTTTTACGATATCCTAGTTTCCATTGAGCGAGTCAGTTAGTGCTTCTTCATGAGGCCTGGTGAAACATATAGTAGGGTTGCTCTTACGAGAGTAGTCTGCAACGCCAGCAGTCATGATTGTGACAAACCCTTCCATTGCGCGACCGATCGAGCGTAGATAGAGCCTGGTTCGTTCAGTGACACTTCCCAAATGATCATGATGAAAGGCATACACATAGCTGACATAGTCAATCTCTCCTGCGCCGAACTTCACCAGGCATTTAATATGCCCTCGACGAGCGCAGGGCTTGTCTGATCCCGGCTGATGGCCGACGGTGTTTGCTGCAGACTGGATAGCTGCCGAGACATAGTTGAAAGCCATGGAACTGGTTGGGCCTGTCTTAATTCAATTATCAGTGAAGGCGCTACTAACCATGTTTTTTTGGGTTATTCTCACAGAAAAGCACAAAATTAGATAAGCCCATAGTGCCTTCTTAGTACTGAGGGAGGCAACTTGTTGGTTGTTAATGGTGGTCTCGTTTGCGTACTCTTCATCAGAGCCAGCATTTTGTTCATGGGCATGGATGTTATCCTTATCCTGGTCTCCTTTCACAATGCGATCTATTGAGGACATTTTCACATCAATATCACTTGGAAGGTGTAGTGGCGAAAGTTCACAGTGTCATCTATAGAGAGATTAATATGTGAGACCAAGGTGACGAGTCATTATATGAAAGACGTTTGTTTGATATGTAAATGGCCAGGAAAGCCTTAGTCTAATTACATAAAACTGTAAAAAGGAAAGAAAGAAACATAGCCCAAGCAACTACAAGAGGCTGTAACTGGCCGGCAAGGTGTAGGTGCGCGGGATTGAGCACATTTTCATGGATACGATTGTGGAGAATAACCCTTGCTATTATACCCTGCCTTTTCAACATTGAACTCCACTCGTGCTACGAGGATGAAGATGACTAACTAATTAAATATTATGATGATTATTATTACCTATTTTTCGCCCTTTTATTAGTAAGTAAAGCCTCCACGACTTTCATATACCCAGGGCAAGAACTGCTTTGTTCGTGTGCGGCGTGCGGGTTGGTTCTTCGACCATATCTTGGCCATGACGAGTCCTGCCACCAGCCCACCGAGCGAGCCATGCTCGGTTGCAAAAGAGGAGCAGACATCAAGCCTCGTGACGACACCAGATAAATCACCAGCAAGTGCAGTCACACAGCCGCCGCCCTATACGGCTTTCTCTCGCCCGAAGAGAGTGTTCATTCTCGCGGTGGTGACGGTGGCCGGCTTCTTGGGCCCATTGGCAGGAAACATTTACCTCCCTGCCTTGCCTGTTTTAGAAAATGAGTTCCAAGTTAGCGCTGCAGCTATCAATGCCACTGTTTCGGTATTCATGGCGGTGTTCGGTTTCGGTGTAAGTCCTTTGACATTATCCCCAAGTTGTCAGTGGCCATGGGCTGACACTTACATAGCCCCTCTTTTGGTCAAGCTATGCGGATTGGAAGGGGCGAAGGCCGTTGTACTTGATATCTCTAGTAGTATATATCATCGCAAATGTTTTAATGGCTGTGCTTCCGGCGAACTTTGGTGCTCTGGTATTTCTGCGCATCGTCCAAGCGTTCGGCTCATCAGCTGTCGTTTCGATGGGCGCCGGTACAGTCGCTGATGTATGAAATGCCTTTCCGTATTTGCCAAAACAAAAAAGTTATACTCACTGTATAAACAGATCACGGAGCCCAAGCGACGTGCCCGGGCCATGTCGTACTTCATGCTGGGTCCTCAATGCGGTCCTATTTTGGGCCCGATTCTGGGAGGTGCAATCGTTGGTCAAGCAAGCTGGAGATGGATTTTCGCATTCTTAGGTATGTGATTCTGTTGCTTCTCTATTCTTTCGGTTCTGATACAGGCTTAGCAATTCTGGCGGCTGTGCTTTGGCTCATCATGCTTCTCTTCCAGCCGGAGACTCTCCGAGCCCGAGTAGGCAACGGAAAGGCGTATAGTGATAAAGGCTGGATACTATGGCCACCCAGCCCATTCTCCTACCTCGCCCCCGAGCCCGAGCGCGGTCCTCCTCCCCCGAAGCCTACTCTAAAAGGCTACTGGCGTCTCTTCACCTATCCTCCCATCGGCATCGTCTCTGTCAATACCGCCATACTTTATTCGTCATATTTCGGGATCGCGGTCCAGCTTCCTACAGCCCTGGAGAACGTATATCACTGGAGCTCGACTGAGGTCGGAGCTGGATACCTTGCCGTTGGCATTGCGATGGTTGTGGGCTCCATCGCTGGCGGTCGATGGTCTGACTGGCATCGAGCTCGCATGGTCAAGGCGCTTGGAGAAGGGAAGGTCACACCAGAGGCCAGACTTCGGGACCAGATTGGAGGCATATTATTTTGTGCCACTGGTCTAGCAATGTTTGGCTGGTTTGTGGATAGGGCAATTCATCCGGCAGCAGTGCTAGTGTCAACATTTCTGGGTATGTTTGCCTCCCTTGACGCAGCTTGCTGTATGTGTAAAAAAAAAAAAAAGATAAAAGAAAAGAAAAAGAAAAAGAAAAAGAAAAAGCTAGACTAACAGCTATGATCTGACCGCAGTGGGATTTGGAATGTCTTGGATCTTCGTGACGACTAATGCCTTCCTTACCGAGTGTATCCGCCAGCAAGCTGCCCAGGCTTTTGCATTGGGAAATATGCTTCGGAGCCCTGCGGCGGCAGTTACTGCAGCGATCATTCATCCACTGACCGTGAGGATGGGATGGGGTTGGTGTTTTACAGGGCTGGCGATACTAAATTTCGGTTTAGTCGGGTCGGCAATGGTCATGCTACGTATCAAGTCGCCCGACTGGCGAAGGAAAAGATCCGCTCAGATGTCAGGGAATTAGGTATGGTCAATTTACGACTATGAAATGAATGCATACAGCATCACTCTTAATGGCAAGTCGGGATTACTTCAGGTTAGGCCAAACTCTTTTTATTTCTTCCAAGACTAGTATGCATATTGCAAAAACGAACGAAACAGCTATGTTCTCGTTTTACGAATACGTTTAGCTGTCATCTTGGATAACTGCCGAAATCGAGACTTATATGCGCACGTCATCCCGTTTACAGATCACCCCATAGATAAGGCTTTAGCGACACCAGCCAACTCGTATTACTTTTCTCCGCAATGAATTAAGTTCTGTCTAGACTTGGCAGGTCGGTTCTTGGAGTTGGAGAAGGATGTAGCGAGTAATTGTGTGATAGCCACGAGGTATTGTTCATGTCCGTTAAACCTTGGCGGATGCCATTCTGGTCTTCATTCATGATGCATGAATACCGCCGTATTTCCTCTAGCAATGTAGTTGTTAATTGTCTTCCGCTTTCTGTTTCCTGACTTTCTATTTGCTTCGCTATTGTTTATTGCCCTCGCCGTGCTCTCGCGGCCATGGAAAAAATCACCAATTCAACAGTCTTATCTGACGCAAGAGAGAGCAGTTCCGACCTTGGAGCCGAAGATGAAAGAAGAAAAGCCCTACTCCAATCTTTTACGCCGGAGGAGGACAGGCGAATCCGAAGGAAGATTGATAGGCGGTTCTTATTTTTGATTGGCATGATGTACATTATTAAAACTGTGCGTAACCAGAGTCACTTTCTTATATGCGTGAGCTCTTGTTTAATACTCATGTTGTTGATTTTTAGATTGATTATACCAATGCGGCCTCCGTTAAAGTGTTGCAAGTCGGGGAAGACCGCAATGTGCTAAACGAACTAAAGATGACATCGGAAGAATACAATTGGGTCCAGTCTATTTATTTCGTTAGTCCACCTTTCATTCCTTTACAAAAGCCCCTATTTAGTTTGTTTCACCTATATCCACAATTACCAGGAGCAGAAGATGAACGAGAAGTAACATGTTATAGATCAGCTACATTGTATTCGAAGTACCCAGCAATCTTCTGCTGAAGCGGCTCACGCCACGCTTATGGCAATCGCGAATCATGTTAACTTGGGGCATTGTCCTTGCCTGTCATGCAGCAGCAAGGAACAAAGAGACACTCTGGGCACTACGCTTTCTCCTTGGGATGTGCGAAGCAGGCATGTTTCCAGGTATAGCTGCCCAGCTATGCGGCTGGTACCGCAGCGATGAGATGGGCAAGCCCATCATGTGGATGTTCGGCTTCCAAAATACGTCTGGAATTGTAGGTTCGCTATTAGCGTATGGAATATCGTACATGAACGGGTTATGTGGAATGAGTGCATGGCGATGGTTAGCATTAAACCACACTGGAAAAATATCTAACTAACGAGTCACAAGGGTCTATTTATTAGAAGGTCTATTCACCATCCTTTTCTCCGGAGTCATCTACCTTGTCCTGCCAGACTGGCCCAAGTCCTCTAGGACCAGAAAGTGGCTTTCAGAGCGAGAACAAGACTATGTCGAAGCACGACTATCAGAGAACGCGCCCAAGACAGCAGACTCCGACTTTGCCAAAGAAGAAGTGATCGCATCACTCAAGGATCCGCGAACCTATGCCTTCATGTTATCTCAGGTTCTCGTCAATTTTTCAGGTTACGCATTAACATGGGAGCTTCCCACGATCACCACCAGTCTTGGATTTGCGGGGCTTCCACGCAATCAGTTGCTTAATATCCCGCCATCTGCAGCGGCAGTTCTGGCGATTATCTTCTCAGGCTGGTTCCTGAAACAGGCATACCTAACTCGCCCTGCGTACACCATGTTCTGTATCATGGGACCAATGCTTGTGTGTTTCATTTTGCTAGCAGTCCTGGAATCCCGCATTGGAATCTATATCTCATGCGTGTTGGGCAATATGTTCTATTCGGTATATTTCATTCCGTTCTGGGCATGTAAGTGTCTCTTCTGAGCTCTGCTTCACTTCAACCTTCCTCTTTCTTTTTATAGCCCGACGAACTAACCCTAACTCAGGGCGAACATCATCCCTAAAAGGCACTACTGGCGCCGCATTCACATTAGCCTTCCAGTCCTGCGTTGGCCAAGTTGGCGGCGTTATCGGACCGCAACTCTTTCAGTCCAAATTTGCCTACAATGGATACAAAACCCCATTTGGGATTTGTGCCGGTGTGATTGGTGCAGCCTGTCTAGCGAACCTGTGGACATGGTGGTTGACAAGGAATGTTGAGTGGGATGTCCGTAGAATCCGTCGGTTAAGGATTAAGGAGGAGAAGCAGGGCCGTATCTATGCCGATGACGATGTAAGGGTCTATGAGGAGCGGCAGTTTTACAAGGGGGTTACAAAGAAGGACTCCGAGACGAATGTAGTTGAGACAGTTTAAAAACAGGAGATATTACTTAGTTGTGATGTTATACCTACCAATGAAAAGAAGACCACACTCACAATGTTAGGAAGATAGTGCATATCCAGATATTTCCGAGCTTTTGGAAGCTAGAACCTTCTGGTTCAGAAAAATCGATGACCCTGAAAAAGTTCCAACTATCACTAGAGCAACTCATTCAGGTTAACTGATGATGTGATAGATGTGGGGCGGAAGCTAATGAATGCCGTGCTGAACTTCCTACTTGGAGTGCCGATATTAAATCTAAGACTAGTACATTCGTAGTACTTCGGACGAAGTCCGCAGAGGTAGTTGCAGTAGTATGAACGTGCTTTGATCCTTGCAGCACGTCAACCGGACACTATCCTGCATCTGTTCTTGCGGTCGATAGACGCTGTTGGGGTAGGAGAGGGACGAAAAAGTGCAATAGTTTAATTCAACCAAGTGTATGTCGCTAGAAAATGCATGCATGCATGCTTCATAGTAAACGATTATAAAAATTCTGGCTCCGAGCTGATTTCCATATATTCCAACATCCTCTTGTCCACCAAGCTTTACTAGAGTGCGTGCATACAAGAATGAGAGATTCGAAAAACAATATTGTCAGTGAGCAGAGCTCTGTCCATGATGACAGGAAAGATAATACTCTCCACTACGCAAGTCGTGGTCAGGCGCTCGACAATGAGAGCGCCGGTACTGAGAATATTGCGGGATTCGATGCCGAGTGGATGAGGGCACGAACCTCCTTAACTGCCGACGAAGAGAAACAGCTGTTGCGTCGGGTTGATTGGCACATCATGCCGCTTTGTGCGATAATGTTCCTGCTGAAGAACATAGATTCTGAGAATGTATGAGAGCATTGATTTGATCAACGAAGGCGATACTGACGTACTTCACTTAGGTCGCGAATGCGAAAATCATGAACAAGGGAACAGACAGAAATATCTTGACCCAGCTCGGCATGACCACTGATCAATATAACCTCGTAACGGTTCTTTACTACGTAGGTATGGAGTGGCATTCTTCGCGGGCTTTGCTGACAGCTTTAGATTCCATATATTGTGGCGGAAACCCCGTCAAACCTCTTATTCAAAAGATTGCTTCCCTCCAGGTGGCAGTCTCGGATCATGGTAAGCGCTTAGGTAGTATTACTGCATGGGAGGAAAACTGACAGCAGCAGATTAGTTGGGGTATTACCCTCGCCTGTCATGCAGCAGTCAAGAATAAGGAGGGCCTGTACACGGTGCGCTTCCTCCTGGGCTTGGTAGGATCCCCTGATGACTTGACTCGGTCGTGTGGATTGCTAACATCGTGGCTTAGTTTGAAGCTGGGTTGTTTCCTGGAGTTATTCTCCAATTATGTTACTGGTATAGGCCGGACGAGATGTCGCTAAGATTGCTTTACTTTTGTAAGTGAGCGCTGGTCTTCCGATATGCTTGCAGTTCTAACAGAACAAGATATCCTTGGAAACTTTTCCGGAATTATCAGCGGCGTACTAGCTTACGCTTTCGATACGGTGTCTGGCTCTCATGGACTATCGGGTTGGCAATGGTGCGTTTTAGTCCTTCCTATGAGGTATTCGTTACTGACGCTGGGATGTTCAGGCTCTTTCTAACAGAGGGTATTATCACGGTCGCGTTCGGCATATCACTGATATTCATATTTCCTGATTGTATGCACATCATCCACCTGACTGGAGACGATGGATAGAGAGACTAATCATGAGGTGATAGTTCCTCCTCAAGCCAAATGGCTTACGGACAAAGAGAAAGCGTTCATCCAGGCGCGGTTACCACGCAATGCACCCCGAGCCGAAGAGATCAACTTCAATGTCCGTGAAATCCTCGATTCACTGAGAGACCGCCGCCTGTGGCTTTTCACCCTGATATGGGCTTTCTTTACCGTGGGAACGCACGGTCTACGATTCTACCAACCGACCGTGATCGCCAACCTAGGATTCACGTATGTTCCCCCTTGGCTTTCTATAGTTGATGCTAAACTGAACAAAACCAGGGATATTGCAACATCCCAGCTTCTCAACATCCCCACCTCCGTTCTAACGGTCATCTGCATCGGGGTTTTCGGTATTTGGGCTGACAGCTCCCGTCTTCCCCGACCCCTTTACCCATTGTCTTTTCTAGTTGTCATCCTAGCTTGTTACGGTGTACTCTACAGCTTCCCCAGTAACGGCGCCGTCTATGCTGTGACTGTCATCGCCAATGCACTAGGAAGCGCTTGGTTCCCGCTAATGTGGCCGTGGCGTGTACAAACCACGAGCCGGGCGACTGGCTCCGCCTTCTCCATCGGCTTTGTGAATAGCTATGGTCAGATTGGAGGTGCTATCGGTCCGCAGATATTCCAAAGCAAGTATGCGCCGCATTATACGGTGCCGTTCGCAGTTACGATGGGGCTAATGGCGGCTTGTATCTTGACTACCCTTGTGACTTGGTGGATAACCAGGGACACTGAGAGGGCAACAAGGAGATTGAAGCTGGCCAGAATAGAGGCTATGAAGAGAGGGGAGGCGGTTTTGGATGATGTTGTTGTTAACGACTTGGCGCAGAGGAGAGACGTGGAGAGATCAGGAGTATAATTATGATAGTTATCGGGACTCTTTCTTTTCAAAAGCACAAATAAGCTTACACATAATTGGAAATATCCAAACGTAAGCCAAACCTCTGTCTTTGATATTCCATCTTTAGGGTGTTGATAGCGGCGTCCCAAAACGGGCAAAGTCCGAAAATTATGAAACCCCGCAGTTGGGGAGATTGAAAATTGATATAAATGGCATGGATGACTCCTGGTTGTAACAATTGTGCTGCACATTCATTCCCCTTCTACCCTTTCTAATATCTTTGTTTCTTTGAGTCCTGTTCAAGCATTCGAAAAAAATGTCACAACTTCAAGACTACCGTCTCCTGACATTTGATGTCTACGGCACCCTGGTGGACTGGGAAGGAGGCATTTTGGCTGCTCTCCAGACGTCCCTTGGTAGAAACAGCGCTCAGTTGTCCCGTGAGCATATTCTCCACGTCTTCCATGAGCTGGAGCGGGATCAGCAAGCCAAAACACCGGAGATGCAGTACTCCGATCTTCTGGCTACCATCCACCCTACGCTGCTGCAACAACTAGGCCTCCCCACTCCCACCGCGGAAGAAAGTAAGGCCTTCGGCGAATCAGTAGGGCATTGGCCAGCGTTTCCTGACACCGTCGACGCACTGAAGCAATTATCGAAGCATTACAAGCTTGTGGTCCTGTCCAACGTCGACCGTGAGTCGTTTGCCAAGACCAATGCCGGCAGCCTGCAAGGCTTTCCCTTCGATCTGATCATTACGGCACAAGACATTGGATCATATAAGCCCGATATCAACAACTTCAAATACATGCTAAGCGCGGTCAAGGAGAAGTTCGGGGTTGAGCCCGGTCAGGTGCTCCAGACCGCGCAGAGCCAGTTTCATGACCATCACCCGGCGCGGAAGGTGGGTATCAAATCTGTGTGGATTGTGCGTCCAGGAGCCATTATGGGCAATCTTGATGACACTGTCTATGATTGGAGGTTTGACACGTTAGGGGGCATGGCAGACGCAGTTGAGGGAGGCAACTGAACCAACAGAGTGATTTCATGTGGAGGTGGAACTGTCGCAGGAATATATATATATCAAGATAGCTAAAGATTAGGTTGATGTGCCTCCATGGTTCTATACGCTTCTCCCAAGAGCTTGAACTATAATAGCTATATTAATATGTGTCCTATTTCCATCAGACAATACCACAATACCACGAATAGTTCAAGAATCAGAGGAATACTGAATAGCCAGAGTAATAAACAAGCTGACGGATGACGTCACTTTCCCCAGATCCGCCAAAACAAAACGTAAACGGGGAAATGTTAATCCGGTCACGAAATCAGGTGCCAAATTGACCGCTTGTTTGTCTTCATTTTCCCATTTCAAATATCCACATTCATACACACACTCTCTCTCTTCATGAATTGAACTGCCTCCCTTGGTTTGATGTCCCCTCAACCCCGCAAAAAATCTTTACGCTTGAGGCTGCACCAATGGCTCTGGCGACTTCGGAATCTCAGCACACCCTTGCGGCTGCGAGGCAGCCTGGTCCGACTACGCCGATTCCATGAAAGCCCTCTTTTCGCTCTGATACGCCTATTGATTCCATTTCCAAGCTGGAAATTTCCCGTTCCGGATCCGGTCGCACCCATCGATATTCTCGGTAATGTGGAGTTGGAAGAAAATAAGCTAGAATACTTAGACGACCTACGGAGTATCCCACTATGGCGTACGCGAGACACCCCCATGCGATCCCTCTACCGAATGTATGAAGCGATGATATCCGGCATGTATGAGGCGCTCGGTCCCGAAACGGAATACTTCTGGTACCAGCGGCACTGGTCGTTAAAGGGCATTCGCGACCCACAGGATGCCGATCCCGTGCGGTATGCCATTCTAGCGTGTTTGGTGGAAGAACTGGTAGTTGCATTTAACTGGCGTTTGAGCTTAGGTCTGCGCCGGGACCGCAACCATATCATGCGAGAAACGGGGAAGGATTCTTTGCCTCCGTATGCTCCCCTCTCGGGGCCGACCTGGACAAGCTCGGTGCCAGCAATTTCCCCTGAAAACCTCAACCGCTTTCCACCAGAATATGTTTCCGATGACAGCAAGCTCGTACTAGAATCGGATGGATTAAACAAGGTCTTTGCTCGTCGAAACATTGTCACGAATGTTGGCTGGCTTTACACCATCTGAATTAGCCACATCCAATGCCCTGAAACATTTGGCCAGTTATATTAGGACTGGTCATCGGATAGAATCTAGGGGTGCCTTACCGTACGTGCCTCCAGAGAGGTTACCAGCCTTGGCTGCTACGGAGGCACCCAGGCAACAACACGTGTCGCCTCTGGTCGGACCATGACCATCGATCTATAGTAGGATCAGAAGAAGACATCCTCATCGTATTTTGCCTTGTAAGCGGCCGACACTCGTTGCATCGTCTCTCGATCCGGGACCACGTCGAAGCCGTTGATGTTCAATGTGCGATAGTATTCCATGTCCAGCCTCTTCCCCTTGTCCTTCTTCAAGAGGTTCAGCATCGCCAGCGCATCAGATAGATCTAGTTCAGCTTTCCGGCCCCGGTCTGCCGCGTAAATGCGTCGCAATTTCCGTTCCAGCGCCCATTCGACCGGTGCTGAAAGAACGGTTATTTGATTTCCGGACCATAGTACAATATTCTGTTTCAAGGCAAGGTCCATTAGCAACTTCCTCGCTTGCTTGGTTACGAACAGCGCGACATCTTCATTTGCCCAGTTTTGTGGATAGCCGAGCTCATCCGCTACCTGCACAATTGCCTCGCGAAGCGATTGTTTGATGTCATTGTCGTTGGCCCAGTCGGGTTCCAGCAGGTAGTCTAGGTCCTTCGTGGTTTGTCGGTTCTTGAGATGCGCCACTGCGAAGAATCCTCCGGCCGCTATGACTTTAATGGGTGCAAAAGCGACGATAATCGGTATCGCCGCCAACTTAGAATCCAACAATCTTAGACCTGGCATAGGGTTAGGGACAGACACTTCCATTGTATTGAGAAAGGGTGGTGATCTCTTGCCTTTGTAGAAGTCTTCCGCTCCTAGATATTGTTTCCTCTTCTGCATGGTTAGAAGCAATTTCGTTTCGCATGACGTGGACGGGGGCCTGAACGCTTAGTTATCGTGAAGGCCATGGTGGAGTCCCCACGGATTACCACGGTGAAGCATGTTGCGTTGGCGACTGTTGCTGACGCACTGCTGCCCATCTCGTCGGCAGCCAGTTTCCCGCGGGGCATTACTGATCCGTGCTATAGGCAGACAAAGGACTCCACGCTCTCTCGTGTCGCACTCAGGAGTGGCGCAAAGTATGCCGTGTGGGGATAAACTCAAACTCGTCAGGCTTTGGATGCCAATCCCTCTCAGCGTTCGTCATAGCAGGGAAGACTCCGATTCATCCTCTGCGCACCGGCCAGTCAGTCGCCTCGGCTTTCCTTCCTGTGTATCGGTGCGAGCAGGACTCTTACCTTTCGTTGCGGAAGAGGCCTACGGAGATGCCGACTTGGCAGTGATGCTCGAAGATCCGAGAGTACCATTGGGAAAGGCACTGAATCGGAAGATTCCACGCATTAGAAGAGATGTGTTGTCCGACGATGCTCCGGTCGTTGGTCAGTACGGATTTGTAGGATCAGGGGGGAAGGCATCCGCGAAGTTTTTCCTGGAATCCACTCCTGGTGCAATCCTACGATTGGGCCCTGTAGACATGCATGTAATGTATAGAACCGCATCAGGCAATCCATTAGCAACCCAGCCAGCGAATAGGAGGACCGCACGTAACCTCTTGCCAAGGGATTCCCGACGGGACAAAGACGATCTAGGCTCTCGGTGGCTGATGCCTCTCGTCTCACAACATTTCTCTAAGGTACTTGCTTATCATCGGTTCTTGGTGGAGAGAGGTTACTAATCACATCTCAGGAGGCACATCTTATATTCATACGGAAATTGGCTTGAAGTGATCTTCTCTTATCTTTTCTTATCTGCACTATAATCCTGTTGATTCCGTCTCATGTTCTCTTCGTCTCTGTCACTATGATCGGTCCAACAGTCTCGAAGAAAGCAGTGGGAGTTGCCTCCAGCAAAGACGCCTGGGCTCCAGACAACTGTAATCTTTCAGTTTCAATCGCCGTATGTAGTTCATTCTGTGCAACTCCTATTGTTCGGCGGCCATACGACTCATGACTACCAATCGATGGTCAAACCTGCGTCTCCCAGTCCGCGAGGGAGAAGGCCATGGCTGCATGAGGATCAAGTCGGAATTCGCTTTTCTGGGAGGCTAGGCCCTATCAAACACAACTAGAGTTGTAGAAAACACCGGGTACCAGCCTGGCTTGTGTGAAAAGAGCCACGACCATGAGATGATCTCTTCTAGCTCTGATCAACTCTTAGTGTCGGTGTGTTTATCGACACCAGGTGCAGCAGCTGTCAGGTACAGAAACCCTCAGCGTGGCCTTGTCTCCACCTCGGTGCTAGTTCTACGAATATAAACTACGGTTCCTGCGCAAAGGGTATCCCGTTACAATTTTACTCCGTACTCACCGACAAGGGCCGAAGATGGATGGGACTTCAGCATTCAGAATTACCAATATGGTCCGGTCTACGTATGAACTAGGACGCTTAAGGATCGTTCGTATATTCCAGCTTTGTTTTATTTTTCAGTATTATTATGATTATGATTATTACTCCTCTTCAAAATGCTTATTTTATGGGAACAGAAAATTTTACACTAACCTGATGTGGATAATGGACCTCGGCACATGACAGCGAAATTAGGGCTGGAACGACGAGAGACGGTTAATGATCGATAGACCCACGCCGACCCTTGAGCTGAATGGACATTCTCCGAATTCTCGTGTTTATTTCGGGCTCAATCAGTCTAGTGGAGTGTTGATCCTCCATTCCAGGCCCCCGTCATGACGTCAAATCGGGCTATACCATTGGATGTTATTGAGCTCAGGGTTTTATGGTTGCATTCCTTGACCTCCGAACTTAATTCGCAGACTGGCCAGGGCCTTCCCACGGGTCCGTTCCCGACTTCTCGCACTTCGGATGACCTGCATTCCTCGTGTCCTTATCCGATTTTCAAGACCTGAAACCCGAATGTCGTGCAGAAAATGCCCGATCACAAGTCCTCTGATGCTGCCGACAATAGTAGCGGCAGCCAGCAGGGTCGTCGGTTGAAGCTTCCGGGCTGGTTGGATCACTTCAATGCGCGCGACTTGAAGGTACTCTTTCGCTGCTGGGCTGCGGCCTGGGTGGCCTCGCTGCTGATATTCATCGGTCCAGCCTTACACCAGATCGGCATCGCGACCTTCTTCGGGGCTTTGGTGCTGTACATTGTGCCTCCAGCAGGAATTCTGTTCGTCTACTTGCTAGCAGCGCTGTCGCTCCTCTTCGGCATGTGTCTCGCATGGGCATGGGGACTCCTCACGATGAAAGCCGCCTTAGCGGCCCGACCAGACGCACAAACGAAGGCCATGGTACAGGCGTTGCAGCAGCAAGCTGTCACGATCGGCAATCAGACCGGCACGAATCCAGCCGCAGAGGCCAAAATCCTCGTGTACGATGGCTTCATGCTCGATGCACGCGTCACCGTCGTCTTCTACGTGATGATCTGTGCTTTCATCTATTTCATGTCTCGTGTCCGTGTCGCCAATCCGAAGTTTGCCTTGGCGCAGATCTTTGGCATCATCATTGCAGACCTCTTTCTGCTCTTCGGGCCAAGTTTGCCATCATTCACGGCTTCCCTGCCGGAGGTCCTCATTAAACCAGGTGCCATCGGCGTTGGTCTGGGCTTTGCCTGCTGTTTGGTCTTCTTCCCGCAGTCGACGTCGTTTGTAGCCCTCACGCAAATGCAGCAACTCGTCCGCCTGGGGGAAATTCCACTCAAGTGTACCCGGCAAAGGTTCGCAGGCGAATCCCTCGATCTGCAGCAGCTGACTGCCACCAAAGCGAAAATCATCGGAGCATTCAAGGCCATGCAACCGTCACTGGCCTTCCTACCCCTTGACTTTTCCCGTGGCCGCTGGAGCTCAGACGACATCAAAATGTTACAAGAGCCTCTGCGACAGGCTATTCTATCCACTGTGTCATTGATGGACTACCACATTACCCTCCTAAGAGCTGATCGAAAGCTACAAGACATCCGGCCTCTCTCGAAACAGGGATCGGACAAGAGCGATGTACAGGAAAAGCGAGCCCGCGAAGTCGGACAGTATCAGCTACGGGAGAGCGCAGATCTACTGCAAGCATTGAACAGTCCTGAGCACGGGGCTTCGCGAGCCCGCACACGCGAGGCATTGAGAAAGTCAACGACGGGACTGCTCGAACTGTGCTCCGAAACGAGTGAGCTCATTGTGCAGTGTCTTCATGGGGTTAATTCGGGCCGATGGTTTCGTCGAGCTGCGTCGCAAGATCAATTGAATGAGCTTGTGACGAGAGCGGATACTGTATTGCAGAGTCTACAGTCAGCCCGATCGTTATGTGCGGCGGAGACCACTGACGCGCTTCTCGACAGCCATGCCGATTTGTTTGATGAAAATGGTCAGTTGAAAGCGCCCGAACACTTGGGACCCCACGCCCTCCGCGGAATAATACTTGGAATGGTAATGGAGGAACGCATCCTCGGCACTGCAGAAACCTTAGAACGACTCCTGGCCCAGGTCTATCGGTTAATGCAAACGCGCACTCAGGAACGTATCTGGATTCCTTCGGGGCTGCGCTATGCTTTCAGCTGGCTGGTGAACCCTCACCAAAAGGCGCCTGCAGAAGATCTCGCCGCGGCCCCTGCGACCGACCCTGACGATGCTGAAGAGCAAGCCAAAGAGGCGCATCGGCGTCTAAAGATCAGCCGTGGCTACGGAAGGCCTATCCGACGAAGCCTTTTGGTGAGAGCGCTCACTGGCGGTTATCACTGGTTCACGAACCCCGGCGGAATGTATGCACTGCGCATGGTCGTCGTCACGATCGCGACGGCAATACCTTCTGCTATTCCACATAGCGCTGGGTTCTACTACCGGGAGAAAGGTATCTGGGCTCTGATCACTGCACAGACCACCTTGCTCGTGTACATGGGCGATTTCACCGTATCGCTCGTCGGTCGCACGATTGGCACGGTCGTCGGAGGTGTGATGGGCATGGTGGCCTGGTACATTGGGGCTGGCAATGGGCCCGGTAATGCCTATGGCCTGGCAGCAATCACGGCGGTAATGTCCGCCATCCTGATGTGGTGGCGTCTGTTTCTGCCTCCAATCCTCACCATGGCGGCAATTATGGGCGGCGCCACCTTCATTTTGGTCGTTGGCTTCAGTTACGACGACACTCACATCTGGCAATATGGTCTACCCGGATACGGCTACGAAGCATTTTGGAAGCGACTCGTCACGGTGCTGTTAGGCTTTATCGCCGCATTTATCGTCCAGATATTTCCCCGTCCGCCCTCCGCAACACGACATATCTGCAAGACATTATCCAACACTATCCGCACGCTCTCTGATCACTATGCTCTCTTACTATCCCACTGGGGTCGACCAGAAACCAACAGCCCCATAGGCGCAGTTGCGGAGGAGATCGCAGTCGAGGTCGCGGAAACCCTCCTCTCCATCCAAGGTTCCATTGGCCTCCTAGGTTTCGAAATGACGCTCGGTCCGTTCCACCGAGAAGCATTGGCAAACATGCACGTCCTCTGCCAGGACATGAACCAAGCCTTAGGTCGATTACTCATCTTATCCACCAGTCTCCCACAGCACCTCCAGGAACGGTTTGCGCAGAACGTGGGCCTGCTCAATGATCATCATATTGGCGATATCATGGCGGTATTGAGCGTGATCGAGCAGGCACTAAAATCGGGCCTTCCCCTGCCCGAGCGCTTGCCAGCGCCTTTGGTGAAGCGGTGTTTCGAGCAGTGGTATGCCCAGCACCGCGCTGTGGAGTTGAGTACGACCCTGGTGCGGGATGAGAATTATCGGCGATATTGCGTGGCCATCAGTTCGTATTTGAAGTTCTTGTCTGCTGTTGATGACATGGTGTTGGTACTGAAGGGTACTTTGGGAGAATCACATTTGATTGAGCGGTGGCAGGATGAGGTGTCGGTTTGAATGCTCCTAGCCTGTCCTCGCCATACTATCCTTATCTAAATGCTCTCTCATTACAAAGTTACGGCCCCAGTATCCAACGAGTGGCACCAAGTCTACACCCATAGTCAGATAATCCGTTTCTTGAGAAGCTACACATAATGAGAAATAGAGAGATATGTATCAATCTCCTTGGTCTATACTCGATTGTAGTTATAAGATTTTATACCCGAACCTGATCTAAATTGGTCATGTTATGTTATGACTATGTTGGTTACTTAGGTTATGCCACTCTAGTCACACTGGCGCTGGTACCTAATCAGTGGGGAGAATAATGAACAAGAAATGTGAATAAGATACCAATAGAAATCGAAAGATATCATTAGCCACTATCAAAATAGAATCCAGATAGTATATAGCGTTGAGGTTCCTCAGGACACCTTCCATCCTGTATTTATTCATCAACTTGCATAACGATTACCTATTGAACTTTGTTCTCCAAACCTTCCTCTAAGACATACAGTTAACAGATTATCCCGAATAATTTCCTCTTTCCTCCTCTCAAGCTCAGCTACATCCCAGTTCGCTGCTACATATCTGCCAGACAGGAAGCTTTTGTCTCCAGTTGACAGCCACACTGCTGTACCACCTGATAATTCTGCAGTATCTCTCATAAACGGCTCTAACCACGAGACACTCGAGCCCATATCTGTGAGGATCATGCCTGGGTGCAGGCTAACAGACGTAATGCTGGGGTACTCATTTTTCAGAAATGCAGTGAGCTGAGTAATGGCTAGCTTGGTCAGACAGTAGGAACTCATTCCTTGGGCGACAATATGACCCGCGGCTGATGTCACATTGATAATCGTTGTTGGGTTTGCAGGATTGGGTCCGATCATTTGTAGAAATGCCTTGGTGACATTATATGTCCCTCGGACGTTAACCTCCTTCACAAAGCACAATCAGCCAGTCTTCATTATGGGTCAGACACCCCATGGTGCCAGTACTCTTTGGAGCGACTTACATGGGTCTCCCACCATTGACTGGAATTCTGCTCCGTAAGTTTCCCCTGCGAAGGAAGTACAGCTGCATTGTTGATAAGGACATGGGGAACGCCAAATTGATCTTTAATCTTATGAAAAACTTCCTTGACCTTTGCCTCGTCACATATATCCAAGACGATAGACAACACACATGTTGACGGATTAATATTTTTAATGAGCTTCTCGGTCTCCGCCAAATTGATAGAGGATCGTGCCAAGATGATGATCGCATCTGCATGGGCATGGGCGAATGATGCTGCAAAGGACTAGAAATGGGTCTTAACGGAATTCTTGGATATCTATTTCCTCGTTATATAAGCTCTAGAAGCGAGGACATACCAAACGTCCAAGACCACGGCTAGCGCCAGTGATAACGATCACCTTTCCCGCCTGGGACAGCTCGGGGCGAGTAGGGTCAATTGTTGGATAAACATCTCGATATGTTTGGCTTGTAAATGCGTCTAGTTTGACAAAGCTGTCAGGGTCAACTTCAGGGCTAGTAGTACCCATAGCCTTCTGTATATTATACTGGGGTTTGTGATGAGAAATGCAAATAGGAAACCAGTAATATGAAGTCAAGAACATAGAAAGAAGCAAGCTTTCCACTATTATTATTTATATTTTTTTTTTCTTTATTTCTTGGCTATTGTTGCCTTTGCCCCTTTGACAATCATGGGATATATCCCACGACAAGGTTTCCACACTTAAGCGTAGAAGTCATGTCGTCAGACGAGGAATTCATTGTCGACCTAGATCATCATATATTTTTTGTTAAGAATCCTTTTAGCTTAGGGCAGGCGAGAGATGACTGTATATTAAGGTTTCACGACCAATGCTTGGGCCAAATTAAGTTGTCGAGACCGAGTCGAGAGCGGTCGACTGGGGTTGAACTCAAGCGGGCCACACATCCGATATACAGAGGCTGCCACTGTCAGATGACATTTCATTTCTGCCTTCCATCCAGGCGATCTTTTGGTCTTTCACTGCACTCGTGAGCTGTCCCAGTTCTGGCTGGGCTGAGTGAAGCCGATAATTAGCGTTGCAAATACGGTGCGACGACTGACGTAGAACATTTAACGGTTAGAATAGGAATAAAATCATGCCGGGACTTGAGCTGGCAAAGGTGCATCTATGGGCATTTTGATCTAGGCGCGAGCACGGCAAGCGTTTTCATGGACGTGTAGAATTACGTAGCATTTGGGGATGTCTTCAATCTAGCGAACAAACTCTCCAGTCAAATCCCTATGGAAGGCGTAGAACAATCATTACAAGACTATATGACCTTTGGGTGGTGGATAGATAGTCTGAGGGCTGATACTTATGGATTGAATTCATATCACTCTTTGGACATTAGAGCTTTTCCTCCTTATTGATTACTAGTAGACTTTAGTGATTGTGAAAAGTTACATTTTACCAAGATAGCCGACTTCTTGCAGAGCCCTTGGAGGAAGCCCCAGGCGTAATATGGGACTTTAGGCCTGGTAATGAGCCCTGCCGAAGGGCAACAGACAAAATCAATTCAGTAATACAATACAGATAGAAAGCAACAAATGGCCCCGAGAGTAAAATATAACCAAAGAACATTTACAGCATATAACAGAAACCCCATGATTAGTTACTTACTCCCCCCTAGACCCAGAGCATCAGTTAAAGTGCCCAAGCCAAAGCCTTCCAGAATCTTGTCTATCCCAAGGCTACCTAACAGCCCCCGAATAAGTCCGCCCAGGCCGAGGCCGTCCAGAAGATTGCTAACCAGGCCCAATACACCAGTAAGTAGAAGACCAACTGCGGCGATAATCTGAAAAAGTGGCTCCGACAGTAAGGCCCACAAAGGGTTGAGATGCTTTTTGGCATGAGGCATGTCGGCAATGAGTCGGCGTCCCTCTTCAATGGTCTCGACGACCGTTTGGGTGAGCTCTTTGAGCAGGTTTGCCAAGGAGTATTGCTCCGGCGTGGCTTCATGAGCCGCGTCGCGAGCTTTTGCTGTCGCTGCAACCTCCCCTGTGGGGTCCAAGGCCCGTAGAGCACCTTTACACTCTTGAAGCATGGAGGCAGCTTCTTCAATTAACGGTTTCACCGTTTTGACCAACTCTTCCTCATCGAGCTCATCTTTCGGCGTTTGGTGGGCCTTCTCTATGTTCTAGCGTGAAAGAAGGGTTACTTGTTTGTCCTTGGCATAAGGGGGAGGGTGAGCGATCTCATACCTGCATGATCTGTCTACAGATCGGTTGCACACTGTCGAGCGTCTGCTGAAGGATTGCGCACATCCTCTTTGCCAACTCTCGGTCCTGTTTCTCTTTCTCCTGTCTTTCGAGCTCCTCGGGAGACAGCTCAGGCTCAGGCTCCGGCTCCGGCTCCGGCTCCTCCTCTGGCAAGTTTTCGAGGAGGGTGCATTCTCCAATCTTGTTCCCATCATTATCTACTACGTACCCATTGTCATCAATCTCTTTACCAATGAGTTGTTGGAGATTCCCTTCAGTCAGCTTGCCAATCAAGTTCCCATCCCGATCGCGAACTTCACCCTCACGGTTGACCTTATAGCCTGCCATAGGATTCACGTCGCGCTGCTTCTCCTCTGGGGTCCACGGTTCTGCCCGGCCTATAACATTTCCAGCCTTATCAAGCAGCTCCCCATCCTCATCGACTGCTCGACCGGCAAGTCGTTGCGGGTCACCTTCGACCAACCGGCCAACAATCTTTTGCTCGGGATCAACAACCATGCCATCCTTCGTCAAAACAAGGCCCTCGAGTCCGAAAAAGGGTCCTTCTTCTCGTTCTTGTTCATTGTCTGGAATGAGCTCAGCCTGCCCTATCACCTTACCACTGTCGCTCCAAATACGGCCCTGTGCGTCGACCTTCTTGCCAACCATATGCTTGATATAGCCAGATGCAACCCGGCCAAAGACAGTTCCTTGCGCGTCCACAACGTTGCCCATTTTGTTAACAGTTTTACCCTCCAACGAAGAGAGGTCCGCCTCTTCCACTTCTTCCTCTGGCGGTTCATATCGTTCAGCACGACCTTTCACATCTCCATATTCGTCGATTATATTTCCTTGCTCATCGACCGTTAGGCCGCGAAGGGTGCTCGGATCGCCTTCTATGACCTTACCAACGATCACCGAATCGCCATCATCGATGAACCCTTCGTCATTCACTTGCAGATCGCGGAACCCGCTGAAGGGTCCTCGAGTTTCACGCTCATTCTCGGGAATGATTTCGACCCGTCCGATAACCTCTCCGCTATCTCCCCAAATATTTCCCTCCTGGTCTACAGATCGTCCCGCGACGGTTTTCAAGTTCCCCTCGACAACCCGAGCAATGGGAACACCTGAAGAGCCCATAATATTCCCGTACTTATTGATCTTGTATCCTTCGAGCATGGAGAGGTCGACCTTCTCAGGTGGAGGCTCTTCTGGTTCCTCCCAGGGTTCTGCACGACCCAGAAGATTGCCACGCTTATCGACCACATCGCCATCGTCGTCGACTGCTCGACCGACGAGCTTCTTCGGATCACCATCAACAATCTTGCCTACTCGCTTGCCATTTGCATCTTGAACCCAGCCGTCCTCAACAACAAACAGGTCATCAAAATCCGCAAACGGGCCCGGTGGGATTTCTTCCACAGGAATTGGTTTGGCTTTACCAATAACTTTGCCCCGGTTATTCCAGAATTGGCCCTGATCATCGAGCTGGAAGCCACTGCGGCAAAGGACCCTAGGGTCTCCCTCGATAAGTTCACCGACGGGAACGCCGTCAGCATTGACAATGCTACCGAATTTGTTGCACGTCAATCCTTCGAGGGTAGAGATATCAGGCAACTGTTCGGCAGCGGCGGCACCAGCTTCGTCTATTGCTGCTTCACCCTCGCCAGCTTTTTCCTCTGCCATTTGAGCGGCTTCGTCGGCCTGCTCCTTGACCCCTTCGATCTTTTCGCCAACCTGCTCCTCGGCACCTTCCATCTTTTCGTCAACCTGTTCCTCGGCACCTTCCATCTTTTCGCCAACCTGCTCCTCGGCACCTTCCATCTTTTCATCAATTGCTCCAGTAGCCTCCTCCATGGAAAGAGGTTCCACACGGCCCAGGAGCTCACCGTTCTCATCATATATCTCTCCTTGCTCGTTCGGAATTTTGTCTACTAGCTTCCTGAGATCACCCTCAACGACCTTGGCCACCGGTTGTTCATCATCATTCAGAATGCGTCCGTCCTCAGTAACAGGAAGACCTTTGGCGGCTTCGAGGCTGGGTGCTTGGCCGATATCTGCCGTACTTTCCTCGGCTGTTCCCTCAGCTATTTCCTCAGCTGTTTCCTCAGGTGCACTCAAAAGGTCGACACGGCCAACGAGGTCTCCATCCTCATCTAATATCTCACCATCAGCTCCAACAGTCATCCCGACCAGGTCGGCAGGATCGCCTTCTACAACCTGACCAACAGCTTGTCCATTCTGATCCAGTATTTGTCCCCCGTCGCTAACCTCAAGTCCCTCTAAGTCAGAGAGACTTGTAGGAAGGTTCTCAGGAGCCTCGGAAACTTTTTCCTGTAGCCCCTCTCCGGCTTGCTCTCCAGCTGATTTGAGCTTTTCTCCCTTCTCCTGGGCATCCCAGCCAAAGTCCTTCGTGGCAGTCTTTCCACCTGGGACACTGCCGCTTGCCTTTTGTGTCGAGCTAGCAGCGATGCCACCAGACTTTGTACTGATATCATCGGCTTCGGATGGCGCCGGGGTTCCAACAGATCCGGACGCACGTTGTTGACCTGGTATGGCTTGCTGTCTCTGCTCGCCCTTCTTAGCCATGCCAGTGCCGATTTTGGGGATTTTGCCACGTTGAGGTCTGGCCTTTGCACCCCTCGTGGAGGGAGCTCTAGGCTGTGCTGTGGATGCCATCTTCAAGCTTGGCTAAGTGTCATGCATCTATATATAGCGCCGTCTACTGATTGGCCTGCACGTGTTATTTTTTTCCCCGTTACTTTGCGTTCTCACCAGGTTAAGTAATGAAAGGACTAGGGGAACAAATGATACGAATGGTAACCGTTTATCCGGAAATTCAAAAAGTGTAGCAGTAGTAGGCAGGTATCTACTCGAAACACCAAGCGCTCGAGATATAATAGTAACTCCTTGAGGAACTAGTATGTTTCGAAAACGGTGATATGACACGTTATGATGGTATTTTCATCATAATGACTACATCACCGTTGAAAGGTCCAAACACATTGCTAGAGAAACATATTATGAGCATTTCTTCGCGACGGATATGTTCGACGCTGTGGTTCCATGGTACTGCAATACTATACGGGATGCAGAACCACGGGCAACCCAGTTTATGACATAAATGTCCAAATGCATAACTAAATGACGGATCTCCACATTCTGTGCCTTGTACTGAGTAGACCCCAGCCCCACTCCTTATATTGTTGAAACCCACTCTTGAATCCCCCATTCAGATAAGTTAGGTGGTCATAGCCATGGCGGCCAATAGAATAGGGACAATATCGTATGACAATGTTCGCTTCCCCGGTTGCCCTGGTAAGGGTCCAGGATATATCGGCGGAATGTACATTGTCATACCCTGTGTAAGTCTCATTCAAAGGTGGGTGTGACTAACTTGGAAACCTTAACCTATCATCATTTGTGCCGGAATCGTGCCGAAATGAAGACTGAACCATGATACCTACACCACGATAGCTTTATACCCAGGGTTCTGTCTACATTTATGTCTCCAGGTTTGGCTCAATGTATTCCTTGACGCGGTCCAAGAATCCACCGTATCATATGGACAGGTCTAGACTGATCGAGGACTACATGAAGGACTCTGAGCTGTCCAAGCTCAACCTGAGTTCAGCCGTGAGCCTGGAGGCCTCTTCAGGCGTCAGATAGGAAGCTTACATGGTTAAACGTAGAGGGATCTTAGAATAATTTTCTCTATCTAGCTTGTTCTTCAATCAGTCAAACTTGCTCACTATGGTCCCTCTGTGGGCTATTATACGTATCAAATGTCGCTGAACTCAAGGATATGGAAGAAAAGATACTATTTGCATTCTGGCTAGTATGAGACCTCTCGGCCTGTATATCTTGGTTATCGTGAATCATCTTTACGGAACCAAGGGGATAAACAGAGTGGTACTTCAAATTCGCGACAGAGAAAAAGACATATTTAGGCTAACTGGTGCTTGTCTCATCGACAGCGGCCATTGCTAAGACGACTTGTAGAGACCCTCCACATGTATAGGATCTTTTTATTTCCTTGTAGATGCAATAGGCAGTTGTCAAAACCCTGACAAGATTCATATTGAGCCCATATCGATAACTATCTATGCGTCAATATCAAGACCTGCAAGCTTGGTTAGCCCAAACACAAGACTCGCAATGCAAACAGGGCGCTCACAGTAGAGCCAAGGTCAGGTCACCGTGTATGGAGGCCTTCAATTCCACTTCTATATCGAGATTCAGATCTAAACGCAGCTTTAACCCCGTATCTTCTTTCTCCTCATTTTTCGCCTGTATGCCCGTCTGGCCCTCTTTTCCAACTTCCCTGCCAGCCCCGCCTCTATAGGTAAGTGGACCAGCCTTTGGCGTGCCTTTTTGGTACGGCTGTAATGCTGTCGCATTCGGATCTTGCGCTGGTTGACGTCTCCCCTGTTGTTCTCTCTGTCGCCACGGTGCGACTTGCGTCTTAGCTTGGGGCTTGGTCTCTGGCTCAGACTCGCTTTCGTATTCAAAGGTAGATTCCGTGTCGGAGCTTAGATCCTGAGAGTACTTGTCTTCGTATCGGGGTTTCGACTGCTTCGTTGCCGGTGTAGCGGTGGCCATCGTGTGTGTATATGTGTTGGAATACAGCCGAGGGCCTAGTTTGACTTATGGGGAGAATAGGGTATATTCTATGCTTATCCAGAGAGGCGACGCGATATGCGCATAGAAGGATAGCTCTGGACCTACGTCATATTGTACGTAACATCTGCAGGAACTCAAGAGAGTGTAGGTCGATCCCTGGAAAGGTTGCATACCTCCTTCTGGATGAACTCTCCAGTATACTTATTGCCACCCAGAAGTTGATATGTGTGTACATCAATCAGTATGCATTCCAGCTACCATGTGCGACTCCACCATCAAGTGCATATTTACCAGTAATGTGATTGAAAGCGAAGGCAAGCAATGTCTAGTCACCTCACCCCCATGTGGAAGTCCGCGGATAAAGGGACCCTTAAGCCACACAGACACACAGGTCCTGTAAGTCTGACCCCGCAATGTGCATGAGGCAAATTGTTCAATGGCAACTTAATATTAGAGGACTCGTCCGGCCTTTTCCATTCACCAAGTTTGGGCACCGGAAGCACGTCCCACCACTCACGCTCGATATATGCTTTTGCTCGTATTGTTCGTGCTTCCATGATATGACAATACATGAATGCGGCGAACTCGTCTCTCATTTGTGTTCGGTTCAAAGATATTCTATATCAACGCCACCTGCCGATCTTTTAGCGACGCCACAAGGCAATACATGATATCATGAGCACCGATTTACTCCTCTTCTAATGTGCAAATCGCATATCCACACCTCTGGGAACTGGCACACTGAGAGCACGCCCAAACTCTATGCTTGTACACGCGTTCAGCAGGAGACATTAACCGGCCTAAACCACGGATGACAAACATCCTAGAAGCATTATTCCCATCGGGGCGACATCATTGACTAGTACTCGCTCCTATCAAGAGGTACTAGTTGACCAACAGGTAGAAGCGGAACCACCATTTGAGAGTTAAAACAAGGGGCCGAACTAGCGGACAAAACCTTCTATTTCGGCTGTAGTAGCCAGCTCGTTTGAGTCGCTACCTACACATCCTGACTCATTTCCATATCCTTCGACCATTACAGCCGGACCCATTGACATCACAGTGACATTGCTACTAATAAGCTAATGAGCTTTTCTCGAAGATGGTTGCTACCTGCCCCATGGATGAGAATTCCTCCCGCCTCCTCCTAATTATGTAAAGCTCCAATACGACCTCGCATTCTCACTTCACATTGCTTTTTAGTTGAGATGGCCGAGTCACCGAAACCGAGCCAAATCGAAGATACAAAACCAGATTCCACTATCCAGCAGCCGCCTGCCAGGCGTAAACCACCCAAGCTACGAAAGAAACAGGCTACGGCCGAAGAAACAAACAAGCAACAATCTGGTAATCCGGATACAGCAGGGAGCTCATCACCGGATATACCACAGACCTCTCCGCCCAACGAAGCTCGTGAGCCAGAGAGCATGGATGCCAACCAGGGGGATACTGAAAGTGTTGATGCTCAATCCTCGGGACCGGAGATGCAGCCCGAGCCACAGGCAGCACCAGCCCCCAAACGAGAGACAATGGAGGAAGATCAGCCAGCTCAGAATCTCCCGCGACGTAGACGACGTCGGCGGGGGCAGCAAGAGATGGTTCCTTTGGGTAATGTCGGGGATGTGGGCAACACAGTGAACGAGGCTGGGGAGCTTGTACAAGCCGCGGGGTCCAAAGCTGTCAACACGGTCACCGATACCGCTGGAAAGGTGGTCGGTGGTGCTCTTTCTGGAGGACAGTCGGAGGATAAGAAAGGCAAGGACGAGCAGCTACGGCTGCGACTGGACTTAAACCTGGATATTGAAGTCCAACTTAAAGCAAAGATCCATGGCGATCTGACTCTTCAGCTACTGTAAGTGCCTATGTTTATTGCTCATGGTGGTTGGTGTCCTGTGCTAACAACAATGCTTCGGCAGAAACTAGAAAATGAATTCAAGCCTGTACTTGCTTGTTTTGTTTCCTAATCGCGTTCAATTTCGGCGGTTGATTTCCTTTACTATATATAAAGGCCTTTTGGTCACTGAATGTATATTACATGGTGGACGTGTATGGATCGATGTTTAAATGATGTCAAATTAGCAAGAGTAAAAATATACAAAGGAGGTATCTAAGCTATTGCGAGTTCTCGTTATCAAGCATACGGATCATTTAAACAATAATTGGAATGATCGCCACAAACATGTAGTGCATCCTTACCTAGATGGAGGATTGTTATGGAAAGAAATCCTCTCCTAGCCTGAAGTAACCCCGGCTGGTTAGCAGTTTATGCAGCGATGGGGGCAAAGTCGCCGCAATTAACATGTTTAGAGGGAGAATTTAGTAAAGCAAGAAAAACCGAAAGAAAAACGAAAGCAAGGAGGATTATTCTGTACTACAAATTTCGTTGCTTTTATATAGCTCTCGTCAGCAACATTACTAGAATGGCTCGAGGACCCCCGCACATCCCAAAATCGGGACAACAATATGGGTACTCGTCGGCATTTATTGCTTTCTAAGTTGCCGATCGCGCTGGTAATGATAAGTATATTTTTCTTACGGGGTTTTGTGCCAGAAGGCGTCGCCGACATTGTATCCCTGCAAGATCCATCGAGCGACTGCTTAATGTATATCCGATCCATCCACCTGTGCAGCCATGGATGCAATTTCAGGCTCCATGCTTTGTTCCTTATCGTGCAGAAGAATCTTCTTTGCGGCCTCCCTTCCAGTAATCGGGAGAGCAGTGATCCCTTTGGCCTGCTCAGGAACTGAGTTACGGTCAATCAGACCAACTTGAACAAGGACACTTGCTTGATCCCAGTATATGTGTTCCGAATATAGTTTTCCACCACGGAGTGTTACAATGCTGATAAGTACTATCTCCACCTGTCGGTCGGTTGGCTGCAAGCCAGGAAGGATCCACGGCATTTCTTGAGTATGTTTGAACGTCACATATATCTCGTCCACTACTCTATCTGCACCGATTGTCCGGGAAAGTAAACGGAGACGCATCGAGGGTGGCCTGCCCTGTAGAAAGGATGTTTTGTAAAATTGATGAAGAGCCTTTATGCCACTAGCACCTTTCAGTGTCGGGGTATATGTGACCGTGGGAGTTTCCTCCGTGGTATAATTGCTCATCGCGGTAGGCATATCAGATGAGAAATACTTCTCTTCGAAGCCGTCAACAGCCACTCGCCACTATTTGAATATAGGTTCGAGAATGGCGCTGTACCGGACACTTACCCTGTTGAACATCTTCCCAAGTCTTTTCCAAATCTAGCTGCTTCTGAAACCCACTTTGCAGAACGGACAAAGTCCGGGTCCATGCAATCTCAGTGGCTACCGGATCATAATTGTCCAAGTCACTTTCTGCAAATCCTGGACCTATGCCAGGGTATGAGTATGCCGGATATCCGAAGTCCAGCCGGTCTCCCGTACCCTGCCCTGCCCCGACACGTCGTTTAACAATATGTCTCTTATGATCGTGAGAAGCAGAGAGCACCTGGACTGTTTGATCTGCGAGGTGCACAAGGACGCGCATAGATGAGGCGTAACGGCATTCAGGATCCGGGATTCGCGATGGGTAGTACGCTACGAGGGCGCAAAGCTTGCTCGTGTTAGTGACTTTGAGATAATGCTCGAGACAAAATGCAGCCGCATCGCCGAAGCCTCAACGTGTAGATTCACAAATTTAGCCGAGTCCCTGGCCCGATTTGCATAAAACATTAGCTATACATACCTATCACTGCGTATGATTCGCTGACCCCAAGTCCCTGCTTCACAGCATTCAGCTCGTGAACATAGTGGCGATCATCGTAGTTATAAGTGATAAAAGTCGTATCAAACCCCTCGAGCTCACACCAGTGTAGTAACTTGTTATCAAAGTCATCCGTTGCTGCTGTTATGCAAAGCCGACAGGCCTTGGCTGCGAAAGAAAGCGAACTCATTGCGGCGTTCAAGACTGCTTTGCCGCCCGCGGTCAAACAGGACACAAATAACTGTAAGATAAAATATAGTGGCACGCACATTGTATAAAAATTATGTTTGACAGACGCGAAGGGTTGTGCTCACAAACATTAGGAGCAGACAAGCGTAATCTCAATAGTCGGTTAGTTGTGGCGTGATAGGAGGATTAGGGCTCTTTGTGCTGAGCTCTACCCAGGATCCGAGGCAAGCCACGCACGTCACAGAACCAGAGCCATTCATCTTAGTACCAGACACAGCCAAGGGCCTTGTTATTCAAGTTCCTTCTCCATGACATCTGACTAGCTATGTACTATTCTGCCGAGATTGCCGTTGTAGAGTCAGTCAACTTCGGTCCCTCCCTGAGAATCTTGGTACGGTAACAATAGGTAACAATATCATGTTTATATCGTGGTAATCAACAGAATCAGTTCTAGAGATCTCACCTCCTTAGTTCATCAGAAGTCATGCCCAAATTATGTCAGCCTTTTGGACGTCTTGTTTCAGTGTCTCACTCCCGATGCTATCCAGTGGAGAAGAGTTTGCTTATGTCGTATTCCACGGAAATCGCTCCCACTACCCTGACTCCAAATGCACTAAAAAATTAGGTTGCAAGCTCTTCTGCTCCGCTTCCCCTCGTTTCTTTTTTTTTCTTTTGCCCAGGATGATCACCATAAGCCATCAAATACGGGGATCAGGAAAGCTGTAGCATATTGAAGAGTGTTATTTATTGGATCGTGGACGGTTGGGCGAGGAAGTACTCTAAGTTAGAAGATAGCCTTAACATCTTCATCTATTATGTATGTATGCCGCGGGAAAAAAAAAATGAAAATAAAAAATAAAACAAGGTTTACTTAGTGTTCTCTCCTAAGACGACGCTATTGAGAGGAAAATCGCCATAAGGGGATTCTGCTAGAACAGAAATGAAGCTGGGGTGCAATATCAAAGTATAATGCAAGCAAAATCCCTCCCTCAATTTCTCCAATGCTACCACCACTTTCTAGGATGAGCCCTAAATATATTCCAATTTCGCGTTGTGCTCTTTACTGAAACTCGATGAATCCGGTGTTCCATATTTGCTCAGTACCAGAGTCGTCTGATCACCTTCGAAACGTTGAACAACAGCGGTAGGCTCTCCAGCATCATTGCAATACGCCAGTTCGACCTCCATATTGTGTTCAACGATGCCCTTTTTCTCTCTGGCCCCTACCTTTCGGAACATGAATTTGCTGGCACGGGACTGACGGGCATAGAACAAGTAACCGAAAAATCTGCCTTTGTAACTGCCGGATGTGTCGGCGGCAAGATAGGTGTTACGCTGTGGGGCGCGGATGAGGTACGGGACGTTCAATTGTAACTGCTGGGAGTGTTAGAAGCAAAAATGACATCGGATGACTGATAATACTTGGGACGTCATACCGTTGGCTTTGCATTCAGCTCAACCACAACTTCGACCTCGAAATCGCAGCCTGCATTATGATTGTCGATTTTATCAATCCCAATATATTCCTTGAAATCATCGGTAAAGGACGGGCTTGCGACTCGCTTTTCGAAAGCACCGTAAAACTGCAACATAACGGGATCTAAGACTTCCGCAAAGGCAAATCCAAGATTAGTAGTGATTTTATTGTCCCTCTCTAGCTCCGTCTTATACCGCTGCAGGTAGTTATCTAATAGCATGTTAGATATGTAGGTTTAGTCTTTCGTGGAATGAGATTATTCATTCAATCACTTACACAAGTTCTTTCTCTGATCCTTTTTACGCACTCCGTAGAATTCATCATCTCCAACCTCTTCTTGTTTATTAGCCCGGAGGCGGAACTTGCAAGCAACCGAATGTCTGGATTCCTTTCGAATTGCGTCAAAGTGGCTTGGAATATGCTTAAAGTCTTGGAAAGTCCCGATAAGATCACCCAAAGCCATTACGTCTTTTTGCTATGAAGAGAATGTTAGTATAAGAGCCGAGCCATACTCGGATATCAAATGAGACGTACATTGATGACTCTCCAGTTGGTAAATGGTTTAACAGTGGGGCACCAGTTTGGAGGGCTAAACGAACGTTAGCTCCTTGCACATCTCATTCTCAGTGCCTCCTTACTCATTACAAAGGATTGTGTCGCCGCCCCGGGCCTCCCAGGTGAGCTGGTTTGTCATTTGACTCCTCGAGGTATTATTGGAACTGTTGGCCTGGTTCTCCTGCGTGTAGCTGGCAGAGGCAGAAAATGCCCCGTAAGAAAATGAAGCACTAGCACTAGCCTTCATGGCATTAGCCTTCTCTTCTGCCCTGGCCGAATCCTTCGATGTAAATTGTTCTGAAGCAACGAGCTTTCCACCAAGCTCAACATTGGTCGCAAAGAAATGGCCTATGATGGATTCAGGTTATGAGATATTCTCTTTGAGTGAGCAAACAGGAGGTCTCCTACCAAAGTCCTGGTGAAACTTTATTAGACTATCCGGACACTTGACTTCCTGTAATGCCGTTTTGCATTCCTCCGTCAGCTCCAAGCTTCTGGAGTCGAGGTGTAGGACCACCCTGGGGAACTATGAAAGCTGGTTAGCCTCCAGTGATGGATACAATTGCCAAAGCGTGCGGCCAACATTATAGGTGATGTTCATGGACCTCGCTGATTTAGAGGTTGATGTAGCGAGGGCTTGCCTGTCGCTGTTACTAAAACCGCCTTTGACAGACAAACTCGCGCCAAAAAGGCTTCCGCCACTGTATAATTCAATCAGTATACTAGGGTGTCACGGAGTGCGAATCGTGGCTTACGCCGAGGCTTCAATATCCATCTGGGAAAAAGAGCTGGAAGCGACACTTTCAGACAATGAACTCGCCGTTTCAAAGACATTGACATAGGAGTCATCTGTAACAACATATCGAGGAATTCGGTACTCTCCCTATTTGCTATCAGCGTGGTGGGCAAGGGAAATAAGTAGATTATTGGGTCTCAAGCTCACCTCGACACGGATGGATTTGTCGGCTTTTTCGAAAGAAAATATCTTTCTAGGGGCAGTAGAGAAAGCTACAAATAATAGAGTGAGTTATTATGCGTAGAACCCACTTTCGCAAGGAAGACATACCGGCAAATGGGGCTTTGTCGATCCTTTTAAACGCTTTAGTTCCATTCTCCAGTTCTGAAAACACCACCCGATGGCCGTTCAGATATTGCGTGTTGCGCATAACAATGTCCCAGTCTTCCTGGGACAAAGCCGCCGCCGTTCTGATTTATTATCAGTCAACTTGTGCACAGGGTCATGGTATAAAATCTCAACATACACAACGTCGCCTCCAGCAGCAGCTTTAAAATTGTCATGATTGTATTTGCTAGCCAGCTCCTTAAGAGTGGCTGTAATCAGCTCGGGTTTGTTTTTCTGTTCATTATTAGGGGAGGACGCATTAATTTAAGGAATTTACAAACCACAAGGTCCATATCTAACTTGCTATCAAGAAGGTCCTGCGCCTGCTTACTCAGTGACTTTTCTTTAGTAGACTTTTCCGGTGACTCAAAACAAAGATCATGAACATGAGTGCCCTCCGGCAGCTTCACCTTCGAGTCCTAAATGGATATTGAGCTTGTCGCCTTAGGCCTTTCCTTGACATATTACCATACCTGATCCGAACTCTCGGTGACGAGGGCCTTATAGAGGCTCCAACTGAAATCATCACCCACGCGAGCACCATCTTTGCCACAGAATGCAAACCGTGCCCTGAGCATGAATTAGTTACTGTTGCTACCATGCATCATGGTGGATATGAATAGTTTACTTTGCTGAATCTAGCTTCTTAGCGGACACCAATAACTGTCTAATATCATGTAAAGTGGCCTTTTCTTCGATATCTTTCTCGATATTGACGCGATTCGTCAGCTTGACCTCCCCCGTCTTGTCCACAGTTTTGATATTGAAAAGATGAGAGGCAGTCATCATGCAATCGGACTCGGATATGTAAGGAGTAGCTTTTATGTCAAATAGTATAAGAGGTACTAAAGCCCATGAAAATGCGTGGTCTAGCAGCAGTGGACTGCCGTTCTTTATAGCTAGTTTAGAAACAGGTGAGGCGTGATCTTCCACTTACTCCAGTCCACCTCAACTGGCTGGTAGAAATGAATGTTATTATTACATGAACGAATCAATCTATGTAAATATTTAAATCGTTATATTTTCATCGTTCAGCTGGCCATCCTTCAGACCAAAACTCCACATCAGCTGAAGATTCTCAAGCGTGGCTAACTATGATTGGCATCCGGCAAATGCTGATCGGCGAGGTACAGCTATTCGAAGGGGCCCAACATAACCACTTATACGATTGGAAGCCGTAATCTGTATGGCCCCTGTGGGTCAATTAGTGGGGGTATTTCAGACCCATATCGAGAACTTCGACGATCAAATGCGGTGAGGAAACACCGGGAACCACGACAAGTACCACCTCGTATCAATATAGGTATCTTCTGCTATGGCTTTTGCATATCATCTATGGCTCGAGACCATTTCATTATTCATAGACTCCACACCATGGTATATATCAAATACAACATAGTACCTTAGTGGACGCATGTCGATGCTGCCTAAATAAGTCTTGCGCTGTTATTCTTCCTACGGACTACACGGGAGGGATCTTTGATATGACAGAGTGTTTTGCCACCATTTATTCTCATGGACCCAAGCCTCACGAGAGTAGCCCTTTGTCATTGAGCACAAGGATTATCGTCATTGTGCTTAGCACCTCTGCGGCGTGCCACACCCTCGTCACATAGTCACCAAAAAGAAACCGTATTGACCCAACCCACATATCCTCTCAGACGTAAAAGGCACACTACAGTTCAGCCCGCAAGTGCCAAGCCAACATCCAGAATCCCCCAGATTGAGAATCAGTGATCACACACCCAACCCCAAACTTAGCCACCACGCGAGCACCCCGCTATCCCATACCTCTACCGAAGCATTCCCCATAAACTACCCCCTGTTGTACTTGTAACGCACTGACCGCCAATGCACGGTCCAACCGGCACATACATAAAGAACGCGAATATCGAGGACCCGACTGGTCAAGATCACTCCCGCAATATCCGCAATACCCTACCTACTTCCCACCGAACCCTTTCCATCCGCTCCATGCGTAGCCAACGTAACCCCCACATACTCAGAATTGCCACTAATGAGCAGGCTAGACAGGGATATGACCCAGATTCCTGGGTCCTGGAACCGGGAAAGGCCTTGCCTTTGTTTCTACCCCGGACTTGAGCCATGGGCGGGAGTGGTAGCTGTTTAAGACGTCATGTTTGTGACTACTTAATATCATATGAATCTTTTCTTTTGCTTTTGTAGTTTCTCTACTATCTACGTTATAATATCCATCATATTTGGTTATCCAAACATTCTACAAAAACCATGTATTCGAAAAAGAATACGACCGTCCTCCCCTACATTTCCCCAGACCAAGTCTCGAAACGGAACGGAGTGGATAACCCCGAGATTTGTACGTCAACTACAATTACAACAATTACCCTAGAAGCCGAAGTACAAAGGAACTAACATAAGCAGGGTTGGTGATTGATGACATCGTCTACGACTGTACACCCTTTCTATCTGGACATCCTGGGGGTGAGGCTGTGTTGAGACGGTTCGCTGGGTTCGACTGTTCATGTATGTTTTCCCCTTAAACATCTAAGCTTGCTTAAGATGCATTTCAAACAGCAAGAGTAAGAGCTAATGCAGCAAACAGGGCAGTACCATGCTATCCATGGGGAACGACGAAAGGTCTTCGCAAACAAATCATTAGAAAAACTAAGAGTTGGATGGACGGAGGGAGTCAGCAATCCATATTCTAAACCAGAATGGGTCGAATAGCTTATATATTACAATAATATAATCAATCATTCTATCTCCAAAGTTGATTGTATAGTATACTTTGTGACTACATTCTCTAAACAGAACTCATCAACAAGAGAAAGAATCAATATTCCTGCTCCGCCAACCTAGGAAACGTAGTCGAAAAGTCCAATGCATCCCGTACAAAGATATCCCAGTCATAGCTATAATTCAATGAAGCCGGATCCATTGGATTAAGCAGCGTGTCTGCAGACCAGGTATCCTCCGTACAGGTGCCCCCAAGAGGTGATACAGACCCATTCAATTGCTCTTCGGCCGTTGGATCATCTGGCTTACCTTGGCTTGATCCTACGGATTCATTCAACAGGGCCGCATCCTGTTCTTTCCGTTTCTGAGATAATCTGACTAGGAAGTCGATGTTTTTGTATGCTTTTCGTGCCTTTTGTGTAGCGAAGTGGTCGGCTGCTTTCTTCAGCGTAGCGAGTGAATCCTTCACGTGGACGAGTGATTTCCGCGTATCCATTGCGAGAAGAATGCATGTAAATTGGAATGGGACGTTACTAACATGCCACCAAGGACAGCTAGCATCGATGGATCTGGATGAAGCGGCGAGGCCTCTACAGCCTAATCGAATGACCCGGTCGACGATAGATGTCATATTAGCGGTTGAGTTCAGTAATTGCAGGCGGCGATAGATAGTAAAGGCGAGCACACTCTGAGATAGAATGACAGCGTCGGATTCAAATTGAAAATCTTCCAGCCGGACAAGCGACTCTTCCAACTCCAATACTTGGACCGTCTGGTCCGGGTCTAACTTTTCCGATAACTGGAACAGTGAAATGAGATCACTTGTAGGATCCCCAGCTTTTAGCGTAGGAGCCGGGCACTGAGCACCTCGAATGACGACCTGCGATCGACCATACTCGAAAGAAATCCATGTATTGAGTAACTTGGCAATCCAGAACAACCGTCGTCTACATTCCACGTTTTCCGGCTGGCCGCCGGGGTTAATCTCTGGAAAAACCAGTGAGCCACGAGTGGACTCACGATGTAACCCAGCAGCCTCGACAATATGCATCGTTGTGCATGAGGCTATCCACGCAGCATGCGGCGTACTGTGGCATCTCAAATACATGGTGCGTAGCAACCAGCCCTCCACATCGTGGACCCCCGGACTGACAACCAACGTACTCGTCGTCTCGAGAATATCCTTCGCGCAGTCAATCAAATGACGTTCCTGTTCGCTTGCTTTTGACCGAGATGAGAACAATGATCCTAATGCCCCGACCCCGCACAGAACAGCATCATACTCGTTTGACGCACAGGGATCCTCCCACCTCCTCCCCGCCTGCCCAGCCACAACCTCCAGATCCAAAAACCCATACACAGGATGAATCTTTTCGACATAAACACCAAACAACTTCTGCCACGCAGCCTGCGACAAAATCCAGGTAATGCTCTTTTCCGAACGATGCGGACTCCGGCGCACACCCAAGTTCCACCCGGAGCCGTGCTGCATAGAAGGCGCATGGTCGGGACTCAGCTTAAGGCCCAGTAACTGTGGAAAGATGACCCCGGAGTTGGCTTCCATTGATTTCTCTTCAGTTGGTCGACGGCTACTGGGTTCCAGAGTCGTAGAAGAAGGCGGTACTGGACCGGGCGATGGCAGTGTAACTGGTGGCGAGAATGTTTGTCCGGCGGCTACGGTCGTGAGTCGCCTTTTGCGAGGAGGAGGCTCATAACAGCAACGGTAATCATATCGACTGCAGGATTCGCATGGTGTTTGACCGTCGCATTTGCGTTTCCGGATCTTGCACGCCTCACAGGCGAGCCTGGTGCGGCGGCGTCGGGTTTGTGGGGGTTGCTCTGGGGGAGGGTCGGTGTCCATTGTATATGATCTACTGGCTTTGAAATCACTGAGTCTACCTTTTCTTCCCATATATCACTGCTGTCCTAAGCCGTAGATCGGGCGAGTCGACAATATGTGTAACCACGAGCGAGAGGGATAGGGTTGGTCGGGTCAGTCGTATAAGAAAGTACGGGCGGACCCACAGGTTATAACAAGGATAAATGCGGGGAAGACTGGTTCTGTTTCTTTGTTTTCCCCTCCTTTTCTGCCCCGGATTTATGGTCAAACTGGAGGCTGCTGTCAGAGCCGAAGGATCATTAACATTTAAACTAGACCAGAATGACGACGCTCGCTATTAAAGCAATACGAGGGGGCAAGTCCAGACCGCCCATTTGCTCGGTACTCTCGGAATGATGGAACCTGCATGGGCGCTTTCTCGTTTCCAGTAATGGGATCCCAGCAGGGGGGTAGATTTGTACGTCACTTTGCAGCTGCGAGTCAGGGCTTTACAGGATCATGTGTAAGCGCTACGCCACTGGGAGTGCTACGGAATGGAGCTTATCAATACTATACAATATTGATCTCAATTTCAGATGAATATAAATGTGAAAAACAACAGTATCCTGAGTAAAAGACACAAAAAGAGGAAACAAGAGAATATACACGCAATCATCAAACAACCCCTCTCCCATCTGTGGTAGACAAGCTACAAACGTCCCAAGAACCTCTTGATAGCCTGTGCAGTTCCCTCCAGATCCTCAAATACATGCCAATGACCCACGTCCTTGAGTAATTCCACCTGCGAATTGGGTATCTTGCTTCGGTAACCCTGAGCCAACTTAATTGGCGAAATCGCATCTTCCTGTCCCGCGACAATCAAAGTCGGCATTCGCAGATTTTCCACTGCGATATCTGTACCCCTCGATCTCGCAAGCGCGATGCATCCTTTGGCATAACCCTCCGGATGAGTAGCCAACAGGGATTGGCGCACCGCGGAAATGGCCAAAGGCCGTGATTTGGTCACGCTGGAGGTGGCAGCCGTGGCCACAGCGTTGGCCACTCCCGACGCTTCCATACCTTTTTCGCGAACGAGAGCGGCACGCTTGGTGAATACCTCAACGGCAGGCTCTGGGAAAGGAGTTGGTCCTGGTCCGAGCAGGATCAACGTCGTGACGCGAGACGGGTGCTTTTCTGCGAAGAACATAGCAATCAACCCGCCAAGGGACCAGCCAACAAGAGTGGCAGAAGTGATAGATTTGGCGGCGAAAAGCAGGTCGAGGTCTCTCGCGAAGGTCTGCAAGGTAGCAGTTGAGGAGGCGCGGGCGGGCGTTGCGCCGTGTCCCTCGAGGTCGTAGAGAATGATACGGTAGTCATTTTCTAGCCCAGCAGCTTGGACAAGTGGCGCATAGTACTCCAGATTGGCACCAAGCCCATGGATGAAAATGATCGTTTCTGCATCTGGACTCTGGGATCCCAATTCTCGAACGTTGATGTAATGATCGGGTCCGACTTTGGTCAACCCAACACCGCCCCAAGTCCGATCAAGGTTGAAAGTTGGGATGCTCGATGGCTTCTGGAGGACACGATCGACAGTAGGGTTCTTGCTCCCAGGATCCGCAATGCGGTTGGAAAGCTTTCCAAGGCCAGTGACGCTCACCTCGACTAAGAGATTTTCTGTTAGCTTTGAAGCCTAGGGACATACTCTCTAGGAGATTCGGGAGACTGGACTTACCCAGGTCGCCTGGCTTAAGGAATTTCGGCGGATGGTGGCCAACTCCAACGCCGTGTGGAGTGCCTGTTGCGATCACGTCGCCCGGCTGAAGGGTGATGCCACTTGATACCGTCTCTATCAACTTGGGAATAGAGAAGATCAGGTCTGCGGTGGTGCCATCTTGACGCTTTTCACCATTGACATGGGTTTGTACTCTAATTTCTCCTGGTAATGCTGCAGCTTCAACAGCAACCGGTCCCTGACAAAATAGGCTATCAACTAAGTGTACTTGGGTAAGATAAGGATCCAAACATACCATAGGACAGAAGGTGTCTGGTGATTTTCCCATAAAATATTGTCGGTGGTCTCGCTGTCTCTCGCGGGCGGATAGATCTAGATTTATTAGAAGGTTTCTATCGTTTGGTCCCACAAACGTACCATTTATGATCGTATAGCCCCAGACGTAATCCATAGCATCTTTCTCCTTGATGGAAAAGCCTACTTTGCCGATGATGATACCCAATTCACCTTCATAATCCATTGTTTGAGTAAATCCAGGATGGGGATAGATATCCGTTCCACTAGCAGTGATGCTCGTACTGCGTTTAGTGAAAACAGTTGGGACGTTGGGGCCTGTATACAATTAGCATCTTCCACATATGGTTTCTTCAAAGAGATAATGTCGCTTACTGTCAGTTACTTTGTTATCAGCAGCAGCATATCCACTCTCCCGGTATTCCTTGATATGCTTGCGGTAGTTCTCACCAATACAAAGAACATCTCGATCTGAGAGAGGCGGCAACAACTTCACCGAGTCCAGCGGGAATGGAGATTCCGCAGCGCGGACAACCCCCTCGTAGCCCAGTTCAATAACCTGGCTCAGATTGGCAAGGGGTGAGCCGGAAGCCATAGTCAACGGTTGGATTGTGGAGTCACCAAGGTCGAGATGGCCAATGCGAGACCGTCCCAAGCCGTCTTCAAAGGCTACAAAATTGAAATAGCTCTTTTCCTCTTCCAATGATGAAGGAACCGCTGTCATATTAATGAACTCCGTCAGCTGAGCTTTGTGGATCCGGCCGTTAATCATAATCACATCTAGCTTCGAATGGTCTTGAAGGACGGCAATATCTTTCAGAGGATCACCATTGACCAGGATGCAGTCGGCATAATACCCTGGAAGGATCTTGCCCAGCTCGTCCTCCTGCATAAACAGCTTGGCTATTCCAGCTGTCGCAGCGACAATGGATTCCATCGGCGTGAAGTCCAACAGCTTCACAAAGTGCTCAAGGTCCCTAGCGTACGTCCCATGAGGACACCAGGCAAAACCATAGTCACCTCCTGGAAGAACAGTGATACCCCTCTTGTGCATCTCCTTCAAAGCCTTTGTGGCTGTCTCCAGTTCTTTACGGTACCCGACCTGCTCAGCCTTTTCCATGGAATACCCAAAGGGCTCCGCCTCGTAAACGGTCGCATAGAGCCAGTTGAGCGCGGGGGCAACGACAACTCGGTCTTTGACCTTTTCGAGCAACTGCATGCCCTCTTCATCGGTATATGAGGCATGGTAAATGACGTCGACGCCGTGTCTGGCACATTGGATGACCGAGTCTCGAGCACGTGCATGGGAACAAACCCTAATCCCATTACGATGGGCTTCATCCACACAGGCAGCTGTTTCCTCATCGGTGAAGAAACATTCCTCGGCCGACACAGTTTCAGTGATCGCTTCTCCGGACATACTCAATTTGATTTGATCAACACCAATCTTAGCATGATGCCTGATTACCTCTCGCATTTCCAATGGGCCATCGGCAAAGGCAGTAATTCCAGCCGCAAGCTCCCCCTCTCGCTTGGCGATCTCTCTGCCATTTGCTAGAAGTCTCGGCCCGGGCAACGTACCGCGATTGATGGCGTCTCTGACGACGCAATCCAGGCGATCTTTGGCAGATGCGGCGCCATAGCACATGGTGTATCCGGAGTCCAGATAACAAAGCGCCGAGCGTGCTGTAATCAGAGTGTGCTCCTCCACGCCAATGTCACCCAGCAGCTCAAGAGCGATATTGTTCCAAGTCCAATGTGTATGAGCATCCCCTAGACCAGACATCAAAGTGCGTCCACGACCTTGGATGACACGGACCTTCGGGTCATGGCGAAGCGCTTCAACATCGGGGACCGACCCAACCGAGACAATGCGCTCCCCATGGATCAGCACATCGCCACGATATGCGTCATTCCCTGTTGAGTCAAGAATATTCACATCCAGGAACAGTATCTTTGAGTCCGTTGAAGTACCGGCCATGCGATACGATTTGGGTTTAAGTTTGGGCTCGAACCGGAGGCCTTCGTGAGGATACGGTCGTCGGCGCATGGGGAGCGTCGAGGATGGTGCAGGACGGTCGTGGAAACCATTGACCAAGATTCCAGGAGCCATTGTGAATTGTATTTTTCTAGTATAGTACAAAGTAATAAGTTATTGGGGGCATATAGAGCAAAGGCAACCTAGGGAGAAAGGGCGTGACCGCCTTAATTTAAATGTATACCCCTCAAACGACGTTGAAGTCATGATTGAAAGAATCGTAATCTGTACCCCATGCATCGTACCGCAACATCCGTATTCCTCACACATTGTTACCGGCGATATTAGAATTCAAGATGGATATCGGAAAGAGTGTTAAAGCCGCAGTTGATGGCCTTTGCGGGTAATGCGGAAAGTCGACGCTCGTGACCTCCCGACATCCCGGACATGCCAGACGACGATTACCAACAGAGACAAATAACAATGAAAATACCATGTAGGCTTTGCATACTATTGCGTAAGGAGTTAGCGAATATTGCAGCACAAAGAACCATCCGCTCCTGTACGTCATCCCTAATAGCCTGCGTGTCGGCGTCAGCACTTTACTTCCGATCGTTCGTGCGGAGGATCGAGCCCTAGCTAGGCTCTTTCGTGCATTGTCTCGCATATCCGTTTAGTAATAGATGGTTTCACTGTGGCTCTGAGTCGTACAGGTATGTATGGGCAATGCACTTCCTATCCCTTGTGAGATTCCCGCCCAGGTGAAAGGCCTACGCACGCTGTCTCATAACCAGCAGGGGAACTGATAAGATGGGTGATAGAACGGGGCATGCTCCGCACAGGGATAAGAATTAGGATAGTGGGAACAAACGACGCTCCAGCATGGTAATGGTAGGCCACACAATCTTGAGCCAGCAAAAAAGTGGGTCACACATACGAGACGGGAGCAAAAAAGAACCGCGAAAGCAAGCTTTCAATTTTCAACGTCAGCGACAGGATTTGAACCTGTGCGGGCGAACCCAACAGATTTCTAGTCTGTCGCCTTAACCACTCGGCCACACTGACTTTGTTGAGATATTTGTCAATTCTTTGACTACATGAGGGGAGCGACTGGTGCAGTGGCGATGCAACCAGCAATACAAAAAAGAGAGCAGCTGAAGAAAGACTGAATCAAAAAAAGCGGTCAGCCATGCCTTTTTACTCATTTCAGTGGTTCCGGTGATGGATTCCTCTATCACTTCTGAATAAGCAGCTAGAGTAAATTTGTGGTATTAAATTTATGCTTGGGCGTAATGCAGGTCGGTGGTGGTATGAAGCTTGTCATATAAGTGATCGACCATGACTAGAGGGAAATATGGATGTTCGTCAGGATAAGAATCAGATTATATAAGATGCGTCCGTGAAGACGACCGACCGTACGGAGTAAGCGTTGGACTAGACGGGGAAGAAAAAAAAAAGACGAAAAAGAAATGCTTCCGATGCGGGGAATCGAACCCCGAGCTGCTGTGTGAGAGACAGCGATGTTAGCCATTACACCACATCGGATGGTTGTTGAAGTGCTCAATCTTATATGTTATATAAACCAAGATACTCCTCACTGAAAAACTCAGCTTCCTGCGTCGGTCCAAAGGCTGAACAACCACTTGCTATCGACGACCTTGGGAATATACATAATCTAGTTGACGGGTGTAAAAGATATTTCACATTCTGTCAAGTATTTACATATATATTATGGCTTAGGTGGAGACAGAAGGATGTTTTTTGAACGACTTTACAAATATATATTTTCGCGGGCAATATATCATACTCAAGATATATAAAGGACAGCTCGCGCTACGAGGCAAAATCAGTCCAAGGAAATGCTACCCTGAGAATGAGGTTGAATTCCCAGTAAACTATTGAAAGGGTAGATAGAGAGAACTCTTCATTATTATATGAGATGATGTAGCTATCAAATTAAGATCTTTAGGATCTATGTCGTTTGCTTCCCTGCTTCACCGGGAGCAGGGACACTGCACCTTGGAATATGAGCAATACTTAAATGCCCAAAATATGAGATTAAAATAATACGTTTGTTAAGCGTTACCTGTTTACTGCGTGTTAAATTCAACTGTTTGGGACTCAAGTGGAGGCTCTTTTGACGCGATATAAGCCAGTACACTCCTATGCCAGTGAATTTTCAATCCTTGCTTTCGATCAATCCCACGCGCATTATTGATCCAGAATTGACGCATATTCTTTCGGGCACGAGCAAGCGCAGGCTTCTGGACATACTGTGTACCGGGTGTAAGAGCTATATAGTACAAATGTGGCAGGGAAACCAGTGCGGTCTCCAGGGACAGGAAAGAACGCATGATTCCGAATTCATATTTACAGGCCTGGTGGGTCTTTACTATTTCGAGAGGAAAAGCATGTGTGGAAAATTTGGCAGGAAGACTGGAAATTGATTCCAAAGAGAAAGAACCGATGAGAATGCTAGTACCAACACCATTGAAGGGTTGTTGAGTTTCTCTTCGATCTTAACTCCCTCGTTGAGACACTCCTAGCTAAAGCTCACCAACATCACTACAAGCTGCCGCCTCTTGGGGTTGACAACCGTGGAAATAGCTTCATCGCATTCCCAAAATTGATCTTGTCCCTCAACTCCGGGTCCATTTCATACGACTCCAGCGCCTCGAGGAAAGCCGGATAGGCGGCTATCGGCGCATATGGAAAATCACTCCCGTACAAAATATGGTCATGGGGAACCATCTTCAACAACATATCCAGAACTTGCGGTGACGAACTTAGAGCCAAATCGAAGTGGAAGCTACGGAATGATTCCATTGTTTGTTCGTGTGTTATTCCCATACGATGGGAGACTGCAAAATCTGGTGCCTTACTCATAGGAGTCGCAACGCGCGAGATGATATATGGCAGAGCGCCACCTGCGTGGGACAGTATAACTTTGCAGCGGGGATACTTGAGTCGCGTTTTGTTGGTGATCATATCCATTGCCGTGCGTGTTGTTTCATGAGGATAGTCAATGGACGGCTGTGGTAGCTTCGAATTCACGGGGTTTGTATCAACCGGGTGAGTTGGATGAACAAAAACCACACAGCCTCGCCTGTTCAGTTCAGCCCAAATGGGTTCAACATCAGGATGACCAAGATAGGTGTTGGTGGAGCCGTATCGAGTAAAGAGGGTGACCCCGTCGGCATGGAGAGTATCTAATCCGTATGCAATCTCCGCCAGTGCATCCTCGGTGTCAAGAATGTTGGGCAATGACACGAAAAAGGCGAAGCTCTCCAGGTCTTTGTCTCGAAGCTCGGCAGAGTAGTCGTTCAATTTTCTCGCCAGCTGCGCTCGTTCCGAACGGCTTGGCATTATACAAGCACCTGGAGCTGTAACAGAAAGGACTGCAGTTTTAACTCCCACGCGCTTCATCAGCAGCTTGGAACCCAGCGAGCTCCAATGAGGAGTTGGCCAACCACTCGGATCTCCCCCTTGCTCTTCAACCGCTATAACAATGTCAGTTATGGGGACATATGAGTTAAAATTAATTGATATCTCACCCTTGGCATAGAATGATGGCACACAATGATGGTGGGTGTCAATCTTATTCCGTGGAGGTTTATGGCTCCAGCCGATCGCCTTGTCTCGGAGCCAGTCTACTGTGTGCTCGCTCATTGTGTTGAAGATATTGGGCTTGCAAAGATAAAGAACGAGGAGAACTGTGACAGAAACGCCAGTAAATGCCAACATGGCGGCAAGACGACTAGATGAGACAGGTTCCAGGCGGGCTTGCTTTTGTATAACAGGCATAACTCTTCAAAGTGGAACCCGGATGCATTCCGGTGGCGGGTCCGGGTACAGTCCACGCCCAGCTAGATCCGGAATAAAATAATGCAAGCCAATATTTATGCGAGGTATTTTGGTAATGTTGCTTCTCGGATCATTCCCGATTGCAATCGTGTGGTTGATATAAATCCAAAGATGATGCTCACAGCTTCGACTATCTAGTACTCTACGTGAGCTAGCACGATGGGAGCATCAATCCATGCACATCTCTCTGCAGCTGCAACAGCAAACCCAATTGCTGCAGCTTTTGTTATCATCGCTGCTTGCCTAGGATTGATATTCTTGATCATTCAAGAAATCTTTAAACCTGTTGGAAAACGCAGACCACCCCGAGGCAAGAAATGGAAGCTTCCTCCTGGCCCCCGAGGGGTACCCATATTCGGCAATCTTTTATATCTTCGGAAGGTCCGGGAGGACGGAGGGCATAGAGTAGTGAGTTTATGTTCTTGTTCAAGACAGCTCAAAAACTGACAGTACACAGCATAATGACCTCGCGAAATATGGCGAAATGACTACCCTGCACCTTGGCTCCAAAACCTGGATTTTGTTGAACAGCAAACGCGTGGTCTCAGAAATTATCGCAAAACGCGGCTCCCTCACTAATGGACGAAGCCCGATGCCCATAGCTAGCGGGATAGTGAGCCGAAATGGGCGCTCCTTATTGCTCCCTCCTTCACAATGGATGGAAAAACGACGTGTAATGCACTCTCTTCTGAGCGGAACCGCCATGAAGCACTATGGCTCGTGGCAGGAGCTTGAGAGCACTCAGATGCTTGCAGAATATCTGTTCCAGCCAGAGCGGTGGTATCGCCACCACTATCGATACGCAAACTCCGTGGTTCATCGTATCGCACTTGGGGAGCGCCTGGTTAAATCGGGAAAAGAGCTTGCCGAGCTACAAGATGTAGTTACTCAATTTGTTGACAGTATTGGAGCCAGCCTAGTCGACTGGTTCCCAGAACTAGATAAGCTGCCTCGCATGTTGCAGCCATGGCGGAAGCACTGGAAGAGGCTTGGGGATTGGAATGAAGAGGTCTACAGATCATGGTGGATTCCAGCTCGGGAGAAGGTGGAAAACGGGACAGCGCCTCCATCATGGGTACGGGACGTTCTCTTGCACCCGGATACCAAGTTCACGGGGAATGACCAGGAGGCCATGTACGTTGCTCTACAGCTCCTCGAAGCTGGATCAGATACGACGAGAGAAGCGCTCAATATCTTCGCTATGGCGGCGCTTTCTTGCCCGGACAAGTTCCAAAAGGCTAGAGAAGAGGTGGACAGCCAATGTAGTACGACGGAGAACTTTCGATTACCTGGGATTGATGATCTGAAGAAGATGCCTTATATATGCGCTATGATCAAGGAGCTCCTGCGTTGGAGGCCTATTTTCCCCTTTACCCCCGACCACGTGCTTACATCCGACATGGAATTTGAGGGTTATAGTTTCCCGGCAGGCGTGGGGTTCGTGATCAACGGGATACCGGTGTGCAACGAGTGTGAAGATCCAGAAGACTTCAAACCTGAACGATGGCTTGATGGATATGAGACCGACGCTGCACATGGACTTTGGCAATTTGGAGGCGGTCGTCGTATTTGCGTTGGCTATCGATTGGCATTCCAGGGCTTATTCATCAATGTTGCTCGTTTGGTGTTCTGCTACAACTACGAAGCAGTGAGTTGGCAACAAGATGATACAATGGCAATAGCTAATATATAGCAGGCTGGACCTTACGACCCGAAGCGTTTGAATCACCACAAGACGGATGAGCCCTTTCCTGTCAAGGCTACTTCGAGAAGTGAGCGGCATATCGGCTTGATACTGGAGGAAGGGGCACGGCTAGGGGTGTTAGAAGATGCTAAGCGCCTGATTTGAGATTTGCAGTCTAGGAAAGATTCAGCCGCTTTTTGGATCGCTCATTGGATCCGCTGAGATGGAGATTTACCCTTGGATTTGCTTAATAAATCCCAGCGTAGCCGAATTATCAGTCTATCTCAATATTCAAATGCTCTATCTACCAAAACTGTGGGATTTATCCTTTGAAGCAAGATATCACAAAGCTTGTAATAGTCTTGGTCGTTTCACTCGGCTGCCTGCCTGACATGAAATCCATCAACGGTCTATCGTGGGTTTCGTTGCCCATATGGAGCGTCACAACCCCTTGGCTTTGTCTTTCGAGCATATTTCCCAGCTGCTGTATGTGATCACTGAAAACCTCTTCATAACCACCTGTTAATAGAATACGATCGACGGCCCTAAAATTCAGCCACCAGCTCTCCGGCACATCCAGTGCCATTCCCCAGCCATTCCCTTCGGAAATCTCTTCTAGCCAGGGAGAGTTTCCCACAAGATAGTCCCCCCATTTATGCACAACCCACCTGCTTAAAATATCGGCATTGAACCTTCTTTGATACGCGGCAGTTTTGAAATCGAACGATGTCAGGGGAGACACAAGGAAGCACCCTCGTACAGTGCCATGCAGATCAACAATATTTTTCGTTCCGTGGTTTGTGGGCCGAGGATGATGGAGATGGGCCATGAGACTTAGTGACAGGTGTCCACCTGCAGAGTCACCTCCGAAAACAATCTAAGAGAAAGTGATATTAGATTAGTGATTGACAGGTATTGTGTGGCAAATCGCTACCTCGGACGGTTCATAACCCAAGTCCACGAGATGCTCCAAGGCAAAAATGCTTTGCGACATTTGCCTTGGATACGGATTGGCGGGGATCAAGTCTGACGAATTTGTTATTAATTCTTTCCCCCCTTTCAATGCATTTCACCTCCTTCACTTACCGTATTCTAGAATACACACACTGAGCTGAACCCCAGCATCGAGAGCCTCCTTCTTCACGTGTGCCATCCAGTCCAAATGTCCTGTGGAAAGGGGCATCACATAGCCACCACCTAGATAGTTCAGTGAAGTTCCGAAGTGAAAGTGGGGTATCATACCGTGGAAAAAGAGGACTACATTCTTCGCCTTCCTTGGACCAATCCACAGTAGCCGAGTTGAATTGTCAGCAGCCAAAAAGTCTACTGCACGAGTAGCCCCATTAGACGCCACCCATCTGTTGTAGGTGTCAATCGTGGATGGCAGAATGGCTTGAAGCTCGTGTGGGGGAGTGCTGTCCATTAAAGCTCCGACGAAACCATTCCATGCGGATGGCCCAAGAGGCAACTTTTGCAGTAAGGCCCTAATAATGGCTCCGGGGATTCTGAGTGCTGCGCTGGGCAAAATTCGAAATAGGAGGGTAAAAAGGAAAGAAAATTTCGTGTATGCTGTCGGTTTGTGCATCATTCTTTTTGTTGTTCACAATTTGAGATAGGGTCAGGCGGTGACTAAAGAAGACCTTCCATACGTGGTATTCATAGGGATCAAGGCCAGTAAGCTGACCATAGCCTCGGCCTTTTGAAACATATGGGATGTCCCTGCCTCGGACTCAAAAATAATTCTAGAGGGTTGCCAGGCCAGCTGCTCAACAATGAACCGGCTCCTCGACATCCATAGTCTGTCGGTCTGCCCACGGAAGGAATCCGGTCAATGTCGACGCCTCTCATTGATTTGTTGTTATTGGATGGGCTAAACATATAGACCCACAATATAGTGAAAATGTGGAGACAAGACCGGAACGGACCCGTACTTAGCGACGACGCCTTCTAAAGCAATTCAACTCCTCTTCGCAAGGTTGAGACCTGGCGGGTTGATTACTATGAGCCACCCCTCCAACACTCGGGTTTCATACCGGCAAGATGCCCCTAAAAACTGTCGACGACCAGAAAAGGCGAGCTAAAACACGCTCCAAGGTCGCTTTGGCTTGTAACTCGTGTAGGGAGAAGAAGATCCGCTGTGACGGAACAAAGCCCATATGTGGACCATGCGTGAGGCGTTCATATCGGAATGATCAGTGCGTCTATAACACGGAGACCTCCCGGTCCACAAGCAGGGACGAGTAAGTCTACTATACATGTATATGTCGGCATAGATGATGACCCCTTTCTTCTAATGCATACTAGATACCTCCATGCTCTTCATCAGCGAATCAAAGATTTGGAAGATATTTGTTCTAGGGCCGGGGTAGTTGTTCACAACCCCTCAACTCCACCAAGTGGGCTGCCCCTTGGCTCCGCTGGCGACGGCGAGACGCTACCACAAGGGGCCAGCCTGTCCTTGGCTCCCCGCCATTCAGATCATGAAGCCATGGGGCAGAATCCGACTCCTATAAGCTCCAATCCCGGGCTGGCGCCGGAGTGCATACTGCCAGGCATTCAACGTGAACGAGACAAGAGCAACACTAGGTCGGTAGAAGAAGATGATACGGATATCTATGAGTCTCCATTATTTGATGAGGCTGAAGGCCACATAACGGGTATGGGCCAGATCATCCTGTCAGGGGCAGGAGGTGAAGAGCACCGGGGGTCTACCCGACTCCAATTCTATGGCACTTCATCGACAGCCTCTCTCATGCGTTTTGCTTGGCAAAGGATACCCTCGCGTCCAATAGGTAGTTTAGCCGAAACACGATATAGTAGGCTTCACGACACAACCGACAAGTTCGAGATCAATGATTTTTTGTTACCGCCGCGATCGTTTGCAGATCAACTCGTGAAACACTTTTTCGATAAAGTCTTTATTCTCTACCCATTCTTCCACCGTCCGTCTTTCGAAGTGGCCTATCGGAATCTCTGGCGTGCAGAAGACGAGCCAATCATCACAGCTCCCACGGCTTTGCAGATTGGACTGGGATCGAGCGCAGAGTCGGGCGCCAAATCCATTGTCTTCCAGTGTGCCCTGAATTTGATCTTTGCTTTAGGCTGTCAATTTGCAGATATTCCCCCACAGGAAGCTAAGGCTGTCGCAAACTCGTTCTTCCTTCGAGCGAAGAGATTTATCGGGCTCGATTTCTTGGACATCAACACCCTCGGCGTGGTCCAGACTTTACTGATCACGGGACTTTTTCTGCAGAGCTCTCCATATCCCAGCCGTTGCTGGCATTCTGTTGGGAATGCCTGCAGGGTGGCAGTCGTCATCGGACTACATAGATCAGATATTCTCACTACATTATCACCGTTGGAGTCTGAAATTCGTAAGCGGACGTGGCATGGATGTGTGATGATGGACATGTAAGAACCTGAGTTCCCTATTTTGTCTTTGTATAATGCTAAAGGTATAGTCTGTAGCACGTTGAGTATGACATATGGCAGACCAAGCATGACCTCACACCTGGCCCCTGTTCCCAGACCAGGTGGTTCAGAAATATATGAATGTCAAGAAGGGGGCGAGGGACCTTTCTTGATGGCATTCTATAACGAGTCGATCAAGCTTTATAATATCTTGGACATCATCCTAGCAGATATCTACCAAGCTTGGTCTGGCCAGCTACGCCGGAATCAGCTCCAAACCTCAACCATGAGCCTTGGAAGCCTCGATATTGTCCTCAGAGTCGAGAAGGAGTTGGCTTTGTTCAAAGCTAACCTTCCTCCTTTTCTGAAGTGGGACTCCAGACCACTTGAAGGAGTTTCTTGTTGGGAATCAAACACAGCAGCCATTTCCCAGCAAAAAAATGTACTACGTGCCAGGTGTGCTTCCTATCGTCGTAGTCTAGCTGCCTACCTGCTCATCAGTCTGTACAGATATATCCATCTTCATCTTCTCCTATACCGCCCGATCTTCACCCAATTCTATTCGAAGCGAAACTCATGTGGGCTAGAGACGCAAGGAGCTCTTTATTCTTCCATGTTTAGCAGATGCGCGGCCGCGTGTGTGAGGACCGCCATCGACCTCACGCACGTAGTCCAAGAGACTTATCAGACCAATGCCACTGATGCATGGTGGTACAACGGGTTCTGTATGCTGTCGTTCGAATCTATTCTTGCTATGTCTGGATGCTGATTCATTCATCGCTAGACGTCTCAACTGCAGCTATAGTCCTTCTTGTGGCCATGTCCGCCCCATCAATAATGGATCAACCTACTCTGGATAAAGCACGGGATGCTTGGAAAGAGGCCATTGGTATTCTGCAGTCCATGACTACAATTTGTCGCTCTGCCAACAACACTCTCCAATTTCTGCAGGCTGCTTATCATCAAGCAGTTCCCAATACACAACACCAGGTAGTTGTAGAGGGTGATGCCTCACAGATTCATCAAACCAGTAACTCATGCGATCTTCCGAATAGCGATCCAACCCAAATCCCAACTTTCGACTGGGGAGAATTCGCAGAGAGTATGGTACCTGGATTGGACGATTTCGGGTTCTTGACAAAGTTCAATTTTCATAGCACGTTAGAATGAGGTAAGACGAGGTTGTTTAACCTAATGTGCAACAGAATTTGGCTCGAAAGTTGGGCCACAGCACGACCACAAGCAATATACCTGCCAATAATTTACTATTCCTGTACGATAAGCCGATGCACAGAACTTATTGTAGAGAATAATTTGTGAAATTTAATATGCTTATATCCGTGGCTTTGTAGAAGGCTAGGAAAATGCCCTGTAGCTTGTATATCTCATGCTTAGTGATTTAGTTTGGTCCACCCTTTGCCCCTTGGGCCGGCCCCAGCCTACAATATCAGTCAGTCCTATGAATCTAGTCCAACAAGCCGATAGCTTTATAGTGAACCTGGTACTTCTCATGATGTACATCTCGAACTCTGTCGAATTCATCTGTGGCGAAGGCATCTCCCATGCACATGCCGTGCCTCGCTTCGGGTGCATCCGTCGGCACGGGATGGCTCCGACATGGTTCGATTTGATATTCAAGAACGACTAGTGATACCTCGTATTTAAGTCAAATGCCACGCCGTCTGGGTTAGAAGGAACAAGATCTTCGTCATTACTGTCAGAAATGGCTTCCAAGTCCGCTGACCTTCCCACCTACAGCCAGATTGCCTGTGTTGGCGCCGGGTTATCAGCGGTGGCCCTGGGCGCGACGCTGCAGAGATGGTATGGCCTCGAAGACATTCGGTTCTTCGAGCGATATCCCACAAGCGGCGGAACGTGGTACATCAACAGTTATCCAGGTGAACGAGGATCTGCACACCCTCACTTCAGCATCCAAACTAACATACTCGTAGGATGCGGTTGCGATGTCCCAAGTGCTCTTTACAGCTTTTCCTTTGCGCCAAACCCCAGCTGGACAAAGCTCATGCCTTCAAACACAGAGATCAAAGAGTATATTGATGATGTGGTAAATACCTATAACCTCCTCCCAAAAATGTCCTTCGGGACGGAGGTTGTCCGAACTGTTTGGAGAGAGGATGCAAACCGCTGGTTTCTTTACTTGCGCGACTTGAAGACGGGACGAGAGTATACCCACGAATGCCAGATTCTCTTTGCAGCTACGGGCCAACTGGTCAAGCCGCGTCCATGTGAGATACCTGGTGCGTCGGACTTCGGAGGGAGCATCTTCCATTCAGCGCGGTGGGATCACAGCGTCGATCTCAAAGGAAAGAACGTTGTTGTGATTGGAAATGGGTGTATGTATTTCGCAATCTGACGTGCTCAAGGGATTTCTGACAGACCCTCAGGTACTGCTGCACAGATTGTGCCAGCTCTCGCCAACAGCGGGCAAGTGAAGTCTCTCACGCAGATTGTCCGCACAAAGCACTGGATATTCCCCGCCCCCAACTTTACCTATCCCAAGCTTCTGCAGTGGATCTTCCGCTATGTCCCACTTGCCATGAAACTCCACAGACTCCACATCTTTTTGGTGGCAGAGAATGATTTTCGCTTGTTCCCGATGACCAAGGGCGCAGCTAGACTGAGGGAGAAGAGACGAACACAAGTCGAGAAGTACATGCGAGAAGCGAGTCCGCAGAAATACCATGATCTGCTTATTCCAGACTTCGATGTTGGATGCAAGGTATGTCTGCAGCCATCCATTCTTTGTGACATGGTTTGTAGGAGAGATTGTTAGTACTAATTGGACCCTTAGAGGCGAATCTTCGATCCTGGCTACCTTGAATCACTACACCGGGACAATGTCCTTCTGACGGACGCGAAGACTGAAAGAATAACTGAAGAAGGGATTGAGACCGACAAAGGCTTCATCCCAGCTGACGTGATCGTCCTCGCCACCGGTTTCCAAACCAATAAATTTATTCCGTACATGGATGTTATTGGGCGGAACGGCGAGACCGTTTCTGAACACTGGGGCAGGTACGAAGGTCCTGCGGCCTACAACTGCTCTGCGCTGAATGGATTCCCGAATTTCTTCATGCTCCTTGGCCCTAACGCCGCGACTGGTCACACGTCGGCCATGATGGCTGCAGAGAAGTGGGTTGCCCTGTTCATTCCATCTCTTTTACCCTGTGCGTTACTAATCATTGCAATCAGCTCTATAAACTATGCCCTCCGTATCCTCAAGCCAGTCCTCGATGGTGATGCCGCCTCTGTCGAAGTCACCACCAAAGCTGAGCATGATTACGCGTATTGGGTACAGGACGCGTTGAGTAAACGTGTTTGGAACGCTGGTTGTGTGTCGGTAAGTCGGTCCCGTCACTGTTGTTTGCTGTACCTTAGGTACTAAGTTCGTATTTATAGTGGTATCTCAACGACAAGAAATGGAACTCCATGTCCTATCCATGGACTCAAGGCCACTACTGGTGGAGAAGTCTATTTCCCACATGGTCTGACTGGACTATCAAGGTTCGACAACCAAGCTGCGTGTCCGTCTGACCAACATGCGATACTGACTCCTGCTAGAAAGTTGTAAAGCCACCAAAACGTTCGTCGTCCCGACTTCTGCTATTGGCTCTGCTCTGCATTGGAGCCTTGTGGGCTCAGCAGGTTTATAATCTTCGAAACGTCTCTCTTGGCGATCTCAGGAGCTAGTGCATCACAGCGCTATCCAAGCTGCAGAACATATAGACGGGCCTGACCTTGGACAGTTACCAGCCATTGTTTAAGAGCTCATTGTACATTCTAGCAAGTTTTGTATATTCGAGGAAATTTCCAATTTACTGCTTTTTGTTTCTACTTATTTATTTATTTTGTAAAGCGTAAGTTATGTGCATGCAGCAAGCAGGTAAAGAAATGCACTTCAGCTTTGAGTCCAGTAATTAAATCTCAAACAATTGATCATCGGTAATTTGTTACCACTACAACTTAGCAGCCGTTGACGGAGCTATCAATCACGGGCATCCACGTTCGTACTGAGAGTCCATGACATGATCCATACAACTAGACTGAGAGGAGACAACATCCGCACGAGCGAACTTCAGCACGCCATGCATTTGGGCCCAAACATTGGGTATTCGGCAATTCAGTAAATCTGACCTCCGAAATATTGGGGGTAATTAGTATATACAGTATAATCCACCTCGCCGGAACGTTCCGTCTACCATTATATACTAAAATACGGCAACCGGTTAGCTTCCGGGGGCCTCTTGAAGAGGAGGAAAGCCCTACCTACTATTTCCCGTCTGCAGACTCTAGTCACATATAATAAATAGGTAGGGTTAGCTTCTTTTTCTATCAAGTGAAAGTTCTCTTTGCCTCCTAATCTTGAGTATGCTGAGGACGATCGGACGAGCCATGCTTCCCCGCGAAGGCCTTTATATCGATCCCATCGTCAAGATTCTACGGCAGACGATTCTTCATCCTATATTCACTCTAACATGCCTTTACTTCGTGCATGGAACTAAATCAGACGCTGGTGCGCAATATGAAAAGCCTGCTGCACTGATAGCAGGCACAAGTGTCCTACTGTGGCTTAACGATTGGTTTAGTGCCAAAAGTCGGAACAATTGGGTCATAGATGATAGCTGGAATTGGCAGAGAGAGCTCGTCGTGGTAACCGGAGGAAGTGGCGGTATTGGTGGTGGAGTTGCGCAGCGTCTGGCCGCTATGGGGGCTCGGGTCGTCGTTCTGGATATAATACCTTTAACCTATGAGCCTGGTGTGTTGAGTGAAATTCTGCATACAGAACCCTTTGACAAAGCCTGATATCTGCTAACACAGTTTAAAAAGCGGAACGCATCATATATTACAGGTGTGATCTCAGCGATGAGAAAGAGATCGCAGCCATTTGCGAGAAGATCAAATCAGAAATCGGCCATCCAACTGTTCTCGGTGAGTGATGGAAAAAAGCATAAAGCGATATTTGGTTCTCTGGCTGATAATTGTAGTCAACAATGCTGGTCTATCTCGTGGCCGGACCGTGGCCGAGGGCTCCTACTATGACAACATTATAACCCTGAAGACCAATTTGCTGGCACCTTTCCTGCTCGCAAAAGAATTCCTTCCATCTATGACCCGGCAGAATCACGGTCACATTTTCAATGTTGCGTCGATGAGTGCATATATTCCGCCGCCAGGCATTGCGGATTATGCGGCGTCAAAAGCTGGTTTGATCACGTTCCACGAGGTATATCTCCAATATCTGCTTTCATCCTGATTGTCTCACTGATTCTCTTAGTGTCTTGCCCAAGAACTGCGAGCTCAGAATGCGCCCAAAGTTCGTACGTCACTTGCAGTGCTAAGTTTTACCAAAACGCCCTTGTTCAAAGGAGAGACCAATCAGTCCCATTTCTTGATGCCGCTTCTGCATGTTGATACGGTCGTCGACGCCATCGTGGACACACTTGACAGCGGACTTAGCCAGACTATTTTTCTCCCGGGTATCTTTAGGTTTCTTGCAGGCTTGGTGAGTCGTTCCTTCGTGGGAAAGAGATTGTCACTACTGCTAACTAACTGACCACGCAGCGAGGAGCCCCTGATTGGGCGCAGAACTTGATTCGTGGTGGTACCAAATCTCTGAAAGTTGAATTCAAGGGGCGCCAGAAGATTGATCCGCAGACTGGAAAACTTGTTGCTTAAGGACTCAAATGTAGTTAACGCTGAATACGCAATGAATCTGTGTCCTGTTGGTGGGACTCGCCACTTCTGGTTAGTGATTCATGCATTACCGTCATACAGTGTTATAAACAGGGCTTCACAGTCCTACTGTCGGTGAAACCTCCTTGCTGTTGAGTTTCTAATACCTAGGCGAGCTAGAAGATGCCTTTTAAGGTTATTATTTGAGGTCCCGACTCGTGCATCGAGAAATGCATTGTCCGGGTAGATCATGTCATCATTAAGGTCGAAGGATTAAATAGCTAGACTTATTATCTGTACGACATTCAAATAATGGTATGACGGAATTGAAAAAGAAAATTATCGAAAGAGCATATATAAAGGGTCAAGCCGGGGCCGTGAAGCGCTTAAAAAGCATTTTCAGCTAGGAAATTGCACTCTATATTATATATCGGAATCCCTTTCGGAGTTGCGTTGCAGTATCAATATCAACAGCTTCAACAATGGCCAGCTGTCGCAGTTTGTCTATTTCCGTCCCGGGCAATGCTGCATTCTCATCCTCAAATATTTCCAACAACTTGTTCTCGCGGTCCAAAAGAAATCGCAGCCACCAAGCAAGCCCTGCGGCAACAATTTGAAGGCCGGCACTTATGCCAAACGCCGTCCGGTAATACGGTGTTTTTTAGTGGAATATGTGAAGGGTGTCTAGATCGAAGCTGAATTTCCCAACCCATTAATGATCGCAATAGCCGCGGCCCTTTTAGCAGGAGGGCGAGGGATTGAGATCGCGATCCAGGTAAACAGCGTACTGTTCATGGCAAAGACAAAAATGACAAGAAAGAATGAGAAATATTTGGGACCAAATTCATCCACTGTCATGAATATTACGAAGCCGGCGACTGTGAGGGGAATCGGGTACATAAAAAACCTTATATCATATAAATAGGTTAGTAACTGTTCTGATGATTAGGCCTCTGCTACGAGAAGGGAGGGAACTCTACCAGAATCGCTTCTCCAGCCGGTCAGACAAAGCTCCATGCATGTAGCTCCAGAACATCATGAAAACATAGGGAGGAGCCACTAGTAGTAGAGAGATAATGTGACTGTAGTCTAGGGTAGCCGTTAATGTAGGAAAAAAGTTTTGAAATCCAGCGGCACCGGTAATAGCCATGTAGGTAAAAGCCAGGATCCAGGTCTTGATATCGGTGACCGCCAACTTGAGACCCTTGAGCTGGGCCATCGCGCTTTCTTCATCGACGTCTACATCTGCTGTATCAAGAGCCATCCGACGGTTGGCCACGAGCTTTTCCTCTTCGGTTAGAAGACGCCATGTCTGAGGAAAGTCTGGCAACAAGAATAACACAAGTATGCCGAAAAACATCGTGATAGAATCCTCAATCACATACAACCATTGCCAAGCAGCTAACCCTCGCTTCCTTGATAGTCCATTGAGGATCCCGGCGGCAATCAAGTTGCCAAATGCTCCCAATATCAAGGAGCCAGAATAGAAAATCATCATTCGCAGATTCAGTTCATCCTTTTTGTACCATTTTGATAGATAGAAGAGAACGCCAGCCATGAATGGTGCTTCGACAAGACCAAGCATAAAACGGCAGGCAACTATGCCCCCAAAGTCGGTGCGCCGCGAATTCAACGTTGCAACCAGACCCCAGCTGAGAACGAAGAAACCGAGATAGAGGGAAGGGCGGCCGAAATAGTTTAACAGGAGGTTCGAGGGAACTTGAGCGAGAATGTAGCTGATATACATAACTGAAAGGCCAATTTCATACTGGTCCCTTTTAAGACCAAGGTCGGTCTCAAGACCTTGAAGCCTTGCTGAGGCATAGTTGTTTCTGTTCAACCATCCCAGTCAATGCCTACTATGCATAGGATGAGGTAAGAACGGCATTCCTACCTATCCATGTAATTCATCAAATAGACCAGGATCACCAGTGGCAGGATATGAAAATCTATCCGATGAACTAGACGCTTCTCAATAATTCGCTCATGAGTGAGTTCTTGGGGCCTGATTGATTCTTCGTGCGATGCTTGGATGTCTTTGGAGAGCCGCGACGGAGCTTGACGATCTTCTTCATTCATACTGTTTCTGGTAAGGTATCACCACCGAAAATGAGCAATGGATCCTTTTTTTTTTTTTTTTTTCTTCACTCTCGAAAGCGGGAGGGATACATTTTGAGCGCCTCTTTATGTAGTCAAACTTCTGTATAGAGAGAAGCCTTGGACGCGTATACCTCAACACCGCTGGTGCAACCGCCCCATGGGGTAATTCCCGCTCTATGGAGACTCAGAAAGCTTGTCTGATAGTTAGTATTTTCTTCAGTATATATTCGCGGAGATTCTTTGCGGAAAAACAGAATTTCCAATTGTTGCGATACGCAAATCCGCCCCTACGCCCACATTTCCGTGGCAAGAAAAATTATTGAAATTCCGCCCGCCATGGAAAATAGGATTTCCGACGGATATCTTCTGAATATAAAAGCATCCCTTAAATCCCGTCGTCCTTAACACGTTTTCCCCACCAGCTATCGTCTTTCGGTCGACTTTGGAGCAATGACGCCTGTTTTCGAAGATCTCCCATTGGACCCGCAAGGGCCACCAGGAAATGCTTGGGGCAGATTCGGAGATCAAGATGAACTGGGGACATTAAACCTGATCACACCGGATACTATTGTTCGTGCGGCAAAGGAGATCCAGACTGGCGTGCGCATATCGCTCGACTGGCTTTTAAGTATGCCATCACATCCGAGTTTCGGCAGGAAGGGCTTTCAGCAGCAGGTTGTGCATAGGAGCCCAAATTGCATCAACGACGACATCTTGACTTTCAATACGCAAGGCTCTAGTCAATGGGATGGTTTTAGGCACTACGGTATGAAAGAATTGTTTCGTTTCACCGTAGTCAAATGCTGATCGGTGGCCACAGCTCATCAAAAATCTCGTCGATTCTACAACAATGTAACCCAAGAGGAGATCGAGTCTTCTGATGTAATTGGGCTACACAGTAAGTTATTGAACAGAATGTTGCCCACTTCCATAGAATAAACGAACTGATACTCGTAATAATCAGCTGTCGTGGAGGCAGGAGGAATAACTGGTCGCGGTGTGCTTCTTGACTACGCTCAGTGGGCGAGTAGCAAGAATCTCGAGATCCAGCCTCTATCTTCGACCCCAATCACGGTTGAAAGTCTCGAGGCTATGGTTAAAGATTTCCAAATCAGCATTCACCCAGGAGATATCCTACTCATTCGCAGTGGATTTACGGCTGCGTACAATGAATTAAAAGAGCAGGAAAGAATAGACCTGGCACAGCGACCGTCGCCGGATTTTATTGGAGTGGAGGCAACTGAGAATATGCTACGATGGCTCTGGAAGCATCAATTCGGAGCAGTAGCTGGGGATGCGCCCAGCTTTGAGCGAGCACCGATTCGCGGTCCTCATGCTGATCCTCGGTACAACTTGCATGAATGGGTCCTTGCCGGCTGGGGCTGTCCTATTGGCGAGTTGTTTGACCTCGAACGGCTGTCCAAACATTGTAGGGAAACTGGGAGATACACTTTTTTCCTCTCGAGCGTGCCACTCAAGGTGCCCGGTGGAGTGGCCAGCCCTCCAAATGCAATGGCTGTATTTTAGAAGGTCGAATCATCAAACGGGATTGTAGCATAGAAACTTGCCTTCGCATGTGTAAAATGATTTAGGTGAAGCCACCGTTTATTGCCCAGTGACGACTATTGTAACTATGTATGAGGAACTTCAGCCTTAATACACATTTCACGCCTGCGGTCCAGGCCTTGAGAGCTTGTCGGCAACGAAAAAATGAAGTGGGTCTACATCATTGAGCGGCGAGGCATCAAAGCCAATATTCATGATGAAACCTAGGTCATCACCATTGACGATGTCTGCAAGCTCATACTATCCAGAAGAACCAATTAGCGTTTACTGTGAAATGACCCATGAGAAAAGGCTTACCAAATCGGGGACTGGGGCTTCGTCAATGTTGTCCACTACGCCTTGGGTATCCTCCCATTCTTCCCGCGGTTCTACCCGTGGGTAGACAGAGCCTAGTGGCGGAATTGCCTGTTCTACAGTGGCGGATGCATTAGCATCACTGGGAATGATGGCCGTTCTATCATTGGCACCCGAGGTGCTTAGCCTGGTCCTGGATGATCTGAATGCCCGCTGCGCAATAGCCCTGGCGTCCTTCACAAACCACCCAAAGGATCATGTCAATAGCTGATGGCAGAGAATGGTCTGGTCATGTTCCCAAGCCACAGGAAACTTACTTCAAGTAGCCTCTGAGAATGTTTATTCATGCTGTTGTCAAGCTTTCGATGGCCCTCTATCGCCCGTTCCAGGACGTTCTCAATGACGGCACGGTTTTCGATTTCGGGGTATAAGGTAAGATAGACAGTCAAGATTGAAATAGCGCAAAAGGTAAAGTAAGACGTTGTCTTGCCAGATAGTCAAAACCAGTTAGCCAAATAATAATTTGAGAACAGAATCAACGATCAAACCAAATGGAGACAGTATACCCAAAAGACTGCGTTGTATGTAACATCTTCTTTAATCTCTGCTGCAAACAATGCCATTTGCAACGCGGCCTGTATACATTTCTGTACCGGTGGTGCTGGGGTTAAGGCGGGCCGATCGTGAAAATTTGCTTGCAGAAACTCGTCCAACAAGTATCCTCGATAAAGCTGCATGGATGTGAAAAAGAAAGCAGCACGAATAGTGCGTTGTTGCCTATGTGGAATCAATAAGAACTGTCTCAAGATACCAGGGACCTTTTAGATACCTCTTGAATATCCAGGGGACATCATAAAAGACTTCGCTTTCCTTCCGACCTGACTGTTCTTCCGGATTGAAGAATCCCGGGGTTTCTTCTAACCAGTTGCTGAGCTGTGCTTCGATTTGGGAAACCGACTCATCCCGGGCAACCTTGTCGTGCTTCTTGGAGCCATAAAGCCTCCTAAGTACTTGTGATGTGATCTGAGCAAGTCTATATGTCGAGGCTAATGTAAGTAACATTACTCTGACATGATAAGAAGGACGTGCTGACTTTATGTGCGCAACAATTCCGGGGACGGTCTTGGCTTCATGAGGGTCTTCTATCCCCTGTGAGGATGACACCTCAGCGTCTGGGTACGATATTGTGATATCTTCGTCATTTATCATCATTGGACGCCCAAGAGCGGCAGAAAGATATCTCAAAAGCTTTGTCAGCCTATATATGATTGGAAATCATCAGGCACGCCTTACCGGTCCATAATATACAGTGACCAAAACACACCCCTGCGGGTAAACTCATCTCGGCTATTGGAGCCTGCGGCTTTGGCCTTATGGAAACCGACTATCTGACCAAGGCGGACAGCAGTCCCTACTGCTAGCCAAGCACTGTTAAAAATATTGACGGCTAGCAGAAACTGACACTGTGTGCTGTTAGAACTTGCTGACGAGGTTCTGTGGCACATTATTACACGCTTACTTTAAGACAGTGCGCTTGCATCACTAGAATTGAGGGAGGGAACATGGATGCTGTCTTCTCCAACCTTGATTGAGCGGCTTCGTATAGTCGTGAACTTCGTGAGCGTTAGCACGGTTAGAGAGAATTAACCAAGACATGAGCATTACGCTTTGGTCTTATACTCGAATATGTGGCGATTGTGCAAAGAAGGGTACCAGATGCACCTGGATTTATCAGTCAGCCCCCATGATAGCCCAGACTTAGGTTGACAATGGCTCACCCAACGGCAAGGATCAGGAAGATAACCGCCATACTGGCATCATCCTGCAGGAAACTTTCATCCTCGGAATAGAGCTTTCCGAGAAATTCTTTGCTCTGACTTCGAGGAATATAGCGATAAGTCGCACATGAGTGACTGTGAAAACAATCAATGTACTCTTCTGCCACGCGACGGTCCAGGGGAATCAGAGATGTCTTTAGCGGGTATTCGCTAAGAACCTCCTCAGCCGGTCGTGATAGATTCCGCGGTAAAGATTGACCCATAGATTTGAGGTGGCTGTATACCCGACTCAAGAAGGTGTGCGCACTCGCATCCCCTATCCAGCCAAATAAGCAAGAGAGATGAATGAGAGAAGGGTCCCGTGAACTAGAAAGAGCATACCTTTATCGTCTTCCTCTGGCTGCTGTTGCCCTTCTGTTTCCTGCGGACGCGCGCCACTGGTGCGTCCCAGCTGTTGCCTTTCTCTCGGAGACGCACTCCTTTCCTACTCAAGAACACCAATTGGAAAAGCCAAAACAGGTGACAATGGGAAGTTCGCCCAGCTGGAACACTCACATGTCTTTTTCGCTTCTGAACACGATTATATGAGCTGTGATATGCGCAGTCTATCCGTTGGAGATTTACAGATCTTAGTGTTGCCACCCACAGCCTCTAAGCGCATCTCTTATGTACACGGAACGTACCAAGTCCCATAGATACGCAACGATAGCAGGGCTACAAAGGATATTAGCATCCATAGTTTATGTAACTAACAAGATATTCGATACCTCTAAACCGTCGCATTTGCATTTCCTCCTTTTGCATTCATCACAAGCACGAGTCACATACTTTTTGGGGGTCTTCTGGGCCCGGCTGGGCAGGTTTCCGCTCCCCGGGGATTCCGTGCCACCTGTCATGTCTATAGAGAGTAGGATGGGTGATAATGTATCTTTGGGTAATCTGAACAGGGAACGGAAAAGGCGGCGACTTGGCGGTCGAGAGTTGCTCGCACCGGAAAAGGTGTTGATGCCAACATATTCGTCAGAGTTAACGCGTGGCACGTGCGCGGAAAAGCCCCCCACTACTCCGGCACCCCGCAGCCTTCTCCAGAGTCGTCACCAAATTCCGCGGAGAATTTATTCCGGTACTGGAGATACTAGTCGGCAAGTCTACAGTGATCGCCGAGGATGTCGTGCGATACCTGCTTAAGTGAGCTGCGTAGGGAAAAGTGCGGGGTCTCGGCCTGCATTTACCCCGGGCTTTATAAAAATCTACGCATATCGAAGGGTTCCCCGATTTAGACACTCTCGATTGATCATCCGAGCTGGAGCCTGTTAGTCCAACAGTGCTCGGTTTGTCCATCTTCTTTAGAATTGATTAGAGAAAGAGATCCTTCGCCATGGCCCCGTCGGTGGTTGGAACTGACCCCGTCCAACAGAAGACCGCTACGCCCGATAACAGAAGTGCAACCCCACCCCAGCTGCAAGTGCTTGGTAAGACCAAGGATGGCAGGGATCTGAAAATCAGAAGCTATCCCAAGTTTGATACGCTCGAAGAGGAGAGGTTATACCGCAAGCAACACTTGGCAGCGGCCTTCCGAGTCTTTGCAGACCGTGGCTTCGATGAGGGCGTCGCGGGGCACATTTCCGTTCGAGATCCTATTCTTACCGACCATTTTTGTGAGTCATTATTATATGGTAGAATAAATGACCTCTTGATATAACTACTAACAAATATTCTAGGGATCAATCCACTTTCGGCTCACTTCTCCCTGATCAAGGTATCCGATCTGATCCTGGTAGACGAGGATGGCCTAGTCGTGGAAGGTGACGAGCCCATTAATGCCCCAGCATTTGCGATCCACTCTGAGATTCACAAGGCTCGACCTGATGTTCATGCAGCGTGCCACGCCCATAGTGTTGCTGGCAAGGCATTTGCGGCCTTTGGTCGGGAGCTCGATATGATAACACAAGACTCACTCCGCTTCTACAAGAGCCACGGTGTATACCGTGATTTCAGGGGTGTCATTCTGGATCGAGAAGAGGGACAGCGCATAGCTAAGGCTCTGGGTCAAGGCAAAGCTGCTATTCTCCAGAATCATGGCTTATTGACCGTAGGTCAGAGTGTTGATGAGGCAGCATTCTGGTTCATGAGTCTCGACAAGACGTGTCATGCGCAGCTATTAGCGGATGCAGCCTCTGCAGCTGGTTACAAGAAAATAATCATCGATGATGATGAAGCTGCTTACGCAGCACTTCAGGTGGGCGGCCCTGAGAAGGGCTGGCTGGCATTTCAGCCGTATTATGATGAGCAGCTTGCCAAAACTAATGGCAACTTTCTTCTTTAATAAGCGTTGGGCCCCGGGTGCAACTATAGAATACGTGTGGATAATCAGGAAGATCCTTTTGTAAATAAAACTATCGTGCTTATTGCGTTCACGCTGATCGAACATTCATTTTCCGTTATCCTTGTCTATATTGAGCACTGTCCTATCCTTCCATCTTTTATCCCTACTACAGGTAGTATTGATGAACACTGTAAGGACAGTTTCTATCTACTTACCATCTAGCGAAGATTACTGCTAGAATTGTTGCGACTAAGCCATGGCTCATAAGATATACATATCACTAGGTTATCCAGGAGATGATGCTTTGATGCTTAGATCTAGGAATTCCGCAGGGGCCTATTCCGAGATAAAAACTCGTGGTGTAGTAACCTCGAGGCAAAGTATCTCACTGAACACACTTCCAGTTTAATGAGAGTGCTAGTTACAATCTAGGCAAGCTGCTATCGCTACACGTATCGGGCATTTCCCTTAGATGGGAGACTTGGTAATTTATGCACATAAATTCACCTTACCATTGCTAGATCAATTATTCTTATGCAGTAGTATTTATCCTTATTCTCTACACTGAACCATCCCCGCTGCGAGTGCTCTGTGCGTGGGCCTAAGAACTGTCCAATTTCCGGTTCAATTTCCGCTCCGCTCTGGATTCTCCGCGCAACACATTGGAGAAACTTAGAATCTGTGTCAAACTTGAGGTACCATGTTTCCGTGTCACGCCTCAAAGACCCTTATTTATTCATCTTTGCTTCAATGGCCAGGAGCCAGTGTTAAATTTGTCAAGTTAGATCTCCAATTCATTTGATTTATTCCCTATCGCGATTTTCCGGTTTATGCACGATCTCACACCATGGCCAACCCATCAATAGCAAGCAACCGCACTCGTTCCATTCTGCATGCAGCCAAGGAGGGTAAATATGCAGTTGGTGCATACAACTGGTATGCATGTCATATTTTGCAAGATAGTCCTAGAGTGAAACCCACCTAGCTGATCCTTCCGAACCTGCACAGCTACAATTGTGACGGTGTGATGGCCGTTATACGTGCTGCAGAGGCCAAAAGGTCACCAGCTATTATTCAGCTTTTCCCCTGGACCCTACATTTCCAAGGCCCCGAGTTTGTCCGTTACGTAGTCAACTCTGCCCATGCCGCCTCAGTTCCCATTGCAGTACATCTGGATCATTGTATCAAGTCCGAGGACGTGGAGTTAGCCCTAACTCTTCCTTTCGATTCTATCATGATTGATGGTTCCACAATGGAAGAGGCGGAGAATGTGGCAATCTGTGCACAATATATCAAGCGGGCACACGAGCTCGGCATTTCTATTGAAGTCGAGATGGGACGGATAGAGGGCGGGGAGGATGGGCTGCCTAACGTGGACCTGGGGACTATCTTTACAAACCCTGAGGATGCTAAACAGTTTATAGAAGAGACTGGCGCCGACTTCCTTGCTCCAAGCTTTGGCAATATTCACGGAGGCTACGGACCTGGTGGTGCCCAAAAGTCGTGGGACACATCTCTGTAAGTCGGTCTCGCCAGTATTGTGTGCTAATTTGCTCTAACCTAAACTTTCTATTTCATAGTCTCAGCAAGATTTCGAAGACTGTGGAGCAGCCACTTGTGCTGCACGGAACACACCCCGTTGAGGATGACCTCTTCCTCAAGGCGATTGACTGTGGGGTTTCGAAGATCAACGTCAACCGAACAGTGCGCGATGATTATACGAAGTTTGTCGCTGAGAATGCTGGCAAATTGGAGTTGACAGTACTCAAGGTCCAGGCTGTCGATGTTTATTCTAAGTCTGTCCAGCGGGTTATGGATCTCTTCAGATCTTCTGGCAAAGCATAACTGATTCAAACTCGACAATCCTCTTATACGGGGGAAGAATCATGAAAGCTACATAGAACATATTAAGAATATAATCTCTTCATTCGATTAAGTAGCTGTAATCTCTATTAAAGTATTGTTTCTGTCCCTTTAGTACATTTGAACTGTTAGCCGTAGAAGTGTATCTGCAAGTCCAGACACGCTTCGACCTTGACTAGGACCATATTCCTCATACACGCTATCTTGTCGCTTCCAGTGACCTTTACAAAGCTATCTACTGTGTTAGAGCTGATATATTCCTTGACCCTTTCACCCTGTCAATCTGGGTAATGGTTTACGCCCAAAATGGCCCTTGTAAAATGAAAGATGCGAACGTTGAACACATGATTCTCACCATACAGACAATCTGTGGGCTCTATATCTTAGTATGTTGTTCAATTTCCGCGGAATCATACTCTGCAGGTTGCATTTACATTTCAGGGCATATTGCGGCCATATAGTCGGTCGGCAATGTGTTGAGTTTTGTGGTGACCGAATTGTCATTTCCGCGGAATTCGAGCAGAAATTCCGACAAATCCTGAAACCCCGAGCTGGCGGAGAAGACAGGATCTTACCTGTCACATGAGTTAATTGTGGCATATGCATGCTTGTAGATCTTCCTATTATGCCAGAATTACCTTGGCCCTTGTTGTGGGGAATGCCTCTATATAATGTACACCCCAACCGTCGATACGCCGCATTCCTATTGATCACAACAATATAATCTACTCAGTCATGACGGATCACATTGGTACATTCCCCGAACTGAAGGGCAAGGTTGCCCTCGTCACTGGTATTGGCCAGATGGGTGATCCCCAAATGTGGGGAAACGGCGCCGCAACAGCACGAGTGTTGAGTCGCAACGGGGCTAAAATCTTCGGGTGTGATCTACACCTCGAGCCTGCCTTGCATACCAAAAAGCGTATTGAGGCCGAGGGTGGCATGTGTGAGGTAACGACGGCGAATGTTACATCTTCTGAAGACGTGAGGCGCATGGTCGAGGAGTGCGTTGCAAAGTTCGGTCGAATCGATATCCTGATCAACAATGTTGGCCGTTCGGAGCCAGGTGGTCCTGCCGAGATGACAGAAAACGTCTGGTAAGTATACACAGCAAGCTCCGTGGAAAGGGAAATGGTGTTTCTAATGCTCTTTGGGTTACAGGGATGCCCAGACTGATATTAATCTCAAATCTGTCTATCTTTGCTGCCACGAAGTCCTCCCGATCATGGAAAAGCAGGGCGGCGGGGCCATTGTTAATGTTGCCTCGATTGCCGGCATTCGGTATATTGGCAAGCCCCAGGTTGCATACTCCGCCACCAAGTCCGCTGTGATCCAGTTCACCAAAGCTACCGCTGTGATGTATGCCAATCGCAACATCCGCCTCAATGTAGTTGTTCCAGGCCTGATGCACACACCATTGGTCAGTTATCTTGCAGACAAGTATGCGAATGGGGATCTGGAAGGATTCATTGCGAAAAGAAATAAGGCAGTACCAATGGGTTGCATGGGTGACTCATTTGATGTTGCCAACTGTGCTGCTTTCCTACTCTCGGACTCTGCTCGTTACATCACCGGGCAGAAGATTGTTGTGGATGGCGGTATCACCTCTTCTACTGGCTAAAGACTTATAACTTCGCATTGCATAGGGGAATGAAATAAAATTAATCTCTGACAAAATATAATTTGGAACTCATGTAACTTAAACCTGCCTTGAGCCTGTAGTAAAACTAGTATCCTTAACTTGCCACGCGGGTTCTACCTTCCATACAGAACCTCTCGATATGCCATTGCGTCTACATAGGAAAGTCAGTGATTTCAGATGACCTCAGCCGTACAAGCCGTTTAATTAAACTTGTCGATCTCGGATAGATCTAAAATTAAAGAGTCCAAAGAAATTAAACAGGTCTGGTCTTTAAATAATTACATGATCATTCTCACCGCACAAGTTATAATCTCAACCCGAGGCTTGCCACCATGGCTCTACGTCACAGGCCATGCATTAAAGTGCCTCACATCAAATATTGGTAGAAAACATGGACCCCTTACTTCTCCGCAAAAGCGAAGTACGGGCCCCAAACCTCTCCCCTTGTGACTGCGGAAGATACCAACGTCAAGGTCACACCCGCATTTTGGCATAACGTTACTGCAGCAATGGAGAAGGATCATTCGGTTTCCCAGGAATACTGGAATAAAGGAACTCGTGGGTTTGGTGTGTCTACCTGTATGGGTAGTTGTGTGGACAACGGAAATTTTTGGGCTGCGCGGTGCGGATACTTCGGACTCTGATTTCCTCTTTTCGAGGAGAGATGGATCGGGGCATAACTCTATCTTTATTTAGTGCGAGATACCAGGAGCTAGAGTGGGACCATTCAGAGACAATGTCTCAATATACTAGGATCGCGCATCGGATGAGACTGACGAGGAAGAATGGAAAATGAAACTGTTGGAGAACCGATATTACTCTAGTTATTATAAGTAACCTAATAAATTTCAAGATAGTTCTAACTTGATCTTGTGGCCTCATTGAAAAAAAAAAAAAAAAAAGATTCTGCGGAGAAGTTTCGCTGTCATTGAGCCTTATAATATTGAGAGTCAAGTTCAAGTTGGCTTTGTTATCATAGTCATTGGAGCTACCTCAACCAACCCGTACCCAGAAATAGTTTCATCACGGCGTGTACCAGCCACGTTAATGTATCCTTCATATGTTGCAATTGTTCCGTCCTGAGTGCACAGCTCTTGGTCATCGCGAACACTCGATAGTTCCAGCCTGGTTCCATCAACTAGAGCCACGACCCAGTCAAGAGAATAGGTAGTTTTAGAACAGGGTGAAGTCCATTGGCGGCTTGACGGTGTGAACTCAGTGATAGCAAGTACATGATGGATGCCTGGTTCATCCCTGACTGTGGCGAACTGGAAACGCTGTCCATCAAGGGTATCCCACGCCCAGATAGACATTGTCCGCTCGCCGAGGTGTACTTGAAACCACGTCCAGTTCGATCTCGCCGGCCCACCCATCGGGGCGAACGGCCATATGAGTTGACGATCATACCAGGTCAAAGAGCTAGCAGAGTCAATAGTGAGAAGCTTCCTATTGGCAGTGAAATGGCCATCTGTGATTCCAGCTGGCATTGACCATTCCAATGTGGTCTCATCACCGAACGGAAATGTCCCAGTACCTCCATTCAAAATAACGGGAGCAGAGAGCTGAAAGGTGATGTTAAGCTCAACGTGTTCAGTGATACACCAGATACGCATCTTGTCCAGCGGATTTGTTGGATCCACAGACACAAATCCGAAGTATTTCGTAACCACGCCAGGAGCCCCATTCTGCACGTGCGCAGCCCTACTAGACACGTTCTGTAGCCAACTAACCTGCCAGTAGTATGCTGTGTCATTAATATCTAGGATAGAAGCACGCAGTAAAACTGTAGAGACATTCAGGTTTGGCAATATGACGTGGGAAACGATCAAATAATCATGGCCATCTGACGCATGAACAAAAGACGATGCCCACCACGAATTGGTTGCCGTTGGATTGACGAATTGTGAAGCTCCGAGGTCTTGAGTTAGCTGGCTCGGCTTAGTCTGGGAAAGCAGGATCGTAAGCATCGTTGAATGCTCAATATGAGAACCATTCCTTACCAGGCGTTCATATTGCAAGCCACCCAGTTCAGGTACAAAGCCGAAGATGCCTGCAATGAAAGCAGCAAGAAGAGTCAAGGCAATCTTTAAGTCCTGCATCATGAAAAGCGTGGGCGCGTAGGCCAGGGTGGATACTGATTGTGACACTGCTCGGATGCTTGAAGGATTTCTTATGCTGCGAAGGTAAACAAATGCCTTGCATTGTGCTTATGTTCGTAGATAGCTCGTGCTTCCGATCAGAGTTACAGTTACCTGCAAAACCAAGCTTCACCGCCTTACACTCTCTTCCAGGTATACCTAAATAAAACCTTTAGTATATAATGCCATCGGCGTTTTATCGCAATTACACCTTAAATGGTCACTCAGAGATAGAGAGGAGTACATGAACACTATATATAATCTACATTCTCCTCCGAGAGCTGATAGCCATTAATATCAAGCCTTAGAAACAAGGACCATTACCAGACATAAACTATTTAACTAATATAAACCCGTAAGCTTAAAAATATCTATTCATCCACAATATTCCATTTATCTATAATTGTTCCTTCTAGACTTCAACGTTTATATATCAAAATAAGCTTGTACACTTTCCCTCTATACTAAATTCAAAACCGGCGCCCGGGCTTGTGTCCTTGAACTGTTTCCTTAAGAACCGCTAAGCTCCTTTGATTTGAAGGAACAACTATATTCCCAAAATGTTTACCGTACGGTATGTACTTAGAAATATACCTTCACCATCTATAATACATGTACACGACCCTGCATATATAGCCAATCATTCTGCTGCGACAGGCAGTACAGTCACGTTGCCTGGTCTTGGTTCATTGCTATCGTGTTTGATTCGATAATACTTAGCTGTGGGTGGGTAGCGTGGATTGTCGTTATCTATTACATATTATATCTCAGACATGCCAGTTTCGTATATTCTATGGTCGAAGTAGTCCAAAGCCGTTATTAGCTATCCGCTCTGGCAATGGTGCGCTGCAAAGCTACCCAAGTTTTGTGAAATAAATAAGACTCTTTCTTTGTCATTTTATCGGTGAGGTTACAGGTATGATGTGTTTTCAGCTGAGATCATTAATCCCGCGTGATCTGCATCGGAGGCCCCAGATCTGGAATCCACTATGACAGAGGATCAATTTTATTGGCCTATATCGATACGCATTACCTACGCTTGTGATAAACCCCACTGTAAAGGTTGGTAGCGAAGAAAGATCTCCAAGCTGAAAGAATGACTCCTCCTAGCAGAATATCACATGATCTAGCAGTAGCCTTCATCATTTCTCGTTTCAGGGCAAAATATATAACGTGATAAATTCGCTTAGGCTACATCATTATTTCCAGCGCCCCTCCCGTTCTTTCCAGGTAACTACCGATTTCCGCCCATAGAGCATACTTTACATGACTTGGGATTCTAAGTCATTTTAAGTCATTCTAAAGTCATGGACCTCACCACACAGGATACACCCGGGGCACTCGGGGATGCACACCTCTATATTGGTAACCTGTCGCCGCGAGTGACGGAGTATATGCTCACCGAGATCTTGGCCACTACTGGGACTGTGCAGTATGTCAGAATTATTCCCGATAGAAATGTGAGTAGCAAGCAAAAGCTGTGAGAGTTACTCTATACCTACACTGGTCAGGCGCTGTCACCCATTATGGATGCCCACTAATTCCCACCCATCCATAAAAACCTATCATACCCGACTACCCGATCTTGCCTACTATTGGACTTTTAATCAATAAGATTGGTTGGACTCTAACTTTACCTTGTTAAAACAGTACCAGCATGGGGGTCTAAACTACGGCCTTGTCAAATACTTTGATATACAATCTGCCAAAACAGCGGTACAGACCTTGAATAGTCATAGAATGTTTGATACTGTAAGTTCTCCTTTTTTTTAAAGACGGTCTAGAGCTTTCCAACCTTTTAATGTCGACATACAGGCAATTCAAGTTAGCTTGGTTGACCAAGTCCTACAAGATACAATTGACGCAACGGGTCAATACCGTGTCTTTGTGGGGGATCTCAGCGGTGAAGTTAATGATCAAATCTTACGCAGCGCCTTCTCTGCGTTCAGCTCGCTATCAGATGCTAGAGTCACATTTGATTTAAGCTCGGGTAAATCCCGCGGTTATGGTTTCCTTGTGTTCCGTGATAAGCGAGATGCGGAACAAGCTATAGCTACTATGAACGGTGACTGGCTGGGATCTCATACAATTACAGTTCGCTGGCCCAACGAACAACCTCAGAAGAGTGTAGACATTCCTTCACAGAACTCTCTTTCATATGATTCGATCGTGCAGCAAGCTCCTCAGGACCAAACAACAATCTATATTGGCAATCTCGTCCCTTATTGTACCCAGGCTGATCTTATTCCCTTATTTCAATCTATTGGTTATATACAGAGCCTCGAAATGCAAACCGGCCAGGGAAATGCTTCCGTGAGACTCGACACACACGAGCATGCGGCCATGGCCATTACTCAGCTCCAGGGCCAAATGATTCATGGCCGACCGATTAAGTGTAGCGTACGTACTGGAAAATGGTTACCTTGTTCTATCTGATATGCTAACTTGCTGAAGTGGAAAAAGAGCGACACCGCAGTATATGGAATTCAGGAAACTTCCGCTTCAATCGGAGACCTGCAAGCACCCGGGACACCACAGCTCAGTAAGTATCTCCGTGTACAATCATATGCCCACTCGTGCCATATGATTGGTGGCTGGTGGCTGATATAACTTTTCAGGCACAAATGACCAAGATGACTCAAATTCTGGAATTGCTGCGCCAATTCAATCACAGTACTATAGCAATTACTGGGGGGGTTACTACGCGAATAATACCACTACACAACAGCCATGATAGGGGTGAAATACTGCGGATTCTCCATGCTATTATATCAAACAACCCGTTCAAGAGAAAGCACATAGGCCTTCAATTTAAGAGTGACTGTTCAATAAACTATTCGTACCAAGATCTTGGCAGCGGGCCTAGAAACGAAGTATCATATGTTTGACGGTGAAGGCGATTTCTCTAAAGACTGTAGCTCAATTCGTAATATTTACCCATTCTATTATCAGTAATTGCGCTATTCGATCGCATATTCTTTAGCAGCGTTTATCCTCTGGACGCACTTTCAGTGAACAACACCAGGACCTATTTCACCATATTCCTTAGATATCCAAAGACCTTGAAATGTCGAGAGTGATGCTAACATAGAACCTCCAATCCAGATCGGGTCCTTGCGCTCAAGGGGAGCCACAGTCATCACTTTCATATTTGATATTAAGCGTCATATTCAGGACCGTGGCCAAGAAGATGAGAGATCCTTCGGCAAGCTAAGCGCGCGCAAGCTTTAAATCGCGATTTCTCAGCAACATAGGCAGATACGTAAAATCTAAATAACCAGGAGGTTTGCCAGGATGTTAAAGAGGGTGATCAGCCACTGGTTTTCATAGATTCGGAGGGTGGTGTCAAGTACTCATCTGGATAGTGTCAAATTTATCGTTTGGACGGGAATTATCCAATGTGTCGCAAGCCATCCCCCCGAAGGGCAGGTGGGGCTGCTTACTACAGACGGCTAATTGCGACAAAAGAGCCCCCAAGGAGTATTGTAATAAAGAAGAGAGTATGAGGCAGTGAAGTTGGTTTTGCACTGCACTGTATCATTCGTCTCATTTCAAAGACTTGGATTTGGTGGTGATTTCCTTGTCACTATTCACCGAATAATCCACCAGGAGGACAACAAAAGTGAAGGAGTTTCCAACTGGCATTCAATTCACTTAGGCCGTCGAAATGGAGGGAACAGTCTCTGTCAGTAACGATCAAGAAAAATTACATAGTTTTTGGCACTTCTAATGAAAGCTTGAGATGGAAAATAGTATTCTTCAGGCTAATATAGTTTCACTTCCTTATGCAGCTGCGGTCAGGACATGAGCCTGCAAATAATCAAAGTCTAGGTACAAGCAATCATGGCTTGTCTCTGTATATTTATAGAACTGACCATTTAGAATTAAAAAGTCAATAACTCACCACCTGCGACGAAAATATGAATGCCCAACCCGGATACACTATGCTATACTGGAAAGTTCAACAAATAGGCAAATTATAAAGACACCCATACACGCCGACTAATCCACGAAAAGCAAGGATCAAACCGAAATCACTAGATCGCCACCAGGGACGCCACGCATGAACACAACACTTATCAACATATCATACTGCACTGTTGACAAGTGTATACCCATTAGTCTCCCAAAAAGGGCGCTCCTTTTTCTTGTTCGAATCAAACCAACCAAACGGATCACAAAGCGTGACCAGGAACGGGCGCTGGTCCTTCCAGCCAGGACCCTTGAGCTCTGTCTCGCCGTCTTGCGCAAGGTATATATTAGATCTCTCCGGAAGGTATCTTCTCGGGTGCCGCCAGTTCCACATGAGAGTATTGACAAGCATGAGACTCGCCTCAAAGACATAAAAAAACCACTCGTGACGCAGAATAGGACTGAGACCATCGAGTTCTCCCGACGATGAGGGGCGGATCTTCGAGGCGCCAAAGTGCTCGACGATACGGTAGATGCATCGTACGAAGATAAGGAAGGTACTGACATATAGGGTGACTAGAGGAGCGGAGACACGGCGAGTGCGAATACCCGATCTGTAGCAGCGCCGCTGGAAGATTGCCGCTAGGAAACAGAATACGGTGATGACCAGGACTTGAGCTATGAGTGATATTTTCATAAGAATATGGCCGAGTTTGATGGTGGATTCTGGCAGCTCTGGATTCGCGATGTAGGAAACGCCCAAAGCGTTCAAGACCTCCACGACGGTGGAGAGCATGCCGAAAGTAGTCAGGACCCGACCGGGGTGGATTGGAGAGTGATAGGGAACGTAGTACAGAATACGGCCGAGAATGTGGTAGTTGGCTAGCTCCAGGAGAGGTCTTCCCATGTATGTTAGCTTGAAATTGATAAAATCAGCTCTAGGAGGTGATCTTACGGAGACATATAGATCAGGCATGTGCTAGCAATATAGATATATAGATCTGGCTTGCTGAATGAATGGTGGAAGGCACCGTATTCTCGCAAAGCAAACCCAATAGTAAACATCAAGCAGCACACGAGGTGCAGAATCATGAGCTTAAAACATTTGTAGTGGCTATCATTCGACCGTTAGTAATTCCATACGCACAGATGCAGGGTTCTCGAATCTTTGTAACTTACATGCATTGCCAGAAGTGTAGAACTAACGAGGCAGCAAATGCTATAGCAAATATAATAGGCGCTATTTTGTTGGGTACGTAGATGTAGATGCTCTCCTCCTCTAGTGCGCTCTTAGTGATACAGAATCATTCACATGAGAATACAGACTTACCCACCAGCCATTGTTATAGAATCTTTTTTCTCGTAACGAGGTCAAAGCAGCAGTGGCGCTCAATCGGGACACAAGTCGGGCTTGAGGAGTATGATAGACCAGAGATTGCAGGAGGACCGAAGGGATGATTATATAGATACAATGTCCCGCGTTTAACGACTGACATGGCTTAAGAATAGCTCAGGCTGTGAGATAAGGCTTTTCAAAGCCTCAATCGTACAGGGCTGAAGCGTCCTATCTTCTCTGAGAATTGGCACTGGAATCTTGTCCGAAGAGATACTTTTCTATCCGACCAATCATACTGCGGAGATCAGCGGTGAACGCTAAACCAGAAATGGTTCAATACATGGCCAAGACATCTTCAGCTGGAGGAAAAGGCTAGAAAGGTTGGGCAGCACTGCCACGATGGGCCATTGTGAGGCTCACTGGCGCAACATACATCCAAATCCGGTTAGGGCACGAAATACGAGATGTCCATAATATATCCATTCAAAACACCCCTCCTTTCTTCTGAGCTATGAATTACTCTTAACTTACTCAACCTTCAAATATACCCAATTTTACTCTACCTGAACAATGAGCGAAAATACTATCCCATCATCGGGACCAGCTATCTGGGATTCCGCGCCTCCCCCGTATGCAGAATATGATCACAACAGTGTATCTACAGAGCAGGCTCCGCAATATGAAGTCCCCCATTTCAACAACTCAACCATCGACTCAACAAGATTGCAAGCTGCAACGAGCAAATTTCCCCCGACGATGAATGGTTACATACCAATGAAATTCACTCCAGAGTTTCATTTGGGACCATCAGCGTCGGAGAAGTTATACTTCATGTCAATAGATGTTCAGCACCGTAAGAGCATACAGACGATGATCCTGCGCGATGGGCCGACCGATAAGGATCCGCCTCTTGCATCACTGCAGTGTGATCCATATCTCCGAGCAAAGCCCGTCTCGGTGACCTTTGCATCGCAGGGCGAGCTTCAAGATAACTCTATCGTAGAGCCATTAGAAGATGTCAAGCCAGGCAGACGCATGAGCCCGACATTCTCCGTCGCGGTTGGCGGAAGCGGCAAAGACGCCTCCTATGAACAATTTCAGTGGCGCTCAAGCCACGGTAAAGAAATAAAGGAGCTCGCCGGCCACTCATCCGGTTGGAAGCTAGTTCGACTGTCGGAAACAGTGGGCGAGGCAAACGGGAGTCGCTCCCATCGAGCGATGGGGTGTTCCAGCGATGGAAAGGAGATTGTCGCTGTCATCGCCCACAACGCATCGTGGAGCCTGTCGAAGGGGTTCAAATTTGCCTTTGTGGGTAGTGGACTTACTGGTATCCTGGGAGAAAAATGGGAGATCATGACTCTCATCACCGCAGTGCATCTGTGGCTCATCGAGTTCCAGATCGTGACAAAGGCCATTCCGATTGCATGAGGACTAGGTAATGCAAGGTGATCAGCATGGGCTTCTTTACCCTGCTCATTGAATTCAGAAGTACCTTGGTTTACTATGAATATCTGTATACCTCTCAACAGCCTCACTATCATTATGTTGTAATGTCTTTTTGTCGGACTTTGTATTGGTATTTAAAAATAAAGTCTACACCTTAGCTGCACTAATCAACCTAATACATAGATCCATTATACACATATATACTTGTCTCTCTCCCACTATACAGCTAAATGATTGGAGAATCTAATGAATCAACTAGAGATATAGCGATTATCTACTAGCCTTTCTACCACATAAACCAAAGATACACGAAAAGAACGTAAAAAACGAAAACAGAAGACAAAATGAGAAGGGGAGGCTGAGCGGAGATGTAAAAAAAGCTACCAGTCGAGACTTTTGCCGGGCACTAAACAAGTTTCTTTCTGCCGACTTCGACTGAGAATCATTCCTGCTGTTTTGAGGAGGGCAACCCCCTATTTGGCTTGGAAAACCTTTCGATATGGCTAGGCAAAGGTATGGAAACAAAGCTGACACACCATGTTCTAGTAAAGTGGTGTGCCGGTATAAATTTGTTGCTGTAGTAGCGCTGCGACTTTTATATATAGCAAGTTGATCATTGAATCCATGCGCCACAACGCCACGAGACACCAAACAAACTTACCGACAACTCTTAGCTTCCTCAAACTACTGCAAAGGGTATAATTATCTCTCAATTTGCTACATAATCAACTATAAAAGTCGACAGCATCGCCGAGGGCATCGATACTACTGGAATGTAGATAATGCACTATCGCTCGCATAGGGGTTGAGAGTGCTTTGCTTCAGCATGAACGTTAAAAGGAAACGAGTGTGAAGTATTTACATTGCCGACCCACTGCACCGGCAAAACTACCCTTATTGAGGCACCTATCAGCGAATGTTATTTACCAGATCTGTCAGATTAGTACCGGGTGCCCAGAGTTCATAGCTAAGGTTGCCTGAAAGGTCTCGGAGAGAACCATGGAAACAAATCTGCCGAGCCTACAAGGACGCGTGATGATCATTGACAAGTCTGCTGTATTCACCGGTGCCATACTCCGACATGCAAAGGAGAAGTCAGGCGAGGTATGATTGGATTTGATTCCACATGTGCCGCATAAGCTGGTCTTTCTCTAACTATACCAACAACTAGCTTAGATGCCTATCGAAGGCCCAAGCCATCTGTGAGTTGTTCTTATTCTACTGAGACGGGAATTAGACTTGCCATGGCCGCTACACGGTCCATTGAAAGATAATATCTGCCTCTCACCCCCCTCATTTTCGGGATAGGGTAAATCCAACTATGCTTCACCACCTCAACCCCACGCTCATGACCACCTAAACCTTCCTCGCACAAGTGTCCCTTGGCATAAAAGCTAACCTAACGCATAGACTTTAGGAGTAGGCCTCATGTGAAGCAAAAAGTGTGGCTCAAGATTAATTGAACTACATCGATACTACAAACACGAAGTGATTGACAAGATTGTGGGTCGCTTCCATTCTTCCACCCGTCGATACGAAAAAGCATCGCTTGGCTCCCCACAGTTGTGCACTTCTTCAGGAAAAAGATATCCAGAGATACCTGACTAGCTATATTACGTATGCCCCTATGGAGACGAACCGCGGATGGCTATTTCGCTTCCCTTATAGTTTGTCAACTTGAGACGACGATCACAGGATACACATAATGCGTACCCAATAACAGCCGAAGATCTAAAGCCCAAGAAGAAATTTTCTCCGTTAGCAATGCAGATCTCTCGCAGTCTTCTAATTCAGAGATTGAGAACAGAAGGGTAATTTAATAGTAAATCGCCCGTCCAGCTGGGGTATAAATCTGCCCTCCTCTCCCTTTCCACTATCAACTCCAGTTCCAACTCCACTCAGGCCATTATCAACAATCACATATATTCTTCTTTCCATCCACCTCAGATCACAATGAAGACAAACTACCTCTTCGTCCTCGCTGCGGCTGCCGCCGGTGTGCTCGCCCACCCTGAAGCAAATGTCGAGAACAACCTGGCCGCTCGAGCCGGCACCTGCCACCAGCCCAGCTCCTGCAGCAAGTTCTGGGCTGGCAAATGCGAACAGTACTGCGCGCCTTACAAGTTCTCCCATTTGAGCAGTGACGGTTGCTACATGTTTGCCGAGAAGTGCTGCTGCGATACCTCGAAAGCCTAGAGCGGAAGATCCAATCTGATCCTCAAAGTACAGGAGGGTAAAGGAGGGTAAAGGAGGAAGTGTCAGTGATGTTGCCGACGATAAATGTTGCGTCGCTGAGGAGGCTGGCAGAGGGTATGGGTGTCACATGTCTGGGTCACATGCTGAGCATGCTTTTAGATAGTGAGGTAGAACCGAAGGAGAGAACAACTACTTCAAGGGATAGGAGAATGATATACAAATGACTTATCACGTTTCCGCTGCCGATATGACAATGGGGGAGTGCTTGAGTGTTTTTAGTAGGTACTCAAACTCATAATATGTGTTCCATATTCTCCTGTCAGTGCAACCTAAGTTGTTCAATGCATACATTTCATAAACAAGCACATAAGTTACCTCCGCTGGAGTAACTTTTTCCCAGTCCAGCTCACAGCGGTAACCCATCCACAATATGAGCGTTGATAATCACCTGTGCATCCTCTTGTAGGGCTCAGTGGAGTCATCAGCTTGATCGGCACTGTCTCGACATCCATGTTCTTGGATTGAGTGCTCGGGCTTCTTAGTTTGCGATGTATCGCGCAACAAGACCCACTCCACCTGCCTAAGGCCGAGCCGACGCTGTGGAGTCCTGAGGCAGAAACCCCCCTCCCCAACGGAAAAGGTACGGTTCGGAATCTAAACACCACGCGCAACTCCATCCACACTCCGATCACAATGTTCGCGTATGTGTTTCCTGACTATTTCATTTTCATTTTCTTTTCCTTTTCTATTTCCTCTTTTATCATCACAGAATCTTCCATTATACGAGTTATGTAGATACTAGGAAAGGCATTATACCCACATGAAATCTCCCAAACTCTGAATGGCCAATGATATGCAGATTGTCATTCTGCTCCTACCGACTAACTACTCACTAACGACTAGTAGTTTATAGGGTAGGTAGGGGTCCGAGTACTAGTAGCGCGCAGCTATTAAGCACGCATACATTCTTTCTCAGCCGCATTTCTTCTCAACTCCTCTCTCTCCTTTTACTTTTCCCCCTTTGGAAGTCACTCTCAGGATGCCTTGTTATACACTCCACTCAGGCAAGATTTCATCCAATTTTGATGTGGATTCGGCTTGTGGAGTCGCAAATTCCACACACCCATATGTACAATGCTGTGTGAAGGGGGATTATTGCATGAGCAATGGCATCTGTCAATATCAGAATAACGGCGTATCAGGCTACTATGCCGCCGATTGCACCGATCCAACCCTTCAGGATCCGGCCTGCATGACCCGATGCGGTAATTCCATGAGATGGGCTCTCTATCTGAGCGATTGCAGAAGCTAACAGTGCCCACCTATAGGTGGCCACGAGTTTTCGGATTTGACGTACGACGAATCGTCAGGGCTCTGGGCATGTTGTAGTTATAATAGTGATGGAAAGAAAAATTGCTCGAACCCCACGGACGAGAAATTCCCGGCTCCAATGCCGAGCGACCTCGCTACCATACAATATCTGCCTACGACCGGCACCCCGAGCTATCCTACGGCGACAGCAAGCGACGTCACTTCCACACAATCCTCGAGTTCCGGCAGTCATATTGGAGCCGGTGCTGCGGCTGGCATTGGGGTTGGGGTTGGAGCGGGTGTATTTCTGATTGCAATTACTGGTGCATTTTGGTATTTTCGACGCCGGAAACCGCCACAGTCACAGCAATCATCGAAGCCTACATCTTTTCAACCTCTATGGGTCGGGCCAGAGGCGGAAACCCATCAATTGGATTCACAACAGAGGGCTGAGCTTGGGAAACCGGAGCCCCGCCCCCATGAGCTTGCCTGAGAAGGTCTTCATCTTATACCCGCTCATTTGCAGCTGTCACGCCGTATCATGTGGATTCTTTCGTTTGAAATAGTTTCATTTATTCATAAGCTTAATAGATTATACTAGAATATATTATTATCATGATTATTATGATTATTGTTTTGTTTTTTTTTTCTTTTTGGTTCCCAGCAAGGAAGACCCACAATTAGGGGCCGAAATGTTTCTAATTTTATGGGGGCCATTTTGGAGATAATATCAAGCTTCTTCTTATGATACTCATTAAAATATTCACGGAATCTACATATTGACAAATAATTTATGTCTAAAAATAAGCTTCATGTAGACTCGCCTCTCATCTCTTGTTATTGGGAGAGCCTCTCTTGAAGTAGGGTAACTAGGGTTTGCTTGACAGACGCCAAGCCCTTAGCCCACCGTGGGTCCAAATCTTGCGAAGTCAGCAAGGCTGAGTATTCAACTCCTCCTTGGACCCTATGTTACTCTCCTACTTTTATATTCGTCCATCAGTATACTCCATATAGTAAGTAATATGGACACCCGAGCGCAACTGAACCCCGTGGTGCATCAACGACATTGCTGGGAATGTATGCGCCGTCGGCTCGTATGCGATTTCGAGCGTCCTACTTGTAACAAATGCCGATCGGCTGGTGTTGCTTGCCCCGGATATGACGAAAAGAAACCACTCAGATGGCTAGCCCCTGGCAAAGCGACATCTCGTCCTCGGAAGCGACGTTTTCCTCCTGGCACGGACCGCTCGTCATCAGTCAGTAGCGAAGAGACGACTAACAAGCAGGCTGTTCCGCAAACCAGCGTAGGAAGTGAACTACTGCGAATACCAAACCCAGGCCGAGAGCTGAAAAGCGAAACATGCACAATGGTTGAGGCTGTGCGGTACTGTATGTGTCTCATAGAGCCGCTCAATGCAGCTGATTTTCATAGTTCTCCCTAGTCAACGACTATGTCTATCCTGACTTTCGCGCTATGCACGAGTTGGCGCCGAACCCTTACCTTGGCCAGTTTCCCCTAGATGCGCTGCACCAAATGCCCATGTCAATATGTCACACATTAGTTTATCTTGCCCTCGGTCACCGCATCCATCGTGTGTACCCAGAAGATCACTGTCGCTCGTTGGCGCGTTTGCGACCGAGCCTTTATCAACATAGAGGACTAGCACTTCGATCCTTGACTGAGCTGATGGGGAATTTGAGCAACCAAATGACCATCGATCTTGCCATTGCAAGCATTATGTTATTCTTAATTGTAGATGTAAGCTCGCCTCCTCCATTCTCATCTAAATGGGTCAGGAGCTAAATGAAACGGTGATCGGGAAGGCCAGACAGCTGCCGTCAGTGGATTGGCAGCACCATTTCACTGCCGCCATGGAGTTGATTAAGCTGCGTGGTGGTCTAGCAAGTCTTGCACATTCCTCCGAGTATCTGAAGCCCTTGATACTCCATCTTCTCATGTAAGAGCTCTAGTTAACATTGACTCTTATTGCCCTTTACCCATCTTTCGCCTCCCATGTTACTAACTCGCACTACTTAGCCTGGGGGTGATGGCTAACACGACTACTCCTCCATCACAACATATTCCACCCACATCGCAACTCGAACTTATTGACATCATGACAGAGCTATACGGAGATGGGATATACCCGATCCTCCTATGCCCCCCTTACCTCCTAATGGATGTAATCAAGATTAACAACCTCCGCTTCCAAACGACGTCTTCCCCCATAACTGAAATCACACGAGCGACAGCGCACAAGATACTCGAGCACATCGAGGCCTTCTCGCCCGAAGACTGGACGGGCACCAACTCCGAAGCCCGAGAGGACTGGTTGCTACTAGGACGCATGTACAAGTCCTCCGTAGCACTGTACTGTATCTCGTCTCTCCAAAACCTGTCCATCCTTCCTTCCAGCAAGTATTATACTGCTATGAGGACTGTACATGGGACCTGTCTATATACTCTTCTTCCAAAGGTTACCCACCGCCCCCGTATCAAACATTTGACGATATGGCCACTGGTCGTAGCGGGGATGCAAGCCGTTGATGCGAGTCCTAATGTCCGTCGTATCGTTGACGAGCTATTGTCAGATCTGAGCAAAGTTATGGGGTGCCCGACGCCTATGTTGGCGAGTGCTGTGTTTCATAGGTTTTGGACTTCGGGGCAAACAAGGTGGGATGAATGCTTTGATAAAGCATACGTGTTTGTGACATAGGTCCAGATCCAAACTTTAAGCATGTATTTAGATCAATGGACATGCTTATGGGAAGGTCAAGGTTACGAATTTCATGTATTATGACGCGCAGGTACCAATTCTTACTTCCAGGAGATGATGAAACAAGCACCAGACTATGTCAGAGTAACTGGTCTACCAGCAAAGTGATAAACGCTAATTAACCCACCTTCATTTAAGTAACAGTACGCCACATCCATTGTATGAGGTGGCACTCGATACCCTGTAGACTGGTTCAGGCTACCAATGACAAACCGAAGGAATCATTATCCGAAATGGCTTATCGACAAACCTGCCACCAGAGGGGCAAATCCGGCGCCTGGCCTGTGTAGATACACAACGATCCTAATAAAGGTCCGTCAACTGGCCTTTATCCTCGATCACCTTGCAACACAAGCTGTGACGGGATGGCTTTACTTTCCACCACTCAATACCTAGTCTTCGCTGTCGCAGCATACTATATAAAGGATGGTCGGGGCATGTGGAATGCGCGGCGTGCCGTGCAGACTATCACTTAGCATAAATCAGGAAAATGGATTCAGCAAGGCTCTGGGTGGCCCTCATGGGGCTGATCAGCTACCTCATCGTGATTAGCATTTATCGACTCTACTCCCATCCATTGAGAAACATACCGGGTCCTAGGTTAGCAGCGGCTACCCACCTATATGAGTGGTACTATGATTTATTCCTGGGAGGTAGATACCTCTTCGAGATCGAGAGAATGCACGAGAGATACGGTAATTATCAATTCTCAATGCCCATACATACGATACCCAACTGACCGAAAGCCAGGACCTATCGTGCGTATCAACCCTCGAGAGATCCACATCAGTGACCCGCACTATTACGACGAAATCTACGCCTCAAGCACCCGCAAGCGCAATAAGGATGCAGAATTTGTTTCATTCTCAGGCATGCTCCATTCTACCCTCTCGACAACAGATCACGACCTCCATCGCTATCGTCGTGGCCTCGTGAACAATCTTTTCTCTAAGAAGTCGATCCGTGGGCTATCCCACTTTGTCGAAGAGAAGGTCCACAAGCTTATGCAACGCTTTAAAGCCTTTCATGAAGCTCAGAAAGTAGTCCGGTTCGATGATGCCTTTGCAGCTATGGCCTCTGATGTCATTACACATTACTGCTATGGCAAGAGTTGGGATTATCTCGATGACGCGGGTCTGCGCACAGATGTTCGCAAGGCCGTTCATAATCTCACCTGTAGTGTTCATTTCAATCGCATTTTTCCGGTTTTTCTTGCCGTGCTCCAAAAGCTACCACTTCGGTTGTTGCATGCGATTCAACCTGGAAAATCAGTTGTACTGGATATCCAGAAGACAATCTATGAGCAGTCAGCCGAGGCACTCCATGGGGATAAATATAGCCTCAATCATCATGATGACAATAACAAACATAGAACCATCTACGACCAGCTGACACATCCCAGCATTCCAGCTGAGGAACGATCCCTCCAGCGTCTGCAGGATGAAGGTCTCCTGCTTATCAGTGCTGGCACAGAAACAACCGCCAGAGCGTTGACAACTGCCTGCTTCCATATCGCATCGGACGATCATGTACGCGCTCGATTACGAGATGAGCTGAGGACCGTCCTGTCGACGCCTACCAGCCCCATTACGTGGTCCGAGTTGGAAAGGTTACCTTATTTAGTAGGTGATCAGACAAATCTCCCTACAACATTATCTCTCCCATTTTAAAGCCCAGTCTTTCGTTCACCCTCTTCCAGCAGAATTTCTATAATATCACTAACCCTACTCTACAGACTGGAACCGTCAACGAATCCCTCCGTCTCGGCGGCTTCCTTACAACCCGATCCCCTCGCATAGCACCAGACGAACCCTTAATCTACAAAGAATACACAATCCCTCCAGGCGTAAGCAACCCTCCTTCCACCCAACAACACACCACTAACCGAATCCCACAGACTCCAGTCAGCTCCTCAAGCTACTTCGGCCACAAAAACTCAAATATCTTCCCACAGCCTGACAAATTCTCTCCCGAACGATGGATCTCCGCCGGTAAGAACAACGAGCACCTGTTCAAATACATTACGTCCTTCTCCCGAGGTAGTCGGATATGTGCAGGCATGAAGTATGATACAGAAATCATCGGGAGCCTGAGATAGCTACTAATGTGTTTAGCCTCGCATTCCTCGAACTTTACATGACTCTCGCGTACTTTGTACGTCGGTTTGATGTTGAGTTGGTAAATACGACTTTGGAGGATATGAGGATAGTGAGGGATATGGGTGTTGGGTTTACGCATCGGGGTGAACCGAGTGTTTATGGTAGGATTGTCAAGGTTTATGAGGATTGAGAGGTGATTATATTGCTATCTGAGTGTTGCGCATTGGTGCTGACAATTATTCTTGTACTATGATAACGTTATGATACAGCCTAAAGTCTTCCACTTAACCATGAAAATACATGGAGAGAAGGCACTGATACGAATTTCTTTTTATATAGATTCTCTATGGCTGGGCGCTGGAAGCCCGACTGGGTCGAATTCAACAGACGGACCGTACAGTATCAGCTGATATCAGATAGTTGTACCAGTAAGGACATGTCTAACTGATAGGTACCGATTTATATTTAATTTGCGGACCCATTTATTACATCGAATCTCTTTCGCTCTTAGGATTCAGCAGCTCCACTCTATCGACCCAATCAAGCATTCCGACCCGCATTCTAGTTGTGCTTATGGTTCCTAGGCTATGTATGTCGGTGCAGCCACTGTTCTATTTATATACTGTCAAGTGACGTCTGTTTATGATTCTTCAGATATCTTACTAGATTATCCTTGCTCTTCAGATCATATGTCGGCCTACTCCGAACCTCAGTAGACATGGTATCATAAATAATACTTCAAATTACAGCAAACAATATATCAACCAAAGCAATAATATATTCAAAATCAGCATCGGGGTATTGGGGTATATCAAAAACCTCTCCAAGCAATCAAACCACAAAAGAAAAGAACATTATATCATCATCAAATATCCATCTTCAAAAACCACGCCCATAAGCCATCTTCGTCATGCAACCCACCAAATAGACTCCAGCATCAGGTCCAAGTCTATCTCCCGTCATAAAACACTAACAAAGCTCCACATGTCTCCTCATGACAGAAACTACCGATAACCCTGCGGCATCTGGGTCGTACCCTGAGGTCGATACGCCCGATAAGGTTGCTGACCAGCGTTATATTTCTGTTGGTCCTGGAGATGTTTAACGGGACCCGTTGACGCCTTATCAGATAGTTGATTGGACGAAGCGACGAGGAGAGCCATGAGGAAAGTGGCAGAGTAGAAGAAATACAGGAGGAAATTCTGAGCCAGCAAGGAGCGGTTAAATGCCCCGACGCCCTTTTGTAAATATTCTCTCTGTAGGTAATCGATGATGATGTGGTTGGCGAGGTCGAGAACGGTCATTCCCAGTGACGATAGGATGAGGAGTATGATAGCGGGGAAGAGGATCTATATCATATTTCATGTCAGTCATCCGTGCCATATAAATGATACTGAGGTGGACTAGGGAAAGTAGCAACATACCCCTCTTCTCAGATGACGGCCTCGGGCTAGCGCGAAAAGCATATTCGCAGCTGCCATCAGCATTCCTATTACAGAGAGCACAGTGTATGCGGTGGCTAGTCTCATTTGGTGATGTCGTAACGTGCTGGCATTAACCCGGTCGCCGGTGCGATACGATGCATCGATGATATGAGTGTAGATGGCCAGATGACAGAGGAGGATAATCCCAAGCACGATGACGTAGATTGTATGGACGATGGTGACCATTTTTGCAATTTTCCGGTTGCCCTGAACCAGGCGCTTGCAGATTGGGATCATGATCACGGCAATGAGTAGGAAGTTAGCCAGGGCGGAGAGCCAACTTGGCAGAAGGCTGACAAGTTGATATACGGTGATTGATGCAATGTCGCATTGCGTTAGAGTAAAGAGGACGATGTTAAGGATGACCGCACTGCATGTTGTTAGACGAGATTGATCTGCTAAAGGCGACAAGGGCTAGAACTCACGCAATTGAGAAGACGATCGAGAAGCCGAGAGGGAACCATCGTCGTAAGGCTACTCCTTTCTGCTTGCTCCGGATCAACTTGAAGGCCGCGAAGCAAAACAGCCCACAGAAGACGAGGAAGAAGAGCGCATGGAACGCGATAGTAATTTGGGCTGCTTGTGCGCTAAACGCGGCACCGCTGCATGAGCTGGAGCTGGAAGAGCTGGAGCTGCTGCCACTGTAGGAGCCGCCACCACGTCTCGGTGCCATTATGCAAAGGTTGCAGGAATCACAAAGAATGAATCAATTGCTTGCGAAGGAAATTGGGCGCTCAGGGGATAATAAGGGCAAGCCAGTCTCCAAGGCTGAGTCTATACACTAAGTGCCGTGCCACGCTTGGGCACATAGCCTCATGATACTCAATCTGCCCAGACCGGTGAATCATGGCGGCGGTCGTGTTGAGGGCCTACTATCTATTAGCAGAACCTTAAAAAGGGAAGATCACTTGGAGGGAAAAGTTGTGGTTGGCTCGAACACGACATGGCTGAGGCTCAGCAGGGACAATACGAGGTTATTCTTAGGGAGAACGGTCTGCAGCCAATTTCCACCCGCACACAAAGGAGTGCCAAAAACTCCACATTTGGATTTATTTGCCGAAAAAGTCGTATTCAGATAAAGAACATATGCATTCTGTGGGTGCTTGTCGTCGCGCGACTGGGTTGCGCTCAGGCACGAGGCTTAATCTTGCTCAAAGAGTCCCCTTTACGAGGAGAATTGCGGGGTGGACAACAGTTTTACCAATTAAAGCGTCTCGTATTATCGCATAGGTCCACATGATTAGGTGTAGTGCATCTAACTATCTGCATAGCGGTAGAGATAAATAGCCAACGAAAGAATCATTATAGTTGAGCGAAGGTACAGAGGCAACGATATTCACAGTCCGACAAAACACACAGATGGATTATATCTCAATTCCAAATGCCTTCGGATATTCATTAAGCGCATCACACCATTCCATTAAGAACCCATC